TTGTATTGCCTAAAATGCAATAGCATGCAGTTCTTTTAGTAAATTTAAAATTGAAACTTGAGGAGTTTTGGCTAAAACTCATTTAGTTGCAATATATTTTGTACAGTTTTGGCTCTGGGTCTCTGTACACCAGTTGACAATTAATCGATGACCAAACTAGTCGTCCATCGTTCCAATAAGCGATAAATCACAATGAATTGTTTCAGCCCGGCTCCGTGATGTTCTGCACGCGCTCGGCGGAGGACCTACTCTGTTGCTGTGGTCGCTGACTTTGATGATGAGGTCGTTCTTCCGCAGGTCCCACACCGAGGCCCTGCCGCTCGGGCAAGCCGAGGCCAGGATGTGCTGGACCTGTTTGTTCCACGCCACGCAGCTGATGTCCTCCTGCGGCTTCAAGAAAAAAACCCCGATATGTTTTAATACATTCGATAGAACTCAACATAGACAATATGGAGAGTGAAGTGTGCCAAATTACAAAATATAAAATTACTTTTGAAATAACTTAAATCTGTCATTAGTTTTTTGCAGTGTAAAGAAATACAGAAATAATTTGATAAATATAGAATTCATTATATGTGTCTCATGTGAAAGAATTGATTTCATTTTAAAGACTACATGTTATTATTTTATGATTTAATTAATTATTCCATGCTCCTATGCTGAAGCGTATCATCAATTGATACATTTCACGATTTATAACTATAGTTTAAACTATAGGCGGGATTAAAGCAAGATCCTGACATCTGATTGGCTGATTCAAACATGAGATTAATTCATAAAGTGCTTCAGTACAGAAACATGAAATAATTTATTTCTAGTTTTTAAAATGAATACCTTTATTTGAGAAACAAATAAATCTACGAATAAGTCATTTTCTATTTTCATTTCCAGTTTTATCAAATGAATGACAACTGAATTATTTATTTAGTCTAATTTGGCTCTCTTCATGTTCCACAATAATGTTTGAAGGTCATCTCAGTTGCAAAGTGAAGACTGGCATTTTTTTCCAACTTTTGTTAAAGCAATTTTTAACTTTCAGCAAAGTTAGATATTAATAAAGCCTAAAAATGCTGCAAACATAAACCTACCTGCGCTTTAGGTCCTGGTGTCATGGGAGAGCCAAAATTATTCATGTCCCAGATGTAAATTTCTGATTCATTCCCACCAGATGCAACCAAGTTTGACTACGGAAAAAAAAGGGAAAATAGTCAGAATAAAAATCTCCTTGGAAAAAATTCATACCTCTTAAACTTTCCCAGTGGTTTTCAGGTAATTTGATTGGTGTGTTTCACTGACACAAACCATCCAACTAGGAAAGTGGTTTTCAAAAGTAGCTAATAACTAAAACTAAAAAATGTGTCATGCATTTTATTATTTTGAGACCATTATCAAGTAAAACACTGATACAGGTTGAATAATGCAAGTTTGTTCTCTCACAGTTCAGAACATTTTGTTCAAATCTTGTTTGAAATTTAATTTGGATTTTGTTCAGAACTCTCCACGCTGAAACTGGAAGATGTTTTAAAGTATCCAAGATGAAACATGCCACCCAAAAGCAATACATCGTAAGGAAACAGAAAAAAAACCCACAAACGAAACCATAAATAAAATACATTATTAATGATTGATCATCAAAATGGAAACTAATTGAATGACAGCTTATTGAGGCAATTTTAGCAAGTTCTCACTTAAAATGTAAAAAAAATAATACAAACAAACAAGGTTTATGTCCTCTCATTACTACTTTGCAATTCAAAAAATACTTTATTGATCCCAGAGGGTAATGAAATGTTGCTGTCGCTCATATTAATTCAAATTCTTCAAAGATTTGTTGCAGCTGGTGACAGATATGGGAAGTAAAGATCCCCTGTAGCAGTCTATATTACAGCAAACTTGAAGAAGCCTCTGACTAAAGACACTGTTTTTCCAAGACAAATTCTCTCCTGAAGAGAATGAGCTGCTGGTCCAATAATTTTCTTGATTTTATATTTTAAAAAGTAACGTGAAAAAGGTTAAAAAAAAACATGAAGATTTTTTCCATTGGAGCTAAAAGGGAAATAATTTAGACAAAAACAATTCTCGGGGCCGGAAGGCTATATACCTGGAAATGGTTGATGTCGAGGGCCCTCACTGGCCCCGTGTGCCTGACGCTCTCGGCTACGATGACGTCGCTCTCTCCGGCCATGATCTTGGCGGCGTCGTACAGGATGACGTTGCCGTTCTCCCCGCCGGCGATCAGCACGCCGGACGGGTGGCCCTGAGCGTCCATGCCAGATGGGCCCCACACCAGTTTATGATATCTGTGGGGAGCAAAAAAAAAAAAAGTGAACGTGTGAGAGGAGAAAGGGCAAAACGCACACACACACAAAAACAGGAGAAATAGAGAAACTCTTCTCCACCTGTGAGTGGAGGAGAAGCTGCCACATGACTTCATGTCCAGAGACGGATCAGCCAGGTCCAACTCGAAGATCTCAAGGGAGGCACTGGTGCTGAAGGAGGCGTCCAGCTGCTGGGCGGACGTTCCTGCACAGACAGAACCGGAGAAGTACAGCATTTAAGTAGACGGGTCTTCCTTTCCTTAAACCACAGAAGCAAGTCATTTACACAAACCATGGCAACAAAGACTCCAAGATTCACTTATATTCAAGAACAACCTTCCTTTTGATACCTTTTGGTGTCAAAAGGCCAAAATAATAAAGTTAAATCCCTTTATTTTCGTTATTAGGCTCAAACCTGTTGCCAGGTAGATCGGGTGATGCTGAGCCGGACTCCAGCTCTGAATGGCTGTGCGGCTGATCTCTTTGAGTTTCATCCTGGACGAAAAAACAAAACCAAAAAAAAAAGAAAAAAAATGTTAGAATGTGACATATTAAAATTATGACAGAACTGGTGAAAGCTGTGCTGGTTTGTTGGGAGTGGGGGGCCGTCATGCAGCTTTTCTCCCAACATCTTTTTTAGAATTTTTTTTTTCGACACTACGTTTAGTTTTTTTTTCGAGTGAAGATTTCTGCACACTCTACCCTCTCTTAGTAGCTTCATTACATGGAGCCAAAAAAAAAAGTGCATCAGATACGCACACACCTGCTGTTTAAGCTAAAGTGAGAAGACCTATTGTTTATACACAAGATATTTAAAATCATATTTTGTATTGGTATGTTTTTGTTATTTTTTTTATTTTAGCCTTTAAAATACCAGAATAAGTATATGACATAATATTTTTTGTTATTATGACATGTTAAATACAATGTTACTCAGTACTTCAGTAGATTTTTGTATTTTCTTTATCCCTACTTGAGTCACTTATTAGTTTTACTTCAGCAGAACAATGTTCATTTAGCTCTCACTTGAGTGCAAATCGTTGGCTACTCTACCGCTTTTTCATTTAATCACAGCAGAATTTTGTTTTCAAGAAAATCTGTGATCTTATAATGCAGATCATTGTAAGATCAAGGTGGATAAGCAGAAGAGCAGACTGTAGTAACACTGCTGTTCAGAGTTAATCATTCTAGAAGCAGAACAGATGCAGCAGGCTGAACTTGGGGCCATTTTTAGCTCTTCCCAAACCTGATAACATACATGGATGCAACAAAAAGAGAGTGACACTGAATATTCTCAGAAACAATAGGAAACACTGAAAAGTTTGAAATGGGGCCGGTTTGAATGGCTCATGCTGCACAAAATTGTTTATATTGATCTTCCAGAATCTGATCTGTCCTTAAAGAGACAGTAACCTAGCACGGCTTCAATGACACTTTAGAAATATGTGGCATGTTTTTCACACTTGAGTCTGATTCCAGGACAGCTTAGTTCCAGAATAACAGACACAGGCCTCGTTTTCACACTGCCTCTATGATTCATATGAAGTGACAGAGGGGGAATTTCACAGAAAGGAGGATTTCTCTCAAGAAATTGAGAATCTGGATTGATTTCGCAGGGAAAAACACTCGAGCTAACAGCAGGAAGCTAACAGCTGATGCAGGAGAGCAAAAAGCTTTAAAGAGTGGGAACACTGCTGCTGAAACGCAGCCCGCGTGCCACTGTCAACTCCACAAGCTGTCCGCGAGAGCGTTACCTGTTTTCAGTTAGTGCCGTAGTAGCAACATAAGCAATGAAAATCAGTAGCAGACCTACACACTCGCAGACAGAGATCTTATTACTTCTCTAAAGCGGCTTACCTTCCCCTCCGAACCGCTCCTCACATGAACGCAACAACGAAACAAACACACGCAGCCTCCGGCCTGAGGAAGTTCCCGTTTCGAGTCTGCTCCGGTGAATAACGGGTGTGTAGACAGAGGAACAGGCTACCGGGTCCCGGCTGCGGACTCTCAGGACAGGTTTCCACGTCCCCACTGGTCTCCATCAACGTGGCACTAAGCAACAACCTCCTCCCACGAAGAAGAACGCCGGCTTCCGGGTAGACGAACCGCACCGTCTTCCCCTTGCTAGCGAGCTAAGAAGCTAAGATAACTCATGCTAATTTCGTCAAGAGCAGCTGTTCTTCATAAAAAAATGCGTCTTATTAAAGGATTTTTTTAAATTTTCCGTACATTTCTAGTATTTAATGAATAAATATAAAATGCTTAAAAACAAGCAATACTACCTTATAAACTATCCAAAAATGACAAATAAAAAAAAACTATACGTTTCAGCGCTTCCAGATCTTATATTTAATTAAGCACATACATTCATACGTTTAGATTTAAAAACAGACATATTACTTGTCTATTTTTGTTACTACACACCATAAACTTTGCTTGAAATCTTAGTTTTAAAATCAAAATGTATGAGTCAAGGTTTGCCAATGAAAATGTTATCTAATTCTGTTGAAATCAACATAATCATCCACTTACTCAATGTCTGATTATTATAACAAAGGAAGAATTGTTATTTTAAGACACTTTTATGTTACATATTGTGTACTTGAGGCTTATTCGCTTTTAACAGACACCCTTTAGAAAAAGGCACAGACGTGTTTGGGGGAAAGAAACTCTCACACCGTGTCTACTTCAAATTTTATTTGCTAAATTACAAAGAAAAACAAAAGACAAAGTGGTCCATTTTTGTCAACACCACCCAGATGTCCAGTGACTCATCTCCAACTCTGTATTCTGCAAACCAGGCCAACTCTGAAAGAACAATGAGGAAATGTTAATTGGTGTAGAAAAGGCAAAACCTCAACATGACCTTAGGAAAAATACCCTCATTTTAATCTTTATCTATAATCTCTCCCATACATGCATGTGTATGGGTCAGATGGGTAGTGATTGATATAATCATTGGGACAGCTATGCACATGGCAGAAACATAACCGATGACAATACGTACCTGTAAGAATGGAAAATCAGCTCCTCTTGATCAACATATTCTAGAAAACAAAATGAGGTCAGACGCTTTAACAAGAAATGTTCTAATTAACTCAATGTTGAGGAATATTTAGTCTCTTACACAAACGTGCTTAAAATACACATAATAAGCGAAGAAATGGCAACTAAACGTTTTAATACCCAGGTAGAAAGACAAACTCTCGGACTCCTCCAACACGCTGCCGCTGCACGTTGTCCAAGCCGTCCTTTTCCGCCTTCCTCTTCTTCTACTGTGGATTAATGGTTGTCAGCAGCGACAACCAAGGTGTTGCCACCCACCTGCAGCTCTAATTTACTCACTTTCTGCCGCTACCGCCACGTAGCGGCTGGAATGTGCCGAGACGCGTCATGCTCGTGTTCCGTTTCTTTTTTTGTTAGCAAAGTATTTTCATGAGTTATGATAATTCATCGAAAAAAAAAGGCTCGCATCCCAAGAGTAATTTAATGGATATCATCAACGTATCATTGTGAGCTGCGCGGTGACGTAGTCGTCCGTACTGTTGGTCTGCTACTGGCAGAACACTGCCATCAAGTGGTGGCATTGGAAAATCAAATATTCAGCAAACTAGCTTCTTTTCACGTTGACACGTGCAAACATTCTTACCTGGTGGGGAAGAGTGTGTTGCACCCTGTTAACTAAATACAATGGTGACTGCATATGAACCTGATTTAGGGGCCATTTTTGTAAAAATGGAATAAAAATAGTTATAATCCATTGAAGTGTTTCAAACGCAGACAAAAATTCAACAACTGGCGATTTCTGACATGGGCAACCACCCAGGGCGACACGAGACCTCAGCATGTGTAATTTTAAAGCCGCAATATTTCTGCACATACAATAGTAAAAAAAATAAATTGATCATATTGAAGCGGGTGAAAGCATTTGAAATTAAACATCTCCGTGTGACACCGGCTCATAAAATCTGCTGGAAATTCAAAATGAAGTAAGTTTTAGCAAATTGTCTTTGCTAAAACTAGCAAAGACAATTTCAATTTTGGGCAAAACGCATCACATACTTAATCACAAGGCTCCTCTTGTTTCATATCATCTCTGATATTACCACACCTGAAAAGGCAAAAACTCAACATGACCTCAAGAAAAACACCCTCATTTTGGTCGAGTGGAAGTTCGGGGTATAACACAGAATCGGTTTACTTCCTGGAAACATTCAACAAATGTTTAGTGACGGAGAAGAGGAGGTACAATTTAAGAGGTCAACTTAATTAACAAAAAGATAACACTGTTCATACTGCAAGGAGGAGTATGTGTATCAATTTGTGGAGCGTATATGGAATGGAATGAGAGAGGAGTTGAAGCAATGCACAAACAAGCTACTTTGCAAAGCAATACAAAAAAAAGAGGAGCTACTAATTGAGGAGGGGTTGTACTGATGATAGAAATTGAAATAGTCCCAGAGAAAAAGTTATTGAGTCATGAAGTGTTATAACAGTCCAGATATAATCAAATATGAACCGTATCAAATATGTAAATAATGTCTAGAAATTATTGTGACATATTCTGTAAAAGAAGAGGAATGGGAATACAGGGCAGGATTGAGGGCTGCATAGCTGAAGTAAACAACGATAAATATTGGTTAATTAACCATAACACCAAGCTTAATATCAATATTGGTATTGGTCAAAATTTTCATATTGGTGCGTCCCTAAATTAGACTGTTTGTGGAAGGTGGCATGGGTTTATACATTATTTTTTTTGAACAAATGCAGCAAGTAAACCTGGAAAGTTCATTTCAAAAACCGGAACAAAAGTCATCTTGGCTGTGAACGTCCAGTATGACGTATTTAACCTACTGACCGTATTTTTAGTGTGGTTCTATTGTTGCAAAGTTCTGTTTGAATTCTGGGTTTCTGAGCAGTGAGGGCCTGTTGCTTTTAACCTCCCCGCGGCCGTCGCGCTTTTTAAAGCTTGCGTCAGCGTGCGAGCAAAGCCAGCGATGTGTCGTTTGCAGCCGACGTCACAGCCGGGCTTCCGAGTTGATGCAAGAAGACCGTCACTTCCCGAAACCACGCACCGCACACATTAGTGCGAGCCCGCCGGACCACGCGAAGGGTGTTAATTTACTCTTTTACGACCGCGGGAGGGTTAAAACTAAAGTTGTAGTCGGACGAAAACAGCTGGTGTACATCCCAGTAATTTGTCAATATGACATGGATCTAATGTTTTCTCAAGTCAGCTGTGAGTTCATGTGCAGTATGCGTTTAATAAAGCACAAAAGAGCACCTGGGGAAAATGTGGAACTCTATCAGTCTGAGTGTGTTCAGCTGCTACGAGGAGGGCTCTCTCTCTCTCTCTCTCTCTCTCTCTCTCTCTCTCCTTTTATCTCTCTGTACACCTGTAGAAAATCTCCACTTTCTGCTGCTGGAATAGCTTAGCCTAGCCTCAGTTAATAATCGACAGACTGCAGAGCTCTAAACCTTGCATATTAACACTCACACTTGATTACAAAGATTTGTTAAAATAAATATAAAAAAGATAGTTCGTCTACTGATGAACAAAGATAAACTGTTGACATAAAACAGTTCTTGGAAAATGTCAGGATGGCAAAAGAATAGAGTGTACAAAACAAAAACAGAGAGGAGAGGAGATCCGGAGAGCCCTTAGAGGGCAAGAAATCGGGCTGAAGTTCATGTTTCGGAGGCAGTGTGCTCTGTCCTTTTGTTTTCCAGCTCAAGTCTATTAATGCAGCTTAACTCCAGCAGTCTGGAGGATCTCTCCGCTTTCAGCGTTTCCGGAGGGCAGCCAGATGGTCCGGCTCTTCCTTGCCCAAGAGTTTGCGGACAGAGAGCCAGAAGAGTTTGGCCTAGCAGTTGATGGAGGCGCAGTCTGTTTTAGCTTTCCCGGCAGAGCTGATTATGCTCATGAGGCAGTGTCCGAACTCCTCCAGGATCGCCCTCTCCGCCTCCGCCTGAGGCTGACGAGTCTGTTCGGCCCGTTTGGCCTGCTCTAGTAAACACTCGCACGTCGCTTCCAGCACTTCTTTCGTTACGAACGTGTACGGCAGCCTGCGGCAGGAAAGAAAAGACAGAGGTATAAGCAAAACGGCACGTTTATTCGTGTTGATTTTTTTTTCTTCCTCAAGTTCAAATGTTTGCAGAACTAAGATGGACGATGTCATTTTACAGTGGCAGCTGCAGGCTAGGCAATGATAAAGATTTAAATTAAACTGCCTTTCATTATTTTACGAAGATGACGATACAGATTTTGATTAGACGGAACGTCCATCACTCCTGGATTACACTAGAGAAGAAGGGTGGCAAGAACACACCCCAGAGGAACGCCGTTTCTGATAGATCTTATAATGGCGACTCACTTCAATTTTCAATTAAGTTAACGACTGATCGCAGCAGAAAGGCTCAAAACAAACATTTTTAAACTGTACATTTTCATATATTATAGTTCTTAAAACCGATTTTGGATATGAAATGGCAAAAAAACAAAACAAAATAAACTGATAGCTGCATTTCTATTGAAGTAAACGTTAGAAAAGGACGGAAGTGTTTTGAGTACCTCCCGCCTCCACTTGATATAATGGGAGTCGTCCTCATCAGCAGGTCTGAGATCTGTGAGGACAGTTTGGTCTTGGCTGCCGTCTGCTGCTGGACCCTCACTTCTGCCGCGTCAGCAAGGTGCATGAGCGTCTTCCTCTCCGGGCTCTCCTCAAAGTTTTTGCAACCGATACACTTGCAGATGGACGAGCACATGATCTTTGCCTTCAAGATGAGAAAAAAACGTCATTAAAAAGGAGAGAAAAAAAAAGGGATTTTTTGTTTTTTTGAATGAGACGGCGGTACACAGACCTCATAGCACTCGCAGTAGTTCTTCAGGCAGCCCGACCGCTTGCAGTTGCAGCCTTTGCTGTGCCGGCGGTCCGACTCGCCCTCTTTGCCTTTGCCAATTTTAGGTTTGAAGGCCTCTGGGTTTCTGTCCAAGCAGGTCTGTAAAAAAAAACAAAAAACAAACAGTATCCTCTCAGTATCCATCAAACGGTTTAAGAGACAGTATCCCTGCAGACACCAAACCTGGAAACTACCTTAATGGCTTTGAGTCGTTCCGTTTCGTGCTCCAGGTTGTTGAAGCAGTTGTTACAGTTACAGTTATTACAAAACTCTCCGTTTGCAAAGCAGTCACAGTACCTGAGGGAGGAAACATGAAATAAATTAATTTTGATGCTTTGCTCCTCCGCTAAAATTGTCTAAGAACTCGACATCAAGTCTGAGGCAGCAGAAGTAAAGAAATTCTGCCACCTGCAGGTGGGAGTTGGCATCATTTAAATCCAAAGTTTTGGACGGTATTTGCAAAATAAAGAGAGAAAAAAATAGCAATAAACTCACAATTATTATTAAATTACACAATTTTTAGAGGAACACCTACAAAAAGTAATGTAATATAATATGGAACTCATTAATAATGCATGTTCACTCTCTTTACTGATAAACATTCATTTAGTAAACAATATTCAAGACTGGAAAACATTTTACATATGCTAAAATTAAAAAACAACTAAAAACTACAAATTAAACTAACATAAAAACCACACACACACCTGCAACCATAAATAAAATGCATTAAAATATCTCTGAACAAAATTGCAATTACAAAAAAATCTTAATGATCAGAATTGAAATTGGAGATCATATTACTTTGTTATATGACTAATCGATCGTCAAAAACCACAATCATAACGAAAAAAAGTTTACCTTGTGATGAGGCAATTTAAACATAAAAAGCTTATTATGATTCAATGTAAAAAATTAATTAAAAAAAAAAAATCAGCCATTATTGTGTAATTTCTTTTCCTCGCTCATTCTTTCTTCTCCAGATCTTGAAAGTGATGAAAGCTAATTCGACACTTTGCAGGACGCTGGATGAACCCTGACAGTGAACACATGTCCCACTACCACATTGACGGAGCAAAACCAGTCAGACTTACAGCTTGAGGCACTGTGACTTGGTGCAGTTGCATGGTTTTCTGGGTCTTGAGGTCGTCTCTGCTGCCGACACGCTTTAAAGCAACGATTATATTACAACACGGACAAATCAAAGAGAACAAGTATGGCGTCTAACATCGTTAGAGACAAAGTAAATACAATCTATAAACAATAACTATAAAGGCCAAATAAAATAAAAGCTGTCCTGTCTTACCCATTATAAGGGAGTTTGGCCTGAGTTTGGATGCTGCTGGACGCAGGAAAACTAGAGCTGCTGGCGAGCGTCACAAACTGTGACTGCTGGAGCTGCAGCAGAAGACGTTCCCACATCAGAAATGTTCTACAAATGCTTCAAGAAAACCAATAAAGAAAAGTAGTGCTAACCTGTGTGACGTATTGTGCTGGAACAACGGCGTAACCCACGTTGCTGCCACCGGGGGCAGATGTGAGGACGGTCCCTGGGGGCAGGTTGGTGAAGTTGGGCTGGATCTGGGGCAGAGGGGTGGCGGGCATGATGAGCCGCTGCTGCGCCTGAGTGGCAGTGACCACTTGTGGTGCAGATGTCAACGGCTTAGGCGCCACCTACAGGCAGCAGAATGCAAGAGGACAGCTTAGGGAAATCCGCACACACAAACCCCCCCAGAAACCAGCGACCACACGGCGTCTGCTTTACTTGTTTCATTGTCTGTTGGACGACTGGGACCGACATCCTGACCGCTCCGGTGTTCACCACGATAGGTTTACCTGGAAAACATAAAACACGCACACTATAACACGCTTTAAACGATTAATTTAATAATCGATTAATTGCCGATTAATCAGATAAGACTAAAATTGGCACATTCTGTAGGGTTTTAAGCCTTTTATAAAATATTAACAATACTTGAAATACAAATAAATATTTAAATTCCCTTTTCAATTCTTAAATGCAGTTGTTCACTGTATTCTCCAGTTAACGATTAACTGATTACCAAATTTGTTAACGATCATTTCAATAGTTGATTCATCGCGATTAATCGTTTCGTCCCCATTTCCTGCCAACACAAGGAAGCTAGCTCTGAATTAGCAGATGAAGCAGAAGGAGTGTAGAGTTTACCCGTGGGCACTGAGCTGGTGTTGGGAGTGCTGGGCTGGCCCACCGCGCTGGCCGTGGTCGCCGTGACGAGGCGGACGTAGTGAAACCTGCTCCCCGGCACCTGAATCTGCTGCACGTTCGGCTGGGTGGCCAGAGGGATAATGGTCTTGAACTGGGGGCTGCCCACTCCTCCCACGGCGACGGACTGGACAGGCTTAATGTTCTGAGGCGGTTCAGAAAGAAGCAACAGAGCGAGGTTGATGATTGCGGGGTCATTGAGCAGAAAACCCATAACTGGAATAAAGAGAGAGCAGGGGATTCTGCAGACATGCAGCAGGTGGCCTCACCTGCGCCGTCGTCTGGCTGGTGGCCACCTTGACCGGAGATGCAGGCGCCGACTGCTGGACTGCAAGAATTTGCTGGCCAAGTGCGACATTGACGGGCAGAGCTACCGACTTCTGGCTGGTGTTGGACGGCGGGGAAGCCACAGACACCACGGTTACCTGGACGACACAAATAACATGCAGATTAAATATTTACATATCAGTGTCATAGCTAGGTTTTCTCTGAATACAAAAGGGATTTATCTTTAGGTACACATAAAAAAATATCTATAAACATATACATATATATGAATATTGTATTGCATAAAATGCAATGATAGCATTCCTTTAGCGTACTCTTGATAATTTTAGCTAAAAAGAAAGAGAAAAAAAAAAACTTACTTTACTTTCTGCTTTACTTAACATCAACACTGTGAAGAGCTGATCTGTTGATTAGTGTTTTGATCAATAATTGGATAGCAAAATGTGCTTACCAAAAGATTTTGTCTTTTTACACAATTTAAAGCAATTGAAGCTCAAAATATGCGCTTGAGATTTGAGCTTTCACACAGAAAGAATATCATTTTTGAAATCTTCAAAGCAAAATGCAGACATTTTTTGCACAATTTTAGTTTAATTACTGCTCTGAGTGTGCTGTTCCTTTAGCAATTGGTCTTTTTTTGAGTCTCTATACTCAAGTTAGCAATTAATTGACAATTAATTCAGTAATGGTGCAGGGTTTCCTCCAGTGTATTATCAGCCTGGCGGACCACCAGGCTTTACTTATGCCCCCACCAGGCTTAGCTAGGCCTGTCGCGATAAATGATAAATCAATTAATCGCACAATAAATTAAAACTATAGATGTCATTTCAATTATCGGCTATATCTTTTCTTCCTACCTTTTTCTCTTACTGTTGATGACACTGAATGAAAAAAGGCTCAACTCCAGTGCTCTCCACTCACCCTCTCTTCCTTATTTCTTAGTATAATGCCCAGCGCGCTGCACGATCTTATGTCACCGATTGTCGGCCCATTATCAAAACCTGAGAGACATTAGCCGACAGAATCCTCGGTATAACGGTTCGATCGAACCGTATTGTGTCCGACAATGGACACAAAATAATAAATCCAGTTCACTAATATTAATCAATTCCTTACTACAATCTACCTGCAACGCATGTAGCTAGTGTCAGTCTGACTGAATGAAAATCATTATAACCTATTTATGTCACGTTAACGAAGAACAGCTGAAAAGTTACCGGGTTTTCTGGTAGAAATCCAACTCCTCCCCTAGTTATTTATATTTTCTTTGCACGAACTGTTGAATAAACATTCATGTTGTTTCCGATGTCTGCTGGACTTCGGGTTGCACCGTGTCAGCTGTTCGGGATTCCCTCCGTTTCCCCTCAGAAAGCAGGAGGAGAATCCGCGCTTTCTGATTGGCTCCCGGTCACATTCAACAGGCTGCGTTCAGCTCCCAGTCTGGATAAATCATTGATTTAGATAGGAGCGATCTACCGTAACACACAAGTGACAATCTCAGAACGAAGAACGTTCTAAGATTGTCGTTCGGGGTAAAAAAAATCCTGTAGTTTGAACTATTGCATCAGGCAAGTCAGATTCTTCTCTATTTAAATCTAATTATTACTGAAGGGCAATATACTATACAGACTTCATAATCTGTACTCTTTTGGTTGAATGCAGTATTTATTTCCACTTTGGCTTCATGTTGTTTACGTAGCTTTTATTCAAGTACATTTATTGTTAATGGAGACTGAGAATCTATTTCAGTCTCCGTCTATTTTTGTTTTTGGTTGTTTTATTTATTTTGTGTATCAGTCCCAGTGTTAAGTGTTCTTTTGAAAGTAAAGTGCATCTATCTGTGGCAGGAAATCGCATGTATTATTATGTAATTTCCATTAAATCAATGTAAAAAGGTCTTCAAACAATATTATTGTTTATCGCAATAATTTTTTTGAGACAATCGCCCAGCAAAATCTGTTATCATGACAGGCCTAAGCTTAGCATTGCTCATTTATTTGAGTTTTTTTAAATGTCTACATTTTTTAAGACTTTATAGCTGGTGTTCAGATATTAATCTTCCAATAACACGTAATTGCCAAGTGATATTTTCAAATTTCCTGTCAACTTTAGACATTTTTTAACTCAAAAACACAACGGGACACTGGATGAATAACTGCCTATGCCCCAACCACCAGGCCTCGCAAGTTTTCAGGGGGGAAACTCTGTTGCGTAAAACAACAAAAAACAAAACAGCCTCTCCTATTAAGCACCTTTTACCATCCAGTTATCAAATTAAATGATCTTATTTGCAATTTGTTACACATTTCTAATTCCAAATGAAACAAGCATATGTGGTCAGGTGAAAAATCTGCAGAATGTGCCAATTTTACATCTCATTAATCAATTAATCACCAGATTAATCAATACAATGATCAGTAACTAAAAGCACCGTCAGCTGCGGGCCTGACCGGGCTTCAGAGCTCGGCGTTTGGCACCATCCTTAGCCTGAACACACTGAACCCAGCAGCTCTCCCAGCAGCTCACCTTGCTGGGAGTCTTCAGAGGCGAGATGGCGATCTTTTTGCCAGGAATGCTCTGGATCGTAGTGTTGTGGGGCTCGGACAGCGTGATGGTTTTCGGCGACATCACCGGAGACGTTTGTGTCACCACGCGCCCTAGAAACGCACCGCGGGGCATTAACGAAGCAGACATGCATCGAATGCAGCAGGCAGTCCTGGCGTCAGAGGAGACGCTTACCTGCGATAACAGGAGTCACCGACGTCTGAGGACTCAGGCCTTTGCTGTTGACCGTCTTTGTGATTATGAACTTGATTGGAGCGGTTGAGGATGCTGGTGTTTTCTTGGGGATCTAAAGGACGCGAGCAATTAAAAAAAAAAAAATAGGAAAGAAAATAATAAATCAGCGTTACTTGCAGCTGATTTTTTTGAGGAGCCCCGATAAAGAAAAAGCACAAAACTACGACTTTTAAATTCATACCTACACACATAAATGTTAGACAACAGAAAGTAATCATTCTTTTCAAGCTTTCTGGTTTCTTTCCATCGTCACGGTTATTAGGATCATATTCCTCATTGGCAGTCTATGTACAGGATCTATGTACAAAATACACTTAAAATTCACCCAATTGCTGTATTAAAACTCAGCTGACTCCAGCAAGTGTTTTCAAATAAAAACTGAGCAATATTCTCTTTTCATTACAGAGAATAGACTAAATATTGTTTTAGTTTTCTCCATTTGAGCCCAGAATGACAAGCAAACTGAATGTTTTTGATCTGACAAGAAACATTTTTAGTTTTGGATCTACAATCCCATTGTGATATATATATTTAAAACAGTAAAATCAATAAAATAATAGTTTGTAGTTTATTGTATGTTTTTTTAAATCACAACATTTTTGGTAATCTTAGTGATTAAGTACTGACGCTTTTGACTTTGGCCTACATGACAAGATGTTTGGAGACACCAGATGTTTGTTAATAAAAAAAAATTAATAAAAAAAAAAATCCTAATGCATTCATACCAGAAGTTTTTCACCAATATTGCTAACTATATTCAGTGTCATTCAAATCAAAAGCATAAGACTGATGCAATGTGGAGCTGAATAGGTCTGTCCCAATAACAAATTTAGCTGGAAGATAAATTGGACTTTTGTTGATGTTTCGAGGGCATTTTTAAATGTTTAAATATTATGTAGCAAAATATAAATCTGTAAGATCACTTAAAAAAATAAAATAACTAATAATAATAATAAAGAGGCTTTGAATACAAATCAGAGTTGTGGAGAGCTGTTGCCGGGTAAAATATATTCAGAGAAAATATTTCAAAGTCGAGATGCGTGATGCCGATAGGCTCCAACCAAAGATGGCTGATTTAAAAGGCGCTCCAACAAGTATTAGCATATTAGCATATTAGTATCAGGGTGCACACCCTCATGCTAACAGGCTGTTGCAGTTTTTGCTTTTTCTTCCCTTCCACTAAGAGTTGTTTGCTTTTCAGCTGAGTCGCACTGCATGGGAGAAGGTTGCAATTCACAAACTTCTGGCATCTTAACAAGGATCCATGTAACAGACTTTCTGTAACCTCTTATGATTCATAACCCTGTATGCTGGGCTCTATTTGGCGTTTGTTTACACAGAGGTCTTTGGTTACTATACCAGCCAGGTCTGCAATCCACTAAACCTTTGTGCGTGTGAAACAATATTTACAAAGCAGAACACGTTAAGCACATGAGCAGAGAAGATGTTTAATAGAGAGTAGAGTTTAGATTCATGCAGAATGCTGCATGAACCTGTGCTAATCTAATTAGAGTAGTAGATAGCTTAGCCTGTTGAGGAAATAAAGAAAATATCTCAACAACCGGATGTTACTAAAAGAAACAGAAGACGACAGCATGTAGTAGGAAGACGATATGTTCAATGACTAGCATGAAGAAATGTTGATTCAGATGTGATTTTCATTGCGTTTCCTATTTAATGGAAACAGCAATTGCACAATTGTGCTTTTTCACAACTGACAGAACATCACCAAAGTTTTTGTGCACATTTGTAGTGGAAACACAGTTACTGACAGTAGAGCAAACTTTGGCTCTTGTTCAGTCGGTTGTTTCAGTCATCATGTTTCAGTGCATTCACCACTCGGGTGAAAGAAGGACAGGCTTTAATTCTCCAACCAGAAGGCAGAGTGTCAAACTGGCTAACGCAGGTCATCAATAACAATCCTCTGTTGTTTTTTTAACAACTGTTAAATCCTCAGTGGTTGTTCCAAACTAAGCATTATTACCTGCATGGTCTTCAGCTGTTGGGCCTGTAACGTGGTCACCTGGTTGCCAGTGCTCCCCACCACTGGTTTCAGCTCTCGCCCACCGATAGTCACCACTTTGAACTGCGGCGCTGGAGACTTCGCGTCCCCAGAAGTCTGTGAAACTCCGGGCTTGCTGCCCATGTGGGGCAACTGGACCACTATCGGCTGCCCCGACTTCCCTATCGTCGTGACCAAAAGTTTCTGCCCTTCTTGCTTGATGAGTTGGGCCGGCGCAGCTGCAGCTTTCGCCGCCTCCGTGGCTTGAGCCGAGGCCACCTTGTTCAGGATGATCTGGTGGTTGGCGGCAGAAATGGCGAACGAAGTCGCGAGCTTCTGCGTGCCGCTCGTGGAAACCGTCGTCCCGGTGAGGCTGTCTGTGGTTTTGGTCGCAGCTGTGGAAGTAGCCAAGGCGGGCTTGATGGTGAACAAGGTCGTGACGGAAGACTGACTCCCGGCGGCGGAGTCGGCAGCCGCAGCGGTGGTCACGGCCTGGACGTGCTCCGCCGGAGCGGCGTTGGAGCAGATGTTCAAACTTTCCGATGTCACGGGAGCGTCCGTTTCCATGGGGACAGACGTGTCATGCGGGGGCTCCGGCTGGGAGTGAGGGACCTCCTCTATGGCCTCCGTATCCATGATTTCATCAGGAAGGAGACTGTTGAGCTCCGGTGACACCACATCCATGCTTGCTGTGTCTTATCTCTCTGTTAGGCCTACAAAAAAAAAATAATAATAATAAAAAAAACTTTTCTATTAGACGTGTCAAAACTGAATGGAATACAAGTCTCTAATCAAACAAATCCATAAAATACCCAAAAAAGAAACAAGCCAACAAAAAAAAAACAAATTCATGAGTGAAGTTCATTATTATTCATTATCATTATTATTATTTTATTGATGCACTGTCATGGTAATAAACTTTGCTGGACAATAAATTATCCCATACGTTACAGCAATAATCAATAATATTGTTGTTTTGAGACCGCTCCAGTCATGTGGCAATGGCACAACAACACATCTTCAAAGACACACAAACTTTAAAGTTGCAATGAACATTTAATGCTGGTACTGGTGTTGGATATGAGCAGAGATGCGCTTATTGAGGACCGAGACTCAATTCATTTCTCATTTCTATCCAAGATGTGTTTTACATTCACAACCCATAGCTTTTGTCTTTAGATGTCATGCTTCGTTTGCACGTTTAATGCATTTATCTGCTCGTTTTTCTTCTGCAATCCAAAGTGCCTCCCTTGCTTTGCCATGATAACTGAAACCAAAACAATGGGGGCAAAATTAAGAGGACGGTTCATTATCGGGACGGCGACGCGCACCGAGGGTTAAAACAAACATAAAGCTAGCCAAGCCGCAGCTATCCGGGGAGCTGACACCAAAAATGCCCGCTTTGAGAACTTGACCTGTAAAGGGAGGGAAGATGAAACGAGCGCAGTGACGAGCTGGAGGCTCTTTCGGGTCTTGACAGAAGCTTGACAGCTGACGGCGGGTCCGCTAGGCCGCGCCGTTCATCTGCGGCGTATCTTTGTCTTTGCCGCACTCTGCTCCACGTTAATCCAGCGAAACGCTCACACATGAGCCCCCCGCCACCCGCCGTCCCTCCCGCCCCGTATTTACTCCACATAGACGCACTCGCTGCTCCAAGTGTTTTCCCCCCAGGAGCCTGGAAGGGCAGCCGACAGCCGCGGGCCGCGTTAAAAAAACAACCCGAGACGCGATGTCGCTCGGGCTGAAAGACGGCGGGGGGAGAAAAGCGTCAAGCTCGCCGCGTTACTATTTCAGGCCGGAGTTGGATTTCGAAAGATCCGCCATTTTTACCTCGTCATCAACTCGGCTAGCTCTCCGGCTAACATTGTCCATTTCATATTCTCCCCCCCAGTCTACTTTTACAGAGACAACTCGTTCAAAAAAAACAAACAAACAAACAAAAAAAAAAACCCTAGAAACAAGCTCTGGAAATTAATAAGAAACTTGTTGGAAATGTGCACTCGGCGATGGGGTACATTCTTTCTACACGCTGACAGTGTAAACAAAGCTAGCTTTCATTAATTGCTCCTGTCACCTGAGAAATCCATTTAGAAGCACGCCAGCTTGGACTGGTACAGTTCCAGTTCAAGCTGCTCTAACTGTGTGTTTTCAATTAAACAGGCTCCACTGTGTAGTCTGATTCGACTTGTGCTCATCAGCAATAATTTACACATCTTGTATTAAACAGGTCAGTCGCTTAAAAGAACAAAAATTGCGTCACTAGACCGACCGTACCTGTCATTGTCCAGGTGAAGCGTTTACTTTATGGTAAGTTAACCAACCAGACGGTTCACAAAATATCCTACATTGAAAAAAAGTGTTCCCTTTGTCCCGAAATTGTTTAAACATTCACCTTACTGTACACGATCCTTCCTATGGAGACTCTGCGCCTTCCTGGCTATCTTTATGATCAGAAGCAGCAGCTTCATGAAGCCAGCCCAGCGGGCAGGACAAACTGACTGTACTAGCGAAGTTGCTGAGCTGGCTAACCCGAGCTAGCTAGCACAACATTATACCTCAACATTATTTACATCCTCAACTTTGCAGCTTCCGGTGGGATACGCTGCAGCCAAGCGTAGAGGAGGCCGATATGCAGCCGTGCTTACCCGAGATTTCAACGCTGGGCAGCGTTTCCAGGTGAAGCGAGGAAAGGAAAAGGCGATTGTTCAAAATACCGCGCCGAGCGCCATTCCTCCCTGACATTTCACAGAGCGGCCACGCCCTCCACGTTCGACGTCACAGTGACACTTTGTTTAAAGGTACAGCGCGCTTTTTACTCATAATCGAAATGTAATTAACGTCGTCACAAATCTGAAACGCATTTTAGAAATATATAAATTCGAAACACCGGTGATATTAAGCAGGTTTCCTTTATAAAGAATTGCAATGTACACTTTAAAACCCATGAAAGTGGAGAAATAGCACCAACAAGGACATTCCAAAACATTTATGATGATGTATTGGTCAGGCCGTGTGTTCGGTCTTTGCTCGATCTACTCACTTAGTCCAAAAAAAAAAAAAAAAAAAAAAAAAAAACTTTCAAATCCACTTAATTATGGTGTGGGCATGGTTTTAGTCCTGGTCATATTTTCTGGCCTCAATTGCCCCTTGTTTTTAATTTATTTTTTCAGAAACAGCATCAGACGCTCCAACTACCAAAAAAAACTTTTGTGGGAGACATTGTACCTGTATAATATGGACAAATTACTCTCTCCTGGTCAGTAGTCAGAGTCAGTCCCTTACGTCAGAGCGTTCAGCGTGCGCGCTCATGTGACTCGCAGGAGGACTGACGGCGCACGCACCTCCAGCCCGCACACGCGCAGAGAAGAGAGGCTAGCAAACCGGCTGTTGTTGACATTTTTTTTAGCAACACATTTCGCTACGATGGCGGCCGAAGTGAGACAGGAGCTTGCACAGTTGATGAATTCAACCGGATCTCACAAGGACCTTGCTGCCAAGTACGTAGCTATCAGCGGACAATGACACAAGCTGCTAATAAGAAACGCCGCATTCGTGTTTAGCTAGCAGCAATGTAGCTTTGTTAGACTTAGCTATGCTAATATCATTCACTCAGTTTTATTAGCCACCTAGCAATTCGTTAGACTGAACGCTTCAGTCTGACAGTGTAATTTAAGAGTATTTTGTGTTCACGAAGCAAGAGGTTACTCTGGGTTATTGATGTACTTTTGCGATGCTTGCTGACTTGCATGGAAGCTAATGTTGCTTTTTAATTTGCAGGTAGTAATAAAAAAAAACTAAAACGAGTTACAATTACTAAATGTCAAATGATCCGCAGATATTGTGGGTAAAATCTTCTGAGTGTATGTTCTTATGAAGACCGACAAATACTGTACAAGATGCTATTGAACTTCCATTTTCACTTGCTGTCTGTATCCCCAAAAAGCAGTCAGTGGCGATTCTTTTATTGTTCTAAGAGTGAATGACTTAAACTACAAGGACATGTCGGATGTTGAGTTGATCAGGACTTTTGACTTGCAGAAAAATGATCAATTTCAATCACTGGCCTGGTGATTGGTATGTCCAGCTTTCTTGCTGAACTGTTTGTTTCTTCTCATTACCTTAACATGAAACATTTATGTCACATTTTTAAGAAGACTTCCACAAGAAACCTTAATAGTGCGTGTGATCGGTAAAATCTCTGCAGATACCGACAGATTTTGGAGAAAGCCATTCAGCTTACGGATGCAGAGCAGCTGGAGTCCTTGAAGGCCTTTGTCGAAGCGAGTATGCATTACGGATGTTTTTCTCCTGTGGCCAGCCTTATCTACAAGTCTGTTTTTTGTCGAGCGACTGTGAAATGTCACGCTTTTTGTTTTGTTTTCGGCAGTGGTCAATGAGAACGTCAGCCTTGTCATCTCGAGACAGCTGCTGACCGACTTCTGCACGCACCTGCCCAACCTGCCGGACGCCACGGCCAAAGCGGTGTATCACTTCACCTTGGAAAAGATCCAGCCGAGGGTCATCTCCTTTGAGGAGCAGGTAGATTTCTTTATGTTCTCCCACAACCTCCACGGAGATTTCCTTTTGTTTGTAAAAGTATTTTTTTCACATATTTGTTAAAACTGTCACCACGTCGTGACGGTAGAAGATTGCACGGATAATCTGTGAAAAGATTCAACTTCTCCGCCGCTCCCGGTTAAAAACCACCAATCAGAGCCAGAGGGCGGGTCTTAGTGTTGTCAAACATCCTCGTAAACGTGCTGAGAAACAATTCACCGTTACAGTAAAACCGCCGTCATCTGCTAACTAACCTTAACGTTCACAACAGGCTCTGCTAACGGGGAGTGACAATTTAAACAAATATGTAAAAAAAAAATATATATATTTCTTATGAAAGTTGCATCCTTCAGCTTTAATTCCTTGTAATGTTAAAGAAAATGTGCATGGCTAAATAATGCTCCTGTGTCTTCAGGTGGCGTCAATCAGACAGCACTTAGCAACCATTTATGAAAAGGAGGGAGACTGGAGAAACGCCGCGCAAGTTTTAGTTGGCATTCCTCTGGAAACCGGGCAAAAGTACGCAGTTCGTTTACAGATCAACATTCAGATGTCTGGAAAAGTTTCACGTTATTTGAACGCCTCTTTGCTGCTCCCCTAAACGCAGACAGTATAACGTCGACTATAAGTTGGACACGTACCTAAAAATTGCCAGGCTCTACTTAGAAGACGACGACCCTGTGCAAGCGGAGGCCTACATCAACAGAGCCTCGCTGCTTCAGAATGAGTCGTCGAACGAACAGCTGCAGATCCACTATAAGGTGCGCCATCTCTTCATCGAAAACACAGCCGGGGTGCGAAGTCTTCACGGTGAAGTCTGTCCGCCTGTTGTACTGCGACTAAAGCTGTTGCTCTTTGCCAGGTGTGCTACGCCAGAGTCCTTGATTTCAGGAGGAAGTTCATTGAAGCTGCGCAGAGATACAACGAGCTGTCTTATAAGTCTATCGTCCACGAAAGTGAACGACTGGAGGCGCTGAAACACGCCCTGAACTGCACCATCCTGGCCTCCGCAGGTACAGAACATCTGACTTTGACTCGCATTTTTCAGAAATGATCTCATCAGGTCTTTCCTTGCTTGTCGTTATATTAAGGATGCATTAATATGAACATTTCGGTCAGTATATTCCATATTACTATTGCTGGCCAATAATCAATATATACCAATCTTAATCAAAAAACGAAACATAAACATTTATTCATTTGTAGCGTACTCGCCACTAACGGTCAATAAAGTTCCTTGGCGAAACACAAAAGAGAGATTGTGAGGAGAGGAAACAGGACTGCTGTGTAAACAGACTTCAAAATAAGAGCATGAAAACAGGCTTCACTAACCAAAACTTCAACACAGATAGTCGAGCTTTATTTAAACTGAGTTTACCAGGCAGCCTAGAGGATTAGGATTAGGATTTATTGGAAACATTTATTTAGGGGAAGTCAAGTATGCTAGTTGTTTTCAAAGTTAGCTAAAGCGCTTCGCCAAAAAAAATGTCTTGCTAATTCTGGCTACTGCAAATACCACATGACCAACCCTGCCACCTTCCTCTTGAGAAACACAAACAAGATGGAAATAATTGTCGGTTGTTAATATCGGCCAGTTTTACTTATCGAGCCGATTCTGGTATTTTGAAAACTTGATAACTTTGCCCGATAGCGCTTCTTTTTTTTTTTCTGTTTTTTTTTTGTGTCATGCTTCCCAACATTCTGTTTTTGATCCGCCGCAGGACAGCAGCGCTCCCGTATGTTGGCCACCCTCTTCAAAGACGAGCGCTGCCAGCAGCTGGCCGCTTACGGGATCCTGGAGAAGATGTACCTGGACCGCATCATCAGAGGGAACCAGCTGCAAGAGTTCGCTGCGATGCTGATGCCCCATCAGAAAGCCACAACGGCAGACGGTAACAACACAGGACCGATTTCTTTTTTTTTTTCTGTTGTTGTCGTTGTTTTTTTACACAACAGAAACTCATACGTTGCTTAACCGTGCTTTACACCAACTGTGACCAACCTTTTTTTTTTAGTTTTTTTATGAGTCCTTAGATAATTTGGTCCTTAGCATAGTTCAACAAAGTTTTATCTTATCATATGCAAACAAAGCTCATCAAACATGAGCAGTTATGATCGCATCCACAGCAGATTAACTTTTTAATCATCTTAGTCCGAACAGAGTTTTGATTCAGATCTGATGGTTTTTGACGATAACAGTAATAAGCAGATTTAGTGTTGGCAGATTTCTTTGGGTATTTTACCGCTTTTAGTTTTAGTCGTTTTATTTTCAGGGAACTTTAAACTTGAGACAGTCTGTGTGTTTCATTGAAAACCAAACATACACATTCAAAAAGTCCAATTTCTTTTTCTGAAAAATTTAAAGGGACAAACAAAAGCGATTGGAACCGATCCTTCTTACAAGAAAATGAAATATAGTCCTTCTGGATGCGCCGTTCTAAAAATTTGAGCCAATGATTCTATCCAATATTTATCTATACATAAATTTTTCTATGCTTTGAAAAAACAACCATAGTGCTGATATTGCTTCTGTGCTTTAGGAAAAAAAACCCACAATCCTCTGCTGCATCACTGTCACGCAGCCAAGACCCTCCCCTTCCAGAAACACAAATGGCAACAATATCATCTAACTTTTATTTAAAGAATCGATACGGATATGTTTTTTTTTTCTTTTTTTTTCTAACTTTACAAATTTGGCAACAGCTTGACAAACTGGCTAGAGGAACTCTCTCGTTTCAGGCTCCAGCATCCTGGACAGAGCCGTGATCGAGCACAACCTGCTGTCGGCCAGCAAACTCTACAACAACATCACGTTCGAGGAGCTGGGAGCGCTGCTGGAAATCCCCCCGGCGAAGGTGACGGCTTAGCGTTCTCATGTTCAAACAGAGCACATTGCTCTGTTGCGGATGTGCGTGTTGTCCTACAGGTTACGTGTTTCACCGGCAATAAGCAAACAGCGTCTCTGTGTCTAGGCTGAGAAGATTGCTTCTCAGATGATCACTGAGGGACGCATGAACGGCTTCATTGACCAGATAGACGGCATCGTTCACTTTGAAAGTGAGTCTCTGTGATCTGGCAGGATGATCGGTTATGATTATCGCCGAGTTCTAAGATTGTCATGAGGGGAAGATCGGGGCAAAAAATTGTCCCCCTCCCCATCCCATCATGCAGGTGATATAACCTCTTGGGAATTTATTCGTCCCCAATGGGGGATATTGGCATTTCAGTTCAGTGTGTCCAAGAGAGCAAAAAAGTTGCCTTTGCACCGAGCAAAATGGACCATTTTGCACTAGCAAAATTGTTCCGTCTTGCGTCCTGAAGGGGGCAGCCTCATTAAGCTGCCTGCATGTCGTCCTTCACCTGGTTGTTCTCTGTGTCTCTGGCAGCCCGGGAGCCCCTACCCACCTGGGACAAGCAGATCCAGTCTCTGTGTTTTCAAGTCAACAACCTGCTGGAGAAGATTCGCCAGGCGGCTCCAGAGTGGGCGGCTCAGACTATGGAAGCCCAGATGACCCAGTGAACATCAGCACGCCTCCCCCGCCTACCTCCATCTTCCTGCTCAAGCAGTGTCATTTCTGAAGCCCCAGTTATTAAAACACCCGAGAAGAACTTCATGTTGTTTGTATTTTCATTTATTTATTTTTTTATGATGGATATTGTTTAAATAACAACAATCCTCCAGCCATGGAGGAAGAACGACTAATAATTAACATGTTAACAATCTCATATGTAATAAGGTTGACAACGAGCCGCGTCAGAGGCTGGTGAATACTTGTTGGTAAGAGAGATAAATCTAAAGTTAAAAGTCACCTGTTGAGCTAAATAGTTTTAAAAGTCGTGAAAGAGAAACATTATTCAAAATTAAACTTCATGGATCATTGGTAAACGTGGACAGCTCTATTAAAGCAGGAGTTTGGCTCTTAACTCATATCATCCAGGGATTATGACACCATAAAAACATCTGACATGAGCAGGGTCATGTAGGTGTGGGTCATTTTCCCCGTTGCCTGGTAGTTATTTAAGAGGAGGAGGAAAAATTGTCCAAAAAGATCTTCCCGTGGTATTGAGACTATTAATACATAGAATATTCTCAATACAAAATAGAGAATAGGAGAAGGAAACAGTGAAGAGTAAATGTCAACCCAAAAACGAAAAATAAATAACATTTTGAGGTTTATCTCAGAAACGTTCTAGAAATTTATTAGCTGAATCTAAAAATTTCAAAGTTTTTTTTTTCTTAAAAAAAAAAAAAAAAAAAAAAAAAAAGAGGGGGTGGGGGGACCGGAAAATGTAAGACAGGATATTTTGTAGACTCGGAAAACGAAAGAGAATTCAGGAGCAGAAACACAAAGAGCTCAGTGTCCATTAAAACCATTTAATTTAAAATCAAGCTTTCAGTGCCTTCCTGTGGAAGATGACGACATTTTTTACAAGCTGGTGTTGACAGATGGAGAGTTTTACAACATGATATCGAACTATTATACATCATAACTCGGCAGGAGATAAATGTGGAGCAAAGGTCAGAGGATGAAGGAAAAAAAGAATCACGAGGTTACTGGTGGAAAAGGTGAATGACAACGTAGAAAAAAAACACAAAAAACAACGTCGTAAACAGAATTTCGAAATCAAGAGAGAAAGAAAGGCTCCTCTTCATCAGTCCAGTGTGAGGCGAGATGGGGGGCTTTACGGCTTCTCCGTCGTCATGACGTCACGTCTACAAGTCACAGAGGAAACGCGCGTCAGTTTCGCCCTCATAATGACGCAAACGCCGGATGGTTTCCGCTCACCTGGTCAGAAGATGCCCTGCTCCTTTCTGCGGTCGATGTCCCGCTTCAGCTGGCAGGTGGCGCACAGCGGGCAGCACCCGGCCGCCAGGTAATCCCAACACAGCGACCCCTGCAGGAGCACAACATTGTGAGAGGCCGCTCCCTCCTGACCGACCCGATGAGGTCAAGAGGTCAAGAATAAGCCCGCTTAAACAATAAAAACAATAGCAAAAAAAAAAAAAAAAAAACACAAAAAAAGAAGCATGGATGCCAGGAGGAAGTCCAGTTTGTGTGGACATAAATGTGGCGTGCGCTCAGCAGGGGGTTGTAAATTTATACAGGCTTTAAACAGGAACTGGGAAACAAAAGAGGTTCCTGCAGCTTCTGCATGTTTTTGGTTGACTAGATTTTCCTAAAAAAAAAATAAAATAAAATAAAAAAACACTTTCAGTCTTCGCTTTTCACCAAACCCAAAGGCTTTTTGATCATCCAGTTTTTGGCAGAAAGAAAAAAAAGATAAATCTTGCAGGAAAAAAATAAATGAATAAAAAATTTACAAATCGCGAAATTATCGAGCAAGTTTTCAGTCATCGTGCGATGGATTGATTTATTGCTTATTGCGACAGGCAGGCCTATGTATTCGTGAAAGAAATGGGAAAAAAAATCTTTAGGGGCCACCCCCCCAAAATGAGAGCCCTGGGCTACTGCCCCGTTAAGTCCATTTTAAAGTAAGAACAACAAACCAGTTGTGATTCCCACCCAGTACAAAATGCCGGATAATTCCAAAATAAATACATTATCTTGACAATGCAGCTAAACTTCCTGGGAAAATACTGCAAGAACACGACACTTTTAGCTTGTGGAGGTAAAACGTGAGCGTTTTTAGACGCATTTATTCTTTAAAAGTTTGTTTAAAGTGATGTCACTATGTGGAAAGATGCCAATGTGGCGACAGTAATGTCCCTCATCTCATAAATGGTTCCCTGGGCCCTGTGGGCTCCATGCCATTCTTACACTGTGAGGATGGACAGATAATTATTCAACCAACTTTTGAAGTTGCTAAAAAGATACTTACTTTAACCACCCATGCTCTGAAACAGTCATTTAAATATTAAATTGAATCCATCTTGTCAAATTGCATTTCTGGGTTCTTTCAGGTGCATTCATTTGAACCGTTTCCCAAAGCTCCCTTTAATGGGACATTCTCCTCTAACTTCCTACAGTGGAAGTTGTGAATTGGACGTGCTGGCGTTGCTTCGGGAGCTCACCCTGATGTTGTATCTGGTTCTGTAGACGCTGCGGATCGTCATGCCGATGCCGCACAGGCAGCACTCTTGCATGTCTCTGGCGATGGAGCAGCCGAGACACAGGAAGCAGAAGCACCCGTAGCAACCTTAAGGCACAATGAGATGAAATATGTTGAAATATATCAAGAAAAGAAGCCACTGTAAAAGAAAATACATAAGAACTTCTATGCACCACTTTGGTAACGATAGGCAAATGGTAAGAAGCAGAAATCTTGGCTCTTGTGGCGTGACGAAATATGAAAAAGTTCAAGAGATATTTTTGCGTTTTTAGCACCTTCTGATTGCTTCTTTTTTTTTCTCGCTGAAATTGCAACAGAGAAATATTGTAAAGTGTGAAACATAAATGTGGCGCTTGCTGTCCAGTGACCTTTCGCAAACTTGCAAACAAAATGCCTGTGTCGTTTCCACAGCAGCAGTACAGGAGCATTATCAAATGTATTTCTTAAAGCTATAAGTGGTGATGGCAGGCAGAAAAACGTTGCTATAGTCGTAAAGCAACTCTGCTCACATCACATTCAAAAACTTAAAAAAACTGTAAGTTTTGTCATCTGTTGTTGAAAATACGAACTGCATCAGTCACTGAATGCTGTAGTTTTTACATAGAACACTGCTGAACATTAACATTTAACTGTTGCAGACTTAACTTCTTCTTATTAATGTAATCCAGCTGTAATTTCAACAATTAAAAAATGCTGAAAATGATCAAAAAAAAAAAAAAAAAAAAGGAGTAGAAAGCTCCTTACAGGTTCCAACGTCATCGCAGCAGTCGAACAGACTGGTCTGGAAGTTAGAGGGCTCGTATCTGCCTGGTTGGTTGGTCACAGCCATGATGACGACGATGGGAAACTTCTCTCTGTGTGTGATGAAGAGAATCCTAAATCACCTAAATCTCATCCCTCACAGGTCTCCGTCAATCTCTCCTCGCCTCAAGCATCAAACGGCGTGGAAACGGCGGCTTCCAGGGAGGCGGTCAGAAGAGTAAGTCTTACCAGGTGGAGATCAGAAGGACGACGATGCAGCTGAGTTAATCTCCTGGGCGACAGGTAAGAGAGCAGGAGACGACGGCCTTTTTATGAGCGACCGAAGGTGGCTGTCTGGGTCCGCCTGCGTGTGACACCTGCCCAACTGTGGCGAAATGGTTCTGGAAAATCGATCACAAGACACGCCCCACTGTAAGGTAGTTAAGGTAGTTTCCTCTTTCTGTTATTTTCCACTTGTGTCTTTTTCCGGAGACATTTACAGCTCATGTGACGTTCCCCGTTGGGCGTGACGGCATCAAACTGAAGCAGTTTGAGACAAATCCTGGAAGGAGGTTTGAAGGTGTGTGAAAGAGATTAGAGATAAGTTAAGGTTTTAATCGAGAGGCGGAATTTGACACATAATGTGTTTAGTCAGCTGGAGGCAAATGTTGACTGTGAGTCCCTTTGGTAAAAGGGGAATGTCACCTGAACAATTCCTCAAATCTATCTGTAATGCTTCATATTCATAGACTTTTTTACTCTCATGCTTTTGTGAGATACCATGAAAACCCCGCCCCCAGAATTTTCCCTTCAAAAATATTCGTTTTGCTCATCAAAAACCTGCATATTGTCACATTTCTCCACAGAAACTATCAGTCTTTTAAAAATACATTGTAAAAAGACTGAAACAAAAGAAAGGCATATGAAAACATGCTGACATGATGTTCTTATGCAGCACACACTCAAAAACATAAACTGAAGATGATTTAAAGCTTCATTTTTCACGTTTTTCTCTATTTCCTTTCCGTACCCTCTTTTTCCTCCAGCAATTCAAGAAACTAAAAAATTTCTTTGTCTTTTTTCTCTTTCTTTGTCAACGCCGTCGTTACCAACTCTGCAAACTGTTGCCATGTTTCGCAACTTTTCAGACTAAAACATCGGTATCGACCGAAATCGGAATCGATCTATTGGCAGATTCGGATGTATATGTATATATATATATATATATATATATATATATATATATATATATATATATATATATATATATATATATATATATATATATATTTTTATATATATATATATATATATATATATATATATATATATATATATATATATATATATGTATATATATATATATATATATAAAAAATAGTATTATCCCCCACACCAGCTAAATAAATGCGACGTGTGTTTCGTGTCAAACCAACTCTGAGACTTTGAGAGGCCATGTTAATAACGACCCGCCCTTTAGCACCGATAGCATTAATGTCAGATAACATAAATGCCACGCAATATTAATGACAGGCCTGACAGCACGTCATAAACCCCTTATCTTGTACGGGTTGCGCTATCAGTTGGTGGACAGTTTTGAATTTTATGGACGCTGTTTGCGGGAAGCTAGATTAGGTTATGTAAAGCCATCCATCCTGGACTGACTCAACTGGGCGGTGGTCCCGCTCCGACACCAAGAGTGAGAGGATGTTTTTATACTCACTTTTATTGTGCTACTTTAATTGAGCTAATACACGATGACTATAAGATGGGGAAACGATTTCAAACTTTTTTTGCACCATGAGCCAAAAAAGTTGGAGTGGCATCATTTTGTTTTTGCCAGGTTTTCTTCCAACATGATGCTGCCACCACCAGTGTTGCACTTCTCTTCTGCATAAAGAACTTTGCACATGAGCCAAAAAGCTCATTTTGTTCATTCATTTTTCAAACATAAAAATATGGATCTTTAAACGATTAAACAATTGAACATTGAACGATTGAACAAGGTTGCTGCACACCAGGAAACAAAATTACACTCACATGACATGTAGCACCACATTTCTCAATACTGCTCACTTATAAACCGTAAAAGTTATATGCTTATGACTTTTCAAAACATTCCACTCTTTTCCAATGTGTCAACGCCATAAACCTTGAAGCTGCCGCTCCAACGCCACCCCTAGTCCTCTGTTTTTTATAAATAAAAAAGTCGCTTCACAACTTTTTTTATTTATACCCACAGATATATTTTCATATCCATTGCTTTCCTCCATGTATAGTTAGGGCCAGAAATATTTGGACAGTGACACAGGTTTTGTTATTTTAGCTGTTGACAAAAATATGTTCAGAAATACAATTTATATATAGTATGGGCTGAAAGTGCACACTCCCAGCTGCAATATGAGAGTTTCCACATCCAAATCGGAGAAAGGGTTTAGGAATCATAGCTCTGTAATGCAGAGCCTCCTCTTTTTCAAGGGATCAAAAGTAATTGGACAATGGATCTAAAGGCTGCAGGTAACTCAGAAGGCCTTTCCCTCGTTAACCTGTAATCAAGTAAGTAGTTAAAAGGTCTGGGGTTGTTTCCAGGTGTGTGGTTTTGCATTTGGAAGCTGTTGCTGTGACCAGACAACATGCGGTCAAAGGAACTCTCAATTGAGGTAAAGCAGAACATCCTGAGGCTGAAAAAAAGGAAAAAATCCATCAGAGAGATAGCAGACATGCTTGGAGTAAGAAAATCAACAGTCTGGTACATTCTGAGGAAAAAGGAATTGACTGGTGAGCTTGGGAACTCAAAAAGGCCTGGGCGTCCACGGAAGACAACGGTGGTGGATGATCGCCGCATACTTTCTTTGGTGAAGAAGAACCCGTTCACAACATCAACTGAGGTCCAGAACACTCTCAGAGAAGTAGGTGTATCTGTCTCTAAGTCAACAGTAAAGAGAAGACTCCATGAAAGCAAATACAAAGGGTTCACATGTAGATGCAAACCATTCATCAATTCCAAAAATAGACAGGCCAGAGTTAAATTTGCCCAAAAACACCTCAAGAAGCCAGCCCAGTTCTGGAAAAGTATTCTATGGACAGATGAGACAAAGATCAACCTGTACCAGAATGATGGGAAGAAAAAAGTTTGGAGAAGAAAGGGAACGGCACATGATCCAAGGCACACCAGATCCTCTGTAAAACATGGTGGAGGCAACGTGATGGCATGGGCATGCATGGCTTTCAATGGCACTGGGTCACTTGTGTTTATTGATGACATAACAGCAGACAAGAGTAGCCGGATGAATTCTGAAGTGTACCGGGATATACTGTCAGCCCAGATTCAGCCAAATGCTGCAAAGTTGATCGGACGGCGCTTCACAGTACAGATGGACAATGACCCCAAGCATACAGCCAAAGCTACCCAGGAGTTCATGAGAGCAAAAAGGTGGAATATTCTGCAATGGCCAAGTCAATCACCAGATCTTAACCCAATTGAGCATGCATTTCACTTGCTCAAATCCAGACTTCAGACGGAAAGACCCACTAACAAGCAAGACCTGAAGGCTGCGGCTGTAAAGGCCTGGCAAAGCATTAAGAAGGAGGAAACCCAGCGTTTGGTGATGTCCATGGGTTCCAGACTTAAGGCAGTGATTGCCTCCAAAGGATTCGCAACAAAATATTGAGAAAAAACTTTTTTGTTTGGGTTATGTTTATATGTCCAATTACTTTTGAGCTTCTAAAATGTGGAGTGTTTGTAAACAAATGTGTACAATTCCTACATTTTCTATCAGATATTTTTGTTCAACCCTTTAAATTAAACGTTACAATCTGCACTTGAATTTTGTTGTAGCGGTTTCATTTCAAATCCAATGCGGTGGCATGCAGAGCCCAACTCACGAAAATTGTGTTACTGTCCAAATATTTCTGGCCCTAACTGTATCTCTTTCCGTTTTGCACACACAGTGGCGCTGCTCCCCTATGAAAGCACACGGGTCTTTCTGCGTCGTAAGCTCACATAATGACGACCTGGCTGTAATGACATGGGCTCCCGACATAATGAGCGGCTGTGACTGAAACTCAGGAAGGGGCATGATTTTCAATTTCCGACAGAATAAAGATAGACGCGCTCCAAATGACTCTGAACAGGGCTGTCATTAGGCTGCAGCTCCCGGGCAGCGGCTCTAGAGGTCCACGTGTGTTTCAATGAAACAGCAGAATGTGGAGATGTGCTTTCTGATTATTTCTAAAAACAAAACCAGAAAACATCATTTTACATTCCCATTTATCTGACTTTTGCTAAGACAAATTTCAATACAAACTGGACAAATCATACTGTGTTATTGTGGAGACGGTATCAAAATGTTTCCATCAAAATGTTGTTTTTGTCTCTTTTTTTTTTTTTTTGTAATATCTTGGGAGACCGTAGCTGAAATTGTTAATGGTGCTACAAACAAATTTGGATTTTTGTCAACATTGTAACAAAGTAACAGTGATGTCATATTTTCTGCCAAGTTATCAGATTATTGAGATCTGAATCAAACACGCTATTCGATTCAGATCTCGCTTCACAACTTAATCTAGGCTTTCTCCCATTAACTCCAGACTCCTCCAGTAGAAGTTCTACTGGACCGATCAGTGAGCAGGAGGAGAAGTTCGGAATGTCAATTTTCCACGATGTTTTACAATCCAAATGTGCCTGGAGTTTTAACAATGGCAACGGTGGAAGTGAACGAGTCCATTGTTGTTAAAGCTTCCAAATATAAAGTTGACAGCCGAGTTGCTTGGCTCCGCACTTCTTTCTTTGCAGTGCAGGGTGGTTACTTACAGCCCCGGCAACTTTAGGTAAGCTTCATAGCATTGGAACGGCGCATCACAGAAGTCAGGGGCAAACAATTGTTTTTCAATAGTTGAGACCCTCTGCATGAAACAAAGCACAGAACATGGGACCGGTTTTTACTAGGCTACATGATGACTGGATTGTTGTTCATTTTATGCTTTCATTATCTAGCTGAGAAAAAGGGGATGTCTTCACTTTCTGATAACCTGAAGAATAACAGCATCACTGTCTTTGTGCAACAATTTGACTGACTTGTTTTTTTCTTTTGCTATTGTAAATGTTCCTAAGCATTTGTCTTGTTTGTAAGTGAGCGAAAAGTGTAGTCTCTTCAGTTCATCCAGTTGACCAGCAGAGTGCAGGTGGCGGAGGGACGAGTCAGCTGTACGTTAAGCTCCACACGTCATGAATCCTTAGCGAAACTGTCATTCTGGAGCTTTCACTGACATTCTCAACAAAAGAACCTCGAACCACTAAAATGTCATGATGGGAGATTTGACCGCTTTCGACGCAACCAAAGCTTTTTGAACTCTTGATATAGCTGTAATTGGTGAATAATGGGTCTCAATGTGGTTCACTTCCAACATCATAGAAAAGCCTTTGTAATGATTTTATGTCTTCTGTTCTTGAAGTTCTTCAGATCAGGGCATGAAGTTTTGCTCTTTGAGGTCTTTCAGTATAATTCATGTGGTCAGACAGGTTCTGTTTCAGTGATTTCTAAACATCAGATTGTGTTTTGTCCCTGGGCCAGGCTGGTTTGGACAGACTTTCCCCCGTAATCAAAGTCTAAATTAAAAATCTGAAACACCGAAGTGTATCAAAACTGAATGCGAGAGGAAAAGTGATTTTTCCCCAAACTGTTACGTAAATCCAAGATTACTCTCATTTGAGGATCTCTTTGAGCCAGTTTCACAGCATTTATTTCCTCAGAAATGAGTCTAAACCAAATGTAGACCAAACTGTCGACAACAAGAAGACGCCAGAAGAAGCCTTGTCATTGTTTACCAGCCTCCATTTTGAAGTAACTAATGACATAAAAAAGAAGCTCGAGTATGAAATAATTAGATGGTCAAATGCTTTCAAATATTTATTTACCATCGGTGAGTTTGAGATAAAGACTGCAGGAGACTTTGTGAAAGACGTTTCTTCACTTAACACAACGTTACTCTTTAATTCGCTAAACAGTTGACACAAGCAGTTGCTAGCTATGTACTATGTTCACACTTTGGCCAAAAGATTTGGTCAAAACGTTGGTTTTTACACAAACTAAGAAGCTGTAACCAAAAGTCTTATTAGATCGTATGAGTTTATTTTTAAAAAATCCGATCATTTCTAACACAAAACTAAACTGAACACAGAATCCTTTATTTTCGGCCAAATGTTACTTTATTCAGGAATTCAAGTTACCTTCGATTCTTTTCAACTCAAGTCTTTTGACCTCGGATTGAAACTCTAGCCCTGTTAGAACCTCGATTGAATCAATGGGTTGGTTTAACCCTACTGAATTAAATCAATTCAGGATCGAGGAATGGCTCAGACAAAAATAGAATAGACTATTTTCAATTAAGCCTGTGCTATAGTCCATAAAGACCTCCAGAATCCTAATTTGACATGGAAATGAAATTTTAAACTTAGTTTTTGTTTGATTTAAAAACAACCAGGAGTTCACAAAAAATAACCACCACGAACAACATCTAAGGCACTGCAGACCTTACATGCATTGGTTATGGTTCATAATTCAAAAAAGAAGAAGAACAAAGACTTGGAGGTGGAGGGGGTGGGGCGGACTGCATCAACGGGAGGGCTGTAAGGCAAAAACCACCGCTGACCAAAAACACTCAGAGGCTCATCTCACATTTTTCCAAAATATGTTGATGATCCCAAGACTACAAAGAGGCATGGTGAGGTAAAAGCGGATTATGTGGAGGTAAAAGCGGATTATGTGGATCTGTTTTTGGAAGGTGTGCATCTCATTACATCTGGGTCAACATTGCCAAACATGGTGGTGGTAATCATGAGCTCGGTCTTCTAGCAGAAAACCCCGAAGGAGAGAGTCCTGCCATCAGTTTATGACCATAAGGCGAGGTCTGCGCTGAAATCCAATTGAGATGTCTTGGGATGACCTTAAATAGGCGTTTCTTGCCTGAAAATCCTCCAGTGTGGCTGAATTAAAAATATTTCTGCTCTGAAAAGTGTGCCAAGGTTCCTTCACAGTCTGATCGCCAGTTGTCTAAAATGCTAGATGATGGCTTTAAGCTCTATTGTTGGCACTAGGGATTCAACCAATTATAAAAGTAGTTCCAGTCGGTTATCTGATGACGTCTTCTTAGAACTTCTTCTGAATCTTTTAGTTTGGTCGCCGTCCAGCAGAGGGCGCTGGTGGTCATCCTTAAGGCGGAGCCGTACAGAAATAAAGATGGCGGAGCGATACCTGAGAAACGGCCCAGGAGCCTGTGGAAAATGCACTTAATGCGGTTCCGTTTTGAAATGTAGCTGCTCGAAAAGTTCACCTGAAGAGCGCTCATTCAGTCTCATTCAAAAACTTACTGATGTGATAGAGAGGTAAGATGAATAAAGCAGAAAATTTGTAACACGATGGAAAAAAAAAATACTGCGGCAATGAGGACGGGCCACTTCATGGTGTAAAGCTTTAACTCTCCTCCCAGAGCAAACAATATCGTAATGTGTTATTTTATATAAATATTTGTATGTGAGAAAGCCATAGTGTTCAGTGTTTAATTCCGCGTTATTAAGAACGTAAATTCTTAATAATGTAAGAATTTACATTATTTTGCGTATCATGAAAAATGCGGCCCTTTTATATGAAATACGGTCGTCGCTCTTGATACCAGCGTAAACTCGGGGCTTTTAAGAAAATGGCCGCCTATCAGTTAATTGACAGTCGGCGCGGTGGCTTATGGGGCTCGCGAGCGGTCAAACTTCCGGGTTGATTTGGGTAGAGGTCCCCTTAGTAAAAGCAAACTTTGTGTCAAATCTGAATTTTGTTGCGTCTGACCGACATTAAAAAGATGAGACACGCGAAAGCGCAACTGTGAGGCTTCAAAGAGCTCTAGTGTTATTTCAGGCCAGCACTGATAGACATGCGCACAGCTGATGGGAGAGAGGCACATCTGCACTGACGTCATCACCAAAGGAAAAAAAAAAGAAAAAAAAGAAAGCAGCCAATTTGAAGGCGTCCTGGACATACCCGGTCCTCTGCGCAGTGAGGAGAGGCAGCCTCCCGGCCAACTTTTGCTGCTGTTTGATGCACTCCCCCCCGGCTTCTCTCTCTCTCCTTCCCTCCTCTATCCAAACCTTCCAGAGCTACGCTGAGCCACAAGCATGAACACAAAGTCCAGATTATAAAGGAGAGGAGATAGACTTTGAATGGACCCTTCTGCTGGAAGTCCAATACTCCTCTAAAAAAAAAAAAAAAGCTGAGTAAGAACTCTTCTTTTTTTTCTGTATTTTTTTTCGGGTGTCCCCACGGGCTGAGGGTGGAAGAACTCACTGCAGATCCAGCAGAGGATGGCAGGATTCAAAAAGGAGATGAGAAGAGCATAGTGGAGGAAGTTTGCGTGCGGAACTTTGCAAAGAAAAAAAAAAGAAGAAGAGCTGGAGAAGACTTCTGTGCCGAGCTTCACTTTGCACACTCGGACCGGAGCTGACAGTGAGGATGGGCATGGTAAATCTAACCCCGCACTCCTCTCTCTCACCTCTCAGGGAGCAGGTCGGTGTCTTGGCGCTGCGTTTCTCTCGGTGCGTGCAGTTAAAGCCTCTCAGGCTGGGGTTTTTGCACATGCAGCCGCCGTTTATTTCGGGCGACGCGAGGTGAAGCCTGGGGGTAGTAGATCTGGGAGCCGGTTGCATGGAAATAAACGCAACGTTTTACGCACAGGTTTTTTCCCCCCTTTTCTGTCTGCAGAGTGTGAAGTTCCGCAGGACGGCCGTATGCAAACTGATGATCTCCACGTTGCGTGCAGCAAATAATTAGAATGTTAATAACAATAATAACAAGCTGCACGGTTTATTTTGATTTGTTGGGGCTCCCGGAGGGTTGCGTTTGAGGTACGGGTGTAATGCATGCGGGCCGGCTGCCAGCTGTCTGGGTCAGAGTGGCCAAGTCGGCTGCGCTCTGTCTGGACCGCTGGAGCTCCACAGCTGGGGGAAACGCACTCGCAACCCGCCGATGTTCTCCCAGTTACTTTCGCCACGATTCTCTCCACCCCACCGCTCCTCTGTTTTTGTTCTTTTGCACCGGACGTGTCCCCGCGTCATAAATCATCGACGTGAAGTTCGATCAGCGCCGACGTTCTTTTTTTGTTTTTGTTTTTTGTTTTGCGATTCACGCGCGCCTTTCAGCGACGTCACAAATCCTCCGGTTTTTAAGTTCCCACCGAGTCGGTCATGAAACTGTCATCAGCGTATGATTTAATAAGACGCAGAAAGCAAAGTGGGGAATCTGTCGAGGAACCTGTTGAGACTGGGAGACGCGTTCGGGTTCTGGCTTCCTTCAGCTGCGAAGCTTTGGGCTGTTCTGGCTGAAGATGAGGTGAATCAAAACCTTCTGTTCAACCAGTGTACAGTGGTGGTGCACTGCCTCACTACCCCTCCCACAAGTCAGCAGTCTGCAGAACCCTCTTTGGTTCTCTCGTCTTTCAGGGTTTGTCTTTACCAGTGAGTTTGGGTGATGAGCAGTTCAAAGTCATTCCATTGTAAGGTCTTGTTGTCTGAGTTTGAGGCAGTATGTAGACTTGTCTCCTAACTCCAGACAGGCCCCCATTCATTTTCCCTTCAGAGGAACAGCATCCCCGCAGTATGACGTTTCCACCACCGTGCTTCACAGAGAGTGTGTTCTGCTTGAAGCACAGTATCAGGTCCAGCATTTTACAGGCAGGGAAGGACGTTTCACCTTGGTCTCATCTTTGTCACCTGCATGGCTTTTGGCAGCTTTTCAAACAGGACTTCCTAAATGATCCTTTTAAACAATAGCTTTCTTCTTGCCACTCCGGGTCAGATCTCAGGCTAGTAATTCCCCTTTCAGTTGCTTCCTCAACCAGACCTCTGGATCATTTAAAAAAACAGTCAGTTTAGATTGACTGCTATATCTAGGTAGACTTGCCACATTCTTTGGACTAAATTGTAATTTGTGTGATCTAGTTTGAGATGTTGTTTTATGACCTGTTTTTATTGCTCTGAACGAGGCTGCTTTTTCACCAGGTTCTCTAAAACCTCTTCTCCTTTGAGTCTCCAGCTGGTTAATGTCTGGTTCAGTTCTAGCCAAGTTGGTGGGAATGTGAGTGAAGGACAGTGGGTCCACAGAAACTATCATCAGTGCTCTGATTATGTCAATTGCAGGTTTCTCCAAAATCTCTTGGTATGTTTGTTCACTGCGGTGTTAGCCTATCCAGTTGAGACAGACGGCATCGACTGGATAATTGATAACATTTCAACCTGAAGGTTTGACTGTGGAATTATTGATTTTGCATCTAGTCTTCTTCGCAACTACTATGGTCTTGTTACAGGTTGATAATGGCGGCTGAGATGTCGTTCATAAATCCACGGACCGATCAACAAAAGCAGTCGATCAAATCGCTTGTGCGCAATACTCAGCTCGGTCCGGCTTGCACCCGCTGATTAAAATAAAAATGGGGTACATCCATGCAGTATCTGCAAATGTAGACGAATCTGGCCGGGGTTGTCTGAGGAAGAACCGGTTAAAGCCACAACCGTAGAGGAAGTAGCTTAAAACTATGAGGCAAATTTCCATAGCACTTTTATTGAATGAACCAATCATGTTTAGTTTGCTTTAATTGAACTCTAATTTGTCTACAAAATCCAATTCATTTGGGGAGGTGTGAATGCATATTCAAACTGATGTGGACCAAAACCAGGTTTGTCTAAATCTTAAGCTAAAGAGAATCAAGAACCAGAGGAATAGCTCAGAATCTGTTGATTGGATGTGCATATTATCAATACTGACAAGCTGACAAGCATTAAATTTATAATTTTTTTTTTTGGGAGACGCCCCTTGTGCAAGGGCGACCTGAATGAAGAGTCATATTGCTCAAATCAAAACAACTAATAATTGTTTTGATTTTTTTCTTTTTAAACTCATTTGCCATTTTATATCATTTCAAACTAAAATGTGTTTTTACATTTTATTTATTTTTTAACTACATATCCAGATACATGATCAACAAGTTGATTTCAAAAGCAATAGTTCTGGCATACGGTAAAACCCAGTCTGATGTCCTGCACAGGAACGTAGATGGGTCAGTCAGGACAGGCGTCTGAGACAGAGCCTCTGATTTCTCGACTTCCACCCGGGACCGATGGAGGACGGCGTTTTCCCCCGAGCTGCTGACATGCTTTCAGAGGCCTGTAAGATGTGGACGGGCTCGCCTTCGGGGGAAATCTGAGACCTTGAATGAGCCGCGGGACACAGGCGGGAGTGTTTCAGTGAAGAAGAGAAACCATGGACCTGTTACGGCGCGGCGCCAGACTGACTTTGCGCCTCTAACCCGACTGTAGCGCCCTCTAGCCGCACCCCATGTCACAGCCTTCTCCGAATTATGGAAATTTTGTGGAAGACGCTGACTTGGACACTGAGCTTTGTGGTGATGGCAGCTTCGGAATTTCAAAGACTTTCTCACAGCTCTCAAGGTAGGACAGCACTGGAAAACCTAATTAGAAATATATGCAAACTCTTTGCCTCAAAGTTGTTTGATTTTCATTAAGTTAATTGACTGAGTGACATTAATGTGTGTAATTTTACTGAGTGTAACTTAAGCAAACTTAATAAATCCATGTTGTAATTATCTAAATGGCACGTGAAGCTGAATTTCTTTTTTTTGTATATTGTCACCTTCCTAAATTTGTTTCATTTTTGCCTATATTGTCTTTTTACAATAATCCCCACTGATTTTTTTTTTCCACAATCCCCAGCCTTTCACATTACCTCAAATTAACTAAATAAATTTTTAAAAGGTTTTCACTTCTGGAGGCTGTCAACTTGTTTAAAGACTTTGCATTGTGCATTTTCCAGGTGCATAGTGCCAGTTTGTAGTACAATCAACTAACTATGTCACCTTTAGTAGTTATAAAAATGAAATATTCAAGTATGATTTGAAAGAAATTTAACTTGAAGCCTTGAAATTGGGCCTCTGTCTCTTTTGCTCTTTCTAAAATTCTGACTTCAGGAAGTCGTCACATCTCTCCTCTATTAACCCTTCAGCAATGGTTTTACCAGCTTTGCACTGAGCTGAGTTCGTATAATGAGTTAAGCAGATATGCACTTCCACTAGGTGTTTGCTAATTGCTGCTGGCTAGTCTGAAGGAGCTTGGTGGGGTAAGGTGGCGGAAGGGTTCTCTGAGGTGGAAGCTTGGCAACTACAGCTCCACTTTGAGGCGTTTTTTTAATTTTCATTCAACTAAAGTCAATATTATAATTCACCATACACCCAAAAATTTACTGGACTTAGTTTAATTGAGTGTTAGCAAAACCTTCACTAAAGTCAAGTTATATTCACTCAACTTTTTTCAATTAAATACAATGTTTTGGTGTATGGTGTGGGACAATTGGTTAAAAAAAAAAAAAAACCCAACTGATTAATCTTTTTGCTCTTCTTCTCTTGCGTTCCTGCGAAAGAGGAGTTCCTGTCTTACCTGCAGCACTACCAGCTGACCGTCCCGGTGCGCGTGGACGAGAACGGGAACTTTCTGAGCTACAGCGTGAAGCACCAGCGGCCGGGCCGGCGGAGGCGGGCGCTGGCGGACCCCGCCGCCGACCCGCCAGGCTCCCAGATCTTCTACAGGCTGTCGGCGTATGGGAAGCACTTCCACCTGAACCTGACGCTTAACCCCAACCTGGTGTCGAAGCATTTCACGGTGGAGTACTGGGGCAAAGAGGGGCCCGAGTGGCGTCACGACGTGCTGGACCACTGCCACTACGTGGGCTCCCTGCAAAGCCAGCACAGCACGACCCGAGTGGCGCTCAGCAACTGCAAGGGCTTGGTGAGTACGACGCTCGCCTCTAAGCCGACGAGGGCACGAGACGATTCACGCCGCTTGCCTCAAACAAACCCTCACATAAACGTCAGATAACTCACACATGCCGCCGCTGCTGCTCAGCCGGAGGATCCTGCTGGTTGTCTTGGCTCTTTTCCACCTGGCAGGCCGACTCTGCTGGCAGCTCAGAGTGAGGTCATGCTCATGTAGGAGAAACAAACAATGTCTGCGATCTGGGAATGTGACGCCTCAGCAGATCTGCTCACGTTCCTCCGGTTGTCACGTTAAGCTCACGTGTCTCAGGGGGCCCACAGACGAGCGCTCTCTGTTTTACCGCGCCTCGCAAGGAAGCCCGTTGCATTTCTTCACCACAGACGTCGGCGCGTTTTATTAAGGTTCAACATGCCAGACAAACACAGAGGCTGTTAGGTTTTCTCCATGCGTATTGTGCTATTTTTGCATGTAGGCCGGATAGTTTCTGACCAGAGCATTTCCTTCTCACAATTTTTGCTATTTGAGTTATTGTTAATTTTTGAAAGTAGTTGGTTGCTCTGGATTTTATTTTGGGGTATTAGTTTAAAAAGGGTCGATGAAACAAAGTCTGATCTGGTTTCTTTACATTCTAGTCGAATTCTGTTAGCTTAGCAGACTGCACTTAAAATTCTCAAGATGTTGGTTAATAAATCACATTTTAATCTAAACCTATACACTGACAGAATAAAAGCTTTCAACTCAAAAACCCCTTTTTGCTACTAAATGATTGACTAAATACATATAAAAGCTTGATATTTTTGTGTCCAATCTACTTTTTGGTTCTTCACAACGTTTGAATTGAAATAATAAAAATGGTCTTAAAAAAATTCTCTGATTAATTTGGCATTTAGGACGTAAAAAAAAAAAAAAGAAGTTTGTTCTGATTTCATGAGTGTTAAAAAAACAAAACACATTTCTTTTTTATACAGTGTATGTAACCTTCTGGTTTCAGCTCTTTGTACATGTACAGTTGAGGCATGCCGCCAAGCACCAAAGTCTTAATACGCCTTAAACTTTTCACATTTCTTCGCCACAAATGTCAGGGTGTTTTATTAGAGTTTAATGTCCCAGACAAACTTAGTGGCAACAAGCTCTGTGGCATAGCGGACGCCGAGAAGCACTCAGCACGGAAAATAATAAGCCAATAACGTAACATCTCTATAGACGGAGATCTCCTATCGATCAGAAATCATTTTAGCTGATCTTTACTTTTTTTTACCTGTAACGTCGTCATACCCAGACCTTTGAGAAACATAGGGCTCCTATACACAAAAAGCAATTTATTTCTTAAACAAACTTTCAGGGAAAACTTTTTTCTAAAAAGTAAAACATTTTATGTTTTGCTAATATGTTTTTTTTTTGTTTTTTTTAATCATTCTAACAATATACATTTGTATTATTGCTATATTTAATCAAGAAAGACCCAGAGAGATTTAATGTCTCATTGGACCAAACAGACATTAACCTTACAAATAAACTTTTACTAAACATTTTAAGATATAATGAAAGAACAAATAATCTAAAATGACAAACATCCATCCAAATGGATACTCATGTGACATAATTTTATCTTTTGAGAGATACGGGTTTCATTTCCTTTCAAGGAGCAGTGTCATGTAAAATCTACTTTTTTGAGCTTTTCATCGTGTTATAATCTTATCCCCTCATCAAAAACATATCTGGAGTGTTGTTCATTCATGTTTGAGAAGTCCTTTACTCTAATCTTCCAAGGCAACCATTCAGAGTTTGAGAAAGAGTCGGGGCTTCTCAAAGGGCCAGAAGCTCCATTTTAACACATTAAACAACTGAAGGTAACATCCATACTTGACTGTGCTTTGAAATGGCACTATGTGCATAGAAAACACATAATACTGCCGCTTTAGAAGGAGAATCTTTTGAGTCATTTTCACGGCATTTTTGTTCTTTATGCCTTTTCTGTATAAATCAGGACAGATAGTTTAACATCATGTCCGTTCAATTCAATTCATACTTTATTTGGACTTTTTAAAACCGTATATTGTTATTATAATCCTTTATTTATTTATCTTTTTAATAAGAGTGCAATAGTTTGTGTTAATAGTCACATAAAAATAAATTAAATGTAAGTTAGCAGTCCTAATGTGACAAAATAGTTATGAAAAAAAAAAACTCCAAGGGATATTAATAGTTATGCAAGGCACTGTAAAACAAACTTTTAGAAACACTAATAAAGTGTCTAATTATCCTGTCTGGGCTTTTAGTCGTCCAGAGACTCTCTGACTGTCCAGCGTCTCCCTGCTAATCAAGAACTTGGACGAGGTTTTAATAGCTGCTATCCCTCCGTGCTTTGAGTAACTCTAAAGAAGGAAGAAAGGGCCCAGCTTCTTATTGGCAACCAGAATCATGCGAAGCAAACATGTGGCCAAATGTGTTGGCAAGACCCGCGCTGAGTATCATAAATTGAATTAGTGTTTGCTCCTTTTTTCTTTTTTCTTTTTTTCCCCCCCTCCAGCACCAAAAATGGACAAAAACTGTGTCCTTGCTTTAATGTAATCAGCTGTCTGGACGGTATGAGATCCTGACATCACACACTAGTAAAACCTTTGCATCGAACGTGTTCCTACTTGGGAGTGTGTTACGTCTTGAATTGCTTTTATTGTAGGTTTTGCGTAGCCAAGGCTGTGTGTAAACCCAAACCAATGGGGCTTCTCATCATTTATGCTCCACACAAGCTCTTGGAACATGAAGAGGAATATTTTAAAGTTTGTCTTGGGATAATTGATTGTTTTTGGTTTGTTAAAGTAACAAAAGATTACCGATTCACGTGTATGTAAAACACTTCTTCACTGGACAGAGTAGGATTTTTATAAAGTACTGTTTCTGAAGACTATATATACATATATATATATATATGAGAAATCAGAACTAAAGTGGAAATAATGAGATGTTAATAATTCCAACTCGACAGATTACCTTTCCTCTGCCTGATAGACAATATTACTAATGCTAACAATATACACATGTTTATATATGTGTACATATACATGTTTTTGCGATTTATTTTCCAAAAAAGATGCCAATATATGGGATGATATGTTCCTTGGATTATGGATGGCTGCACCTAGAACTCAGCATTTCCCTACCTGTAGGTGTGTTGGGCCTTTTCTAACTTCCTTTTGTACTTAACTCTGCTGCAACAATAATATTTATAATTACTTTCTTTTAGTAATAAAATGTAGTAACAGCAATGTTTTCTATTAACCTGGCACCATTCTGAGTCCTTTCAGGCAATAGCACTTGTCCGATGAACTTTTATGTTTTATCAACTTCACAGTTCTACCTTTACAGCTTTATTGACAGTTAAAACGCCTGAATGTAATCGCTGAAATTTTGGGTAATAAAATGGCTGCCAGAGGACAAAAATAATGAACTCAGTGAAAGAACAATCTAATGACTTTTCACATAATATCAGCTTGTAAGGAAATCTTCCCCTCGGTGCTAGCATCTGTTTTGTTAGCACTGCTGCTTTTAAGCTGCTCCTTTCCTGTAGCTGCTAGCTAAGCTGAATGTTGGCACACACATCAACGAGAACAAGTAGAGATTCTACTTCAGCAAATTTCTTTTTCCCTTTGTGAAGGGAAAAGATAACAATCATAACAAGTGAGACCAAATGACTACCAACAAATTTATTAGCATTACCACAAACAAAGGCATACTCTGTTCTTCGATGGTATTATTCGGTGAAGTTAAGAAGGTTTCACATAACGACTGCTGGCATAAAATTGTTTCTATGCATGCTTCTTCGGAAAGTTTTTATAGTTTCAGGAGTACCTAGCTATGCCCATTAAATACAGAAAGCAGTCATTGTTAGGACAACTTCTATCCTGGTGGCTTTTGTTTGCTGATATTGAAGCGCCATCTTCAGCTTTACTGACATTGGAAACCACTGAAGATATAAAAGCTGGTGTTTTTGGATCTTCGAAGTGATGGCTCTTTGAAGTTTATAAACGGCTATTTTTCTAAATTACTTTAGCGATTAGTCGTGCTGCAGTGTTAATGGCCTGTACGTAATTAGAAACAACAAGTAGAGAATTGGTTTCAGCTGTTTATTATTTATTTCGCTCCTTTTTTAAAGCAGTGCTACTACGGCCACCACGCGTTTCGTCAGCACCTGTGCCTTTGAGCTACAAAGAGCAGCAGGAAGAGACTACTATGACATGCTATCGGTGAACAGGGTATCTAAGTTAATAGAAGCAAGCACTCCTGCTTTATAGCTGAATGTAAGTAAGAAGTTCCATCAAAATATAAACTATGATTTTTCTGTCACATTCTATTTAATATAAGAAAATCTAACATACATGTTTTTCTTTTAATTTTTAATGCGATATATCAACACAAAGTAGTGGCTGGTGGTGAAATGGAAAGAAAAAGCGGCATGTTGAAAATTCTCAATGTGCAAAATCTTAAAAGTGCGGCATGCATTTGTATTCATCCCTCTTTACTTTGATACCCCCTAATAGCATCTAGGATCATTAGCTGTGTTTCCACTGATCATGTAATCGCACAGTTTGACATTTTGAAGATGAATTTGCTTAATGGAAGCACAGCAATTTAAAACAAAAAGACTTTGTTTTTAAATAAAAAGTTTTCCTTCTAGGAGGAGGTGGTTTTTCGGTTGTATCAAAATTGATTTGATTAGCAAAACTGCAGTAGAAACACTTTTTTTTAGTATCGCACGAGTTGCGTTATCAACAACGGGATGTTGCCACTGGCAGAAAAGTTGAAGAAGACGACAACGGGAAGTAGTTCGAGAAAAATGACACAGCATTTCTTTAAATGATATGTGTGATTAAACCTGTTCATGTTTTAACTTCAATCACTTTTCTTAGTGGAAAAGCCGCCATTGTTAAATTGTGATTTTTTTTTTTTTTTTCCACATTAGCGGAATATTGACAAACGTTTGCACTCATTTGTGATGGAAACACAGTTATTGACTGGTTTCAGAAATCACCTGATTGGTAACTGGAGTCCTATAGCTGTGTGCTGGTTTTAAATAGAGCTGTTCTGAATTGGCCAGACCACTATGAATTACATGTGGTCCACACAAACATGACTAATATGGAAAAGTAGCATTAAAAATAAAACGGTGGTGAGAGAAAATCATAACCAGCGAGACCAAAATACAACTTTTTTTCATTTATTTTTATTGCTTTAGTGCAAAACAGTGTGTGGAGGAAAACTAACACTGCACATCACCCTAAGCACACTATCCCCAAACAGGAAGTGGCTCCATCATGCTGTGGGGATGCATTTCTTGTTCACTGACAGGGAAACTGGTCAGAATTAATGAGATTCTGACCAGGAGGTGATTACTCTGAAATCCTGAAAGAAGCTTATTTCTTACACTTTACAGTACTTTAGTACTTTGTTAGTCTATAAACTAAAATCCCAGGAAAACAAACTGAAACTTGTTGCCGTCATGTAAAAAAATGATGCACCGAGGTCACAGATGCAATTAAAAAGTAGTAAACTCCCTATGCGCTTCAGTGGTTAGCTCTCCATTCCTTTAAACACAATGAGAAGTGAAGGCATTTTGTGCACCGACTCGTATTATTAAACAAAGTACTCCGCTCCCATTTTCCTACAATCTATAGTTTGTTGGAGCCGTTGGATCACAGAGAAAACATCTCCTCTGTGCGACGACTCCAAGCCAATTAGTGGATATATGCCAGATGAGCATTTTCCATTTAGGTATATTTTGAGAGTGCACTCAAATTGCCTAGCAACTGTACGACTACAGTGCTTTCTAAGACAAAGAATCGTTTGTATAAGGTGGGCACTTAAACAGAACGGGAAGCTGTTTGCCAGGATTGACATATTATGCCAGATTTCTGCGGCTATCTTCATTTCATAACTCCAGATATCTGCGTTTTATCTTTACACAATGCATTTTTCCAAACACAAATCAACTCAAAATTAGCCTGTTTGTATGATATCGCCTCTGAGATTAATCTGGTTTTTATTCACTGTGTGAATTTTTTGACCTGTTTCTTACTTTGATTTTCTTCACCCAACCAGCACGGCGTCATAACAACAGAGGAAGAGCAGTATTTAATAGAGCCTTTAAAGAACACGTCCTGCGCCACCTCCAGTGAACGGAACCTGGACGGAGCTCAGCAACATGTTATTTATAAAACGTCTTCCATCCCCTCGCCGCAAGAGCAAAGCCAGGAGTTCAACTGTGGCATTTCAGGTTGGTGAACCTCCATCTGGGTTGGATTCAGTGAGGGTGGAGCTGACGTAAAGGAAGAGCTAAACATAGCAGGTCAGAGGAAATGCTGGTTTGGTACCAGGCCCGGGTTCTGGTAGACATAACTGGACCTCTTGTGTGCCAAAACGAGCTCCCGCGGCAAACACCTTTCAACCTGTAAGAGTAAGTGTTCACTTTGACTCTCACAAAAGCCCCTTCAGGGGGATGCAGTGCCGTACTTCAGCTCTTCCACGTTTTGTGGGATAGCGGCCACAAACTTTGGTTTATCTCATTGGGATGTCCTGTGACGGACCAGCATGAAGTAGAACGAAGAGAGAGACCACAGTTTTCAAACTGCATTACAAATAAAAATTATAGAAATTCATCCCTCTGAGTTAAAACTGTCTGTGTAGTTTCAGATGGAAATATTTTGGAGTATTTCCTTGTCAGCTTTGCTTTTCTAAATACTAATGTTTTATCCTGTGTTCTCTCTGAATTGCTCAATCAGATTGGATGGAGAGGGTTTGGTGTTCAACGGCTTTTTTAGTTGAACTCACCTGTGGACTTTCAATGGGTCAAATTAATACCCCATAATCTATTTGATCATAGCTCCAGCTCTATGCTTTGGGTCGTTGTCATGCAGGAATGTGAACCTTCGCCTCAGTCTGTCGTCTTTCAGACCAAAAAAGGTGTATTTAGCTCCATTAATCCCTCTGTCAACTGGGAAAAGCGTCCACACTGAATGATGTTTCCACCACCATGTTTCACGATGACAGTGCTGTCCCCTCATCGATCTTTTTGCATGTAGGTGAGAACAGAAGGTTTTGGGTGTCACTACCTTCTTCCACATATTTACTGTGTTCAAATTGGACTTTGTGTGGCTTTCCTTAAACAGTGCCTTTCATACAGGGTAAATATGCAGAGTCCCCAGAGGATATTCCCAGCTTTGAATTTCTCCATAGCATTTTTGTTGCAATTCAGCTGCTTGTTTACACGTTACCAGTGATCGGAGTGTTTTTTGACACCGTGTCTCACAGGGAACATTCCCGATCTGCCTCTATTACACACAATAACAATGTGTGTCTCTGATAACAATGTGTCGTCATTCCGATTGCCCGGTTGCCGCGTCATGACACTCTCTCTTTGCCTCCCTGTCGTTCACAGACCTCACAAAAAGCAACGCACCTTGCCAGTTTAGCACACCCTCCCCTGTCCACCTGTCCCCCGTCCCTCAAAATGCCAGCCAGCAGCCGGCCGGCGCTCACAGGCGCCGGAGGTCCGTCAGCTCCGAGCGCTTCGTGGAGACGCTCGTGGTCGCAGACAAGATGATGGTCGGCTACCACGGACGCAAAGACATAGAGCACTACATCCTGTCTGTGATGAATATTGTAAGTTTGGTCTTACTCTTTGCTCTAACGTGTTGCAGATGTCCGCGGTTAGCGGCGGATTTATGGACTCTTGGGGCTAAGACATCTGACTTTGTGTCTTTCCTTCTTTTCTGGAGGTCAGGTTGCCAAACTGTACCGTGATTCCAGTCTGGGAAATGTTGTGAACATCATTGTGACCCGTCTAATTGTTCTCACGGAGGACCAGGTACGTCCGAGTCTCTCTTCCTAAGCCTGAATCGTTTACCTTTTCGAGTGCGAGCTCTCTTGTCTGCAGTGGGTGTAAAGACGGATGCTCTTGGCATCAGTGGGCTGCCGTATTTTTATTTGTCTGCTGTGGCTAAAGGGGCAGAGGGAAGATAGACTACTCACCATATGGACAGCGCTTTACATAAAAGCCGCGCTCCAGCATGGCTCCTCAGGGAGCTTTGATTAAAGCAGTGCTTCTCAATTATTTTCCGTTACGCCCCCCATATCAAGAAGAAAACTATTCGCGCCCCCCACTCCCCACCGTGACTATCCATGTCTACTGCAGGCAGTATCAGCTCCTCTGCTATGGTGTGGGGCTTTTTGCACTGCGCAATTTGGTACGCCACCTTATATGATGCTAGCAGCGCTCGATGGTTTACTGAAGTAGCCTTCACAAAGCGGGATGACTGTTGGCAATATTCAGCACGTTTTCGCTGAAAAAACTCTAGCGGCTTACGCGTGATTGGGATGTAACATATTTAAGTGACGCGCTAATTTATTTGGCTTCATGCTGTCCGCTGCGAGCATTTTTAGACACAGCAAACACACCGGTCTTTCCTCTTCTCCAACTGTAGTCACAGTGAAGCCAAGCGCTAAATACGCTTCGTCGTATTTCCTCTTCTTAGCTTTCGGTTGACTTTCTGTTGTCTCATTATCTTTGTCTCTCTCCGCTTTTCTTTTCATCCCTGTAAAACTTTTTCATGTTGGGGGTTGTTGAATAACGGAGGCCATAGACAGAACGCAGTCGGAGCTTTTTGTTGACTTAACACTGCTAACCAAGGCAAACCTGTTGTCTTGTAAGTCGAAATGTTGCACTGTCGCAAACATGACAGAAGTAACAATGAGAGCGCCACTGCCGCCTACTGTGCGCAATTACACTTTATACTAGTACGGCCAAAAAAAAAGCCTGTTCCCCAGGATCACACGCGCCCCCCCAAGTATCGCACCGCGCCCCCCAAAGGGGGCCCGCCCCACTATTTGAGAAGCACTGGATTAAAGGTTTTAGATGCACAGAACATACAGTATAGTTGACGGGAGAAACATCTGCTTTTTCAAAGATACCTACAGTTGAAGCCACATATTTACATACGCTGAATAAAACGACACAAACATTTTTTTCCCTCCGCCGTCTGAAGTTAAATTTGACCAAATTTTTCTTGTTTTAGCTTTGCAAGAATTCCCAAATTTATTTTCTTTTGCTAAATGGCAGAAAGCTTTATTTTAGAAAAAAAATTGTAACTCATTAAATTCAAATGTTTTTACATTTGACCAGTTTAATCAGGGGAAACCATTAAACTGCAGGGCTTAACAAACATTTTGGCAATTCTAACTAAATGAAGCCCAAAAAAGTTTGGTCTCATTCAAGTGAAGACAAAATATTATTCTTATATATATTTATATTAATAAAAAACTTATGATGCTTCATTAAAAATGAGATGTTATAAAAACGGCAAAACCCAAAAAGATGGCAAGCTTTCAAACGGAATCTAATAATTACATCCAACATGTAACAAATAGGCCACAACAGAGGACAGGATGTGTTGATACGAACAGGTTTGTACTGTATGCATCACTTGGCTGCATACAGCTGTTTCATGCTGCACTGTGTTGCACGTGTGTCTCTCCCAGCCAAACCTGGAAATTAATCATCATGCTGACAAGTCTCTGGACAGTTTCTGTAAGTGGCAAAGGTCCATCCTGTCTCATCACAGCAGCGGGAACAGCATTCCCGAGAACGGAATGGCTCATCACGACAACGCTGTTCTAATCACCCGGTAAGAGTTGGCCCGCAGCTGCCGCTGCCGCTACAGGCTTAGCTTACTGCCAGCACAGCGGTCCAGCATTCGATTCAGTGTAATTGTCTCATTTTAGAGCAAATAGCTTGCAGGTTACTCAGCAGCCGCCAGCTATGCGCTACCGGTTCGGTTCGGTCCACATCTGTACACTATGTATACCTGCCTGTGAGGGAATAAAGAACTCGGTCCTGGAAATAAATTGTGCTTTTACAGACGTATTGTACCTGTCACCCTGCAATTTATGTCAAGGCTGTTAGCATAAAGCAGCAAGAATTCTGACGTTAGCTGGAAAAAGGCTTTAATGTATCCAGAAGTGTTTTGGCCAGGTTTCGTAGCAACTGGAAACTGTATTCTCCTTCTGGTTTGCTCTGGAGAGGAAAGCTTTGATTGACAGGAGTGTTTGGTTTCCGTACAAAAAACAGCTTTTCCATCATTAGTGAACACTTTCATGTTGTCTGTCACTTGATGTTCTCCAGGCTCTTTTTTTCTTTTTTTATCGGTTCTAGCTGAACGTGGTGAGCACAAGAGGCTACATTCATCAGACAGAAGGCAGTAACTATTGTTGCAAAATAAAATTTTTAAATATGTCAACTTCTGAGGGGCAGAAGGCCAAGTTGGGCATAGAGAAGAGTCGGATTTATTTAGTGCTGTCACCATTTTAAATGTGTGCAAAACAATAAAAGCAAAATTTTTGCGATTGCAGTGTTTCCATTAAATAAAAAATGCAGTCAAAATCACAAGTGAATATGTTTGTTTATGCAATTAATCTTTAAAAATGTCACAACATGATCCTCAATCCACTTCATGTGGTCTTCTTTGTAATTTGCAGAAGTAGAAACATTCGGTTATTAATCATGTGACTTGTGATGTGGAAAAAAGCATTTCCTTGGCAGTTTTTCAAAATAAACCAATTTTATTACAAGCAAAAATCCTCATCCTAGTGCCAAAACGTTTTTTTTAATCAAAAATGAGAGTTTTATGAAATGGCTATTTCCGTAAAGCAAGTTTATTTTAAAAATGTCCGATTATATTCGCAGTTATATGGCCAAAGGAAACGTTTGGCTAACTTTAGAGTGCTAACATTAACACTTTAAAATTTAATGTGTTAATGTTTCATAAACCTGATTAATCCGTTTGCCCATCTTGAACTAAAAGCCTCTGTTCTGTGAAGGCTTACCTAGTTCACAGTCTTGTACTGCGTTCAACAAAGCAGAGTCAAAAATGGAAGTGAAAAGATGAGCGAGGAGAGTCGGGCTGGTGTGCTCAGCTGCAAATTTTGCTTTAAGAAACACCACGTCTGGAGCGGGCGCTCTGGTTATAGACTGTGACTTTTAGTTCAGGTCCCCGCTTTGGTTTCTTTGCTGCATACTTTCTTCCCTTTTACTTTTTCCCTCTTTCTGTCACAATGTCGAATAAAGTCCACTAGTCTTCAAAAAAACAACAAAAACCAACGTCACTGTGACGGACGTTTGAATAAAATCAAGGTAGCATGTAGCCTACTTATTGCAACGGTGTCTTCTTTTGAGGTTTTCATGTCATTTCTTTGAGTAGTTCTTCTTTGAGTAGTTCTTGGTGCAGCACCACCACAGGTGTGGAAGGGAACAGTTTGCTCAAAGGGTTTGGTTCATTTGAGACAGTGCAGTGTTGAAAAGGAAGATATGACCTGTCAGGCTCAGAAAACAGCAAATATTGAGGGAATCGATCAAAACAAATAAATGTTGTGAAGGTGACTGTGACTCTAAAGGGAAGAAGGTTGCAGAAAAGGAAAGCAAGGTGGAAATTCAGTTAGTGGTGCTTTTGAATTTAATAGATTAAAAGCTTCTGCAATGATTGGATCCTTCATTTGAATTGTATGATGTGTTGTTGGAGCGTGTCAGAGTCTTCCTCCGCTCTATCGGATGATGTCATTGTGGCGTTATAGGGCGAACGAAGCCTTTCTGTTTATTCCACTTTGCGTTGGAGCGCTGCAGCTCTGCAGCTACGGCTGCAGAATGCTCCGGCAGTGGACAGAGGAGGGAACCAGGTGTTTTTCTAGAAGCAAACCTGTCATGACTTCACCATTGTTATACTAAAGGCTGAGATTATATCTGGCCAGACTGTGATTAAACAAAGAAAGAATGGAATGGCCAGGAGCCAGCGGAAGAAAAACTGCATAGACGTGAAAAGAAAATAGTTAATTTAACGTTAATATTTGTGTTTCTGTCTTCTTTTTTTTTTCTGAATCTGTTTTTAGATATGACATCTGCACCTACAAGAACAAACCCTGTGGGACTCTAGGTGAGTTGTTTAACTTCACTGGTGATGACTAGTTGTGTTGGTTTTCTCATTTGGCCTTCAGCGTGTCCTCAGACAAACCTTATTTAGCAACTTTGTGTGTCTCTCAGAAGAACTCAAGACTGTTCCTGTGAGACGTAATGAGAAGAATGTTTTAATTTGTGTTAATATAGCTCCTCTGTTGCCCCCCTGCCTCTACCCCCATGCTTGTTGGCTGAGGCCGGGAGCCCAGAACAGGGACAAGTTGTGGTCAACTCCTCTTGGGTTCCTCCAGTTCATAAAACTCCTCCGTGCCTGTCCTTCAGCTCTAACCTCGGTTTGTTTAAGGTGTTTACACATCCACTGGCGGCTTTCGAGAAGAGAGAGTGGAGGGGAGAAGAATGGTAGGGATGTTGGAGTGAGGTAGAAAGAGGAGATGGACTGCAAGTAGAGGAGGTGGAGTTGAAAGAAAAATAGAAGGGGAAAGAGACAATTACAGGGAGTGTTAGGGAATGATGGGGTGATAACCAGGTTTTGCTGATATTGGGGGGTGAGTAGGGTGGGAAAGGACATCAACCAGTGGCAAACTGCCCCTTCAACTCCACCTCAAATCTCCTCCCTGTCCATCTCTCCCCATCTTATCTGGGCGAAGGCCCCGCAGGCTCCACAGTATGTCTCGGAGGTAATATCGTGACCTCAGAGGTGCTTTGACAGATTGACCGCATTCGTCACACCCCCCCCCCAACGTTGCCTTAATTGCCCCGGCATCTGCTTGGCTTCCTCGCAGTCCCCCTCTCCCCTGCTTTCCCTCTCTTCGTCGGGGATCACGCTCGGAGGTCAGATCAACAGACCTTTAGGGTCGCCGAGTAATCACGGGGCTGGAAGATAATGTGCAATACGCCCTGGTGTTAAGAAAACAGCCTTCAGTGCAGTGTGTGTGTTTGCACTCAACACACTCTCATCCCCTCCCCGCCCAACACACACAAACATTCTCAGGCTAATCGTAGAGTAGCCACCCTCCTTCCTTTCCCCTCCCTCACCTCTTTCTTTCTTCACCTTCAGGCTCCCTCTTTCCCCCCCACGGTAATGGTTTCAGTAGCCTCCTGATTTGCGTGTCTATTCTTGTTTTAGCCTCTTAGCCAAGAGGATAGTAAAGCCAAGCCACCTTAAGTAGGGAGTTCTGTCAGGCTCCGCATGAAAATGTGGAACAGTGTTTCCCACCAGTCCAGGAGGTGGAAAGGCAAGCAGTGCAGACCTTGTTGTGAATACGGTGACAGATCAGGCTAACCTTGGCATGAAGCGCATCCTCCATTCGTCCATCACATGACGACAGCTGATCTCGTTGTATTCCATTCTGATTTGATGTGATAGGAAAACAGAAAGTAACATATTATTGTGAAGTAGGAGAGAGTGATACATAGCTTTGGGGTATGTCTACCAGTTTTGGACTCAATAAAATCCCTTTTGTCCTTTCATTCTTGCAAAATAGGGAAAGTCACTGCTTCCCCTCATTAAAAGGATGCAGTTGAGTTGCTGATGAAGGAGCCACCAGTTCATCTCCTGTTGGAGGTTTTTCTGGCGAGTCTCTGGGGAATACCCAGCACTCGATTACAATGACGTTTAGGGTTGCAGGGTTTCCCCAAGAGTGTTGTAATCCGTGTGGGTCCACCAGGCTTTACCTGCTCCCCACCCCACTGGGAATTTAAATACAGTTTTCTAGACAGAGAAAACACTGAAAGTAAATACAGATTAAGCTAGGTTTATAGTTGACACATTAAACTGGGCCTGTGAGAGGTTGCCCACCAATTGTGACGTTCCTGCCTCTCCCCATTGGTCTATTATTTGCAAACTAGAGTACCTGCTCATGCATCTTTGAATTTTTGTAACTTTAAAAATTTTTTTAACACAAAAACACGGTGGGCTGCTTGCGGATTGTCCTAGCGCCCCAACACTGGGTTTAGCAGGTTTTCTGGGGGAAACCCTGAATGGTTGGCGCACAGTTCAGGAGCTATGAATACTTTTCAAGGCTCAGTAAGTGAAACTGCACAAGAGCCGAGAACAAAAAGTACGCCTGGATGTTACTGGCCCTCGTTCAGTTAAATAATTTCTTCTCTTGTATCCTGAATTGTAACAATGTTGCTGCTAACTTGTAAGTTTTCTTGCAAGTTTCAAGTAAGATTCAACTCGATTAGATTAGACCAGACGGTCTCGAGCAGCACTACTTTGTAAAAAAAAAAAAACAAAAAAAACTTTACCTTTAAAAAAAAGTGTGGGAATGGTTTTAACCAAAGTGAGCCATTACACAATAACTCAACACACACTCTCAAACAGACCCACACACCTGCTTCGTGCTGTTATATGATCCCCTCTCAGGCCGGTAGATGTAATCTGTGAAGAATTGCAAGCGGTCCCCTTATCTGACCTGTCAGGCTTTAAGGGAGGAAAAAAAAAGAACCTGCGACACCTGGATTGTGGAGCAGTTTTGGCTTTAACCTCACCCCCCCAACCCGTTTCCACCTCTCTATGAGGAAAACAGAGACCGTCTGACAGGTTTCTGCTGAGGCACGGCGCTAGCAATCCCTGCCTTTGTAGCCAATACTCCATGCCGCAAACCTATAGGTATAAATCCATAACCCCGTCCAGACATTTCCTGAGTCTTTTTTTTTTCTCTAAGTCAGCCATGCGTGTGATTTCAAACTAAAATCTCCATCCTGAATCTCCATTTGAGTTTGTTGAGGAGTCACCCGTTTTATGACCATGTCTCCTAAGAATGCACTGCCTTGACCCTGTGTTTGTGTGTCTGTCTGGCGTGTGTGGATCTGCAGGCTTGGCCTCTGTGGCTGGAATGTGTGAGCCGGAGAGAAGCTGCAGCATCAATGAAGACATCGGCCTTGGCTCGGCTTTCACCATCGCACACGAGATAGGCCACAAGTGAGTTCTGAAGGCTTTTTACAACGAGATACTAGCGTGAAATATTAGGTTTGACGTACTCCCAGATGCAAAATGCAGGCGAAACAAAACGGTTGAGTTTATAAGCGACTTGTTGGGATTCAAGAGTTTCATTGTCAGGACTGTTTTTATGTTTCAATATCAGGATAGTTGTAGAAATTCAGCATGTTTGATCTTTGATTCAGAATCCTTTATTTTAAGTTCCAACCAGGGATTGGGTTTGCAAATGTGGCGAGACAAGCGATGCACAAAAACAACAGTTGCACTGTTTTAAAAATGTAACATTGCTGTCCTTGATGAAATAAAATGGAATCAAATTGAATCGAATCTCAATCAGATGCTAATTGTGTGGCTTTCTAGAAAATTTAATTTCTTAAATATGTGTAAAAAATTTCTGCGATTGTGCTTTTTTTCTAATGATTTTAGCTTGTCTTGCTAAATTATTTGCACTGTATCTTGTGGTGCATTCACACCAGCCGTGTTTAGTCCATTTAAATCGAATTCACGTTTATTTGATTAGAAAATCGAGTTCGTTTGATGAGGTGTGAATGTGCAGTAGAACCTTGATCTGGACCAAAAAATAAACAACCTCTGGTCTGTCTACAAACCTCAGTCTGGGTTTGATTGGCACGGTTCAAATTCATATGTGAACGCCAAGCTCCAAAAGCAGGAAGCACTCTTCAGTGCAGGGCATTCTGGGTAAACACAACCAAAATAAACATGTGTGTCTAGCACTAGCGGAAAAATGGCTTGTAGTCTTTTGCCAAAAGACAAAAGAGAAATCCTACAACCTCTGACGTCATTTCATTTGTGTTTAAGAGAGATCAGCGGAATTGTTTTTTGAAGGTTTTGGATCATTTGACAGTGCAGAGTGAAAGAGATCCGCAGCAGCTGAAAATGTAACAAGTGTTGCAATTTTAGCCTACAACTGAATGCAATTTACCGCTCCACCAGCTGTGAATACAACCTAAACAGACTTTCAAAGAAACATAAAATATTGCCCTGCTGTATGTTTTCTGTCTTTGTGAGTCGACTTCCTCTCTATTTTTACATAAACATCCACCGTCTTTCTGTACTTCATTATTATCTCATTAAAGCGGGTAAAATCATCTGATTGTTATGTCTTTGTACTAGATTTTAAAGCTTGTTCTCCGAATAGTCTTTGGTAAGTTTCCGTTCCAAATGTTGCAGAAGTACATTCTGCAGCATTAATTCTGTTAAATGACTTTATCTGTCTGTCAGATTGTTGTTCAGAAGGTTTGACTCATTCTTCTTTGTGACATTGGCCTCTGTTCTTGTGCTTTAACCCAAATTGTCAGTTCTTCACTTCACCCCTCGACTGATTAGCTGCTTTTAGATAAAGTATCTCTGAACATGTTGTTGTGCTTTACAGCCAAACATCTCTGCTGACTGCAGCCTGTGCAGAAACTTTCTCAGTGTTTCCATTAAATAAGACACCCGATTAAAATCACACGTGAATCAGTTTGCGCACGCGATGAGTCATTAAGTCCAGAAATCCAGGACTGTTCCTTTAGACGATTCTGTGGCCAGATCTTGCACAGGAGCTCATGAACAGCTGTCGTTCTTCAAGTTGCGGTGAACACCAGCAGGTTGGAGTTTGATGGATTGCTCTGAAATTTAGTACAGGCAATCAAGGCTGTTTTGGGCTTCTCCTGATTTCTCATCTTCCCCAATTATCAGGTGCAAATTTCTCTGGTACTTTGGTTTGCAGTCCAGGCCAATTTTAGAAAATATTAGCATTCTGCGGTATTTATATTTGCCAATTCTACTTTGGTGTTATGAAGCCGTAAACAACCGTCCTCAAGCCGCTTTTAAAGGTCACTCAATATTTGGAAACAGGTTCAAGACGGACTGACTGTCTTTATTCACTTCCTCCACTGCTACAGCCTGAATTTCCAAAACGGCGCAGAAAATCAACGTCACCATTCACGACTTAGAAAACCCCATTGAGCTGTGAAGCGAGATTTGAATCGAGAGGAATCGCACAAGAAGGCAATTGCCGGGTTACCAAAAACGCTATTCAACATGACTGCCATGCCTCACTCGTGATAAACTCCACACAGGACCTGTGGAGCTTTGTGTTGCGCGTTATGAGCCGGAGTCAGGTTTCCAGGCCGTGTCGGTCAGGTGAAGCTCGCCTCGGGTCGTCTCTAAAAACCTTTGATTCCTTTCACGACTCCGACTCCTGGCTCCTAAACAAACATCACCTCCTGCTGCTGCTGATGTGTCTCTCCACCTACATGTCTCTGCTTCTCTCCACCTGAATATAAAGCAAAAAAAAACAAAAAACAATTATAATGATGATGTATTAGTCTATGTATCCATGTCGGGGAGAGGTCAGCAAAATGGCGATTTCCTTTATTATGTCTCGTGTCTGCCTCCGCAGGGCGGTTGTAAAAATAGTCTCGGCTTCTGGAGGATGTATTAAAAAATAAAAAGATTTTAAAAAACACGTGCCTCTTAGCGTGGGCTTCACCCGGCCTGATTTATTTCCAGAGTTGGGTAAAATGTCATAAACGCCAGGCTTAGAAAAACAGCTTGAGCCTGCGCGATGCGGTCGCGTTTGTTATATACATCAGACCTGATTTGTGCTCCTAAGAGTCTGATTTGACATCCTTTTCCATCGCTCAATTTTCTTTCCAGACAGATAAGGCTTTTTGTTATTTGATGATGATTTTTTTTTTTTGGCAACATAAATCCTTTTGCGTCTGAACACAAGCTGTTTAGGGGTTTCTCTGTTCTCGGATCCAAAGGATTCCTGCGTCCTGGCTGCAGCCGGCCGCCGCTCTCCCCGGCGACCTGCTCAGACCTGCAGGCGCTGATTGACAGGCAGGCATCTGAGCGGTGATTAGAACTTTTTTTTTTTTTTTTGGTTACCGCCCAGACAAGGTTTGACCTCTGACCCCTGCCACCACATCTGTTTCAGAGCTCCACTGAGGTGGATATGTCCTCCTCTTATTGGAAACCTGGAGCTTCTCTCATGTCTCTCTGTGTGTTTGCAGGAAAAGGCCTGCCGTCGCTCCCAGCTGCGCTCATTCACCTTCCTGTTTTGTGTGTTTCAGCTTCGGAATGAACCACGACGGCATCGGCAACTCCTGCGGCACCAAGGGCCACGAGACGGCCAAGCTGATGGCCGCTCACATAACGGCCAACACCAACCCGTTCTCCTGGTCCGCCTGCAGCAAAGACTACATCACCAGCTTTCTCGAGTAAGTGGATGACGGTCGCTCCCCCCCGTGGGACAGTCTGAGTGGGTTGGCCCTCGCCTGCGTGTGTGTGCGTTTTGAGCCGAAGAGGAAAAAGGTGCTTGGATGTTTTCCTGCTCGCTCCCAGATGTCTCAGTTTACAACCTGCTGCCTTCGGCTGCCCCTAGCGTTCCTCGGTAGGTCTCTCCCCACCCTGTTCCCTCACAACCAGACCTTCTTCTGGCCGCCTGTGACGTCGAAGCGCTTTTCACGTTCCGTGGCAAGATCCACTCAAAGGGTTTTCCTGTGTATGAACGACACTCCCTGGCCACTTTCCTTTCATTTTTATTTTATTCACTCAGTAAATATCAGTGGCTTAGGGCTGCAACTAACGTTTATTTTAGTCATTGATTCTTAGGACGATGAATCGATTGACTAAATTAAAAAAAACTTTTCTTTTACAGTTTTAGCTTAATTTCTGCTCTGTTTTTCTTTCACCAAATCACCATTTTTGAATCTGTAAGCACAAGTTAACAATCAGTCAATTATTAAGTTAGTTGACGATTATTTCAATAATTGATTAATCAAAATTATTCTTGTTATTAAGGGCTTTTCAGCCCTAGAATAAAAGGGCTGACAAAACTTTTGTTCTTGGGTTGAATAATCGTCTGCTTGACCTCTACCATACCGGTGCCTTATATGAGGTTGTTTTTACTGCCTTTTCTTTTTCCGTGTTTCACACAAGAGTTGTGTGTGTGTGTAAACTCTAATTATCCTTGGTTTCGCTCTCAATCGGAGCGTTGGATGTCGCGCAGGCGTCTCTGCCAAATAAACAACCCTGGCTGAGGTATTGGCCTAGATCCCCCATCTTGCTTGATCAAGAGTTTTTCTTTTTTAGTTTCATAGGGATGTTTTATGAATATATTCTCCCAATTTGCCTGCCAGTTTGTCATAAATCCCCAAGGTCAGGAAGTCTATTGAACTCAGTTTTAGTGTTTTGTTTTTTTTCCTGCATGGTTTTTGGTTGGAGTGAATCATCCCGCTGGCCCCGGCGCTGCCAGCATCCTCTCTGTAGTGACATAACTGAACGCTGCGTGAGCTCATTGATCGCTGACTGTGCTGCTTATTAGAGAATATTTCTGTTCACTCTAACAAATTTGTCCGAGTACAGCAGATGGGAAGCCTTGGCGGCCACGTCAAACAGCAGCGGCCATGTTGACGCCGCTACAAAACCAGACACTCTGTGCGAGAGTCTGGTTTTGTCTGCTTCTCTCACTGATGACCGAGTCCCTCGACGGACGAGATGCGGAGTTGTTTTCTGGTCTTTCTTGAAATAATGGAATGAAATTTGGACTGGTTTCCTTCTTAGGAACAGAAGCAATAGGATGTATGTAAGCTTTTCCAAATAAGCAATAAATCCATTATTCATGTCATAAATTAAAATGAGCACAGTAATTTTCATTTGGTTGCTAAATAGATGCGTCCCTTTAATGTTGTTGATTTTTGAGAAATTTTGCAAACATTTGATTGTACAAAGTAGACAGTTTTGACTTTTTCCAATTTTCCCTGTCTAAGCTCAATGATTATTAGTTTTTCAAATGCAATTTTGGATAATGAGGCTTCATAATCCAGTTTTATTACTGCGGCTTTGATTGTTTTTTCTATTTTTTGTTTATTGAAAATGTTTTCCAGTTCCATTGTTAAATGTTCTTACATTTATGACATTTAATAGGTTATTATTATGCTTATCATTACATTAGTTTTAAGTGGTCTCAAAAGAACAATATTATTGTTTATCACTGTAATGTCTGGGACAGTTTATCCCCAAATTTTGCCAGACGACAAACTGTATCAGAAATTGTCACGATAAACAATAATATTGTCGCCTTGAGACTATTTCAGTGTGATAATGGCTTAATAAAATGAAGTTCACCCTATCAAAGATCAATAAACTTGAATTACTATTGAACACTTGGAGCTGGAAGACATTTTGAATATCTAAAAAAACAACAACCCCAAAACAAATAAAACAGAAACTGAATTCTCTGCGAATAAGATTCCCCTGGAAACCAACGCACCAGATTTTCTTTCTCCAGTATTTGGTAGAAAGAGGAAGAAAGACGAGAAAAACAACCAGTCCTGCCAAAGGAAACGATTACCCTTTTGATTCTCCTTTAATTCTCAGAGACTCAGAGCCTTAGAAACTGTTTCAAACATCGAGCTGTCCGTCGTGCTCCCTGGTCTCCATGACGCCGTTTGATCACGTAATGTCCTCCAAGAAACCTCTGAAGTCAGAAACGCAACAGGCGGGTGCATATGGAGAGTTAAGCCCCACTCAGGTGTGAGTGCACAACTTTGAACCCACTCCAGATCTTTCTCTCTCAGCCTGCGTTGCCATTTTATTGGCTCCTCCATGGATACAGTCCAAGCAGAGACACATACAGTATTGTATCAAAGAGCCGTGTAATCAGAGAGGGCTGGTCAGTTCCTTCCTGCTGCCTCCGGTGGAACGTTGCTGTTTGTGCATCTCTTCCCTTTGATTATTAGGCGTCGGTGTGTAATATCGACATTAATGATATATTATTTTGGACCTCTGTCAAGCGTCCCGCCGCGGTAGTTTGGTAGTTAAAGCGCATGAGTCAAGCGGCAGCAGACGAGGTGTGCTGGGTCCCGCGGACGGCAGCAGCGAAGGCTCCTCCGTGTTGGAAACAGTCCTAATGTAGGTTTGTCTTTTCGACAGCTCAGGTCGGGGAACGTGTCTGGACAACGAGCCTCCAAAACAAGATTTCCTGTATCCGACCGTGGCCCCGGGGCAGGTGTACGACGCCGATGAGCAGTGTCGCTTCCAGTACGGAACCTCCTCGCGTCAGTGCAAGTATGGGGTAAGAAGGCAGCATCTGACACGGTGCAGTAATGCTTTAAGAATAATAAAAAAAATAAAGAAAACTCTAAACAGTTCCCTCATCCTGACCCTTCAGAAAATCACTTTTATGTTAAGACACCAATTATAGTTCTGAGTATTTTTATAGAGCAAAGAATGTTGCTGTAACAGCTCGATGCTGATTCTACACAAGCATTTTATCCCTTATTCTTAGCTAAATTACTATTCATTAAGCCTCCATAAACAGTAAGGGGTTGGTGTAAAAATATGTTTTTTTTTTTTTTCTCATCTGGTGCGTAAATATACTTCACTGCTGCTCTTCTTTTGTTTTAAATGTAATTATTTTTTGTATACAACGTCGTTTTTTTCATTATTATTATTATTACAAAAGTGGTCCCAAATGGCTCCCTGTGAGACTCCATATCGTATTAAAGCAGGGATGGATGTACAGCCACCGATCCTAACAAATTGGGGTCAATTGTTAAACAGCCATTTGAAAATGTTTCTACAAATCCAGAATGTTAGCAGATTTAAAATTGAAAGTGTGGGGACTAAATGTGTCCAATTATTACTTTTTTATTTGTTGACGAGGCTGTAAAGTTACTAAATAATTCAGCTCTCAGTCCACTTTCCACATGAGCAGCTTCATGGTAAAACATGAAGACTTTTCAACAAGTGGACCCAGATTGCTGCTCATTACATAAATATTTTGGCGCAAACCAGGAAAAAAAAGTCAACTAATCTCCACTAAGCAGGGATTTGCTAAGAACATGAGGGATTATCTGGGTTATTTCATTTTATTGAAAGAAATATCTGACAGCAGATTACGACAGACTCCAAAATGACGTCCCGTTATTTTGGCCCCTAAGCTCATAATTGTGGTTTTAGATCAGGATGACAGACATGCAGTTATGGAGACAATCCAACACTGCTAAGCTGGAGGTTTTATTATGGAAATCAAATGATAATGCCTCCTATGATTGATATGCTCCCCCTATGATCACAGCTCCAGAGGAGACTTGAGGATACCAGGTCTAATAAATTAAAATGCCTCGTTTGTATATCAAACACCAACTATTAACTTTTTCATGTTTTTATTTTTTTATTTTTTATTATTTTTCTTATTCTATTATATGATCCGATACCTGCGCATTTATTTGCCCATAAATGCATAAATAAATGCGCAGTCATTTTATGGTTGCAGTATTTCACTGCTAAAAGATGTTGCCTAACACTTCATTCCTCTGGCTCAGTGTGTGAAATAACAGAAAAAAATGATTTGCAGGGTTAAAGATAGAGAAAATGCAAAATTACATCCAGAAATCTGCACTACGTTCATTAATCTTCTGCGTAAAAAATTCACTGCCACGCGTGGATAAATAAAGCAGAGTTGCTTGAATGAAGAATGATAAACTGAGGCCTGTCAGTATTTCATATTTTATTAGCAAAGAAAGAAAAAGGTAAATTTAGCCCTAAATAAGCAAAGAGATATTTCCTTTACAGTCTCTCTCTTTCTTATTTTTTATTTTTTGTTGGGATCTGGCTTCTACAAAGTTTTTTTTTTTTTAGCTTATAAATTACAGAGGTGTGGGAATGAGCTGTTTGTGCGTTGTCACACATTACTCAGACGTGTAAGATTTAACGAAACGAAAACCCGCTTGGCTGACTTCTTCGTTTTGTTTGGGATTCAAACAAACATGATCTCATGAAACCGTGTAATAAAAAACAGCAGTCTGACATCTGCCCGGTGTCATCCTAGCACATTTTAATTATGTGTGCTTTACTTTTTGTTCCCTTTAAATTATTGTGCAAGTTAGAGGTCAGAGGAAGGAAAATAACACCGCGGTGTGTTTGCTTCATGTCAGTGGACGGCATAATATCACTGTAGCCTGTCCCATTATCACAATGAAATAAAATTAATTTGATGTATGTTTTATAAATAACAGCGCCGACATATAGGACTAAATCAAAGTGTTGGGCAAGCAGATATGAATCCTTATTACCTAACGTTTTTGTAGAGATGCCAAGCAAGTACTGGAGACAATCCTGCATCCTTGCTACTTTGATCAAATTTTAAAATAATTGGAAAATTAGCAGCCAAATATTTAAGATAGTTATCTCAGGAGTTAATGTATCAGCAGCTTCACCTTAAGATCAGACCTAGTGATATTCAAGTAAATAAAAAATGTATCTGAACTTTTGCAGCTATGCATCACAGTCTGTACAGACAATGCTAACGTTTAGCCGCGATGCGTGTAATTCACCAGTTGAGTGTTATGAAGCTTACTGGAAGCCGAATTACTCTGCGAGCAAATGCGACGAGAGAAGTGCCAAAGACAAGCTGTCTTTAATTCAGTATTTGGAGGCTCAATTGAAGGAATGGCTTCGTTCACTTCTTCTGCCACCATCTCTAAAGCTACAGGCAGACTACAATTCTAAATCGGTGAAGAAAAACAATGTCAGCGATCACAACCTCTCCTGTTTACTGATTGCCCCGCTAGAAATTTTACCGGCGACAATCCAAGTCAATGGGAGAAATTCCAGAACATTGTGTGAAAAAAGATTAAAGTGGAGTGGAATTGCGTCATTTGGCAGTGACCAGCATTGGATGTAATGAGTGACTTATACCTTTAGATTGAAATTCAAAGAATGTGAAATATTTAATTTGTTTGAGGCTACCTTAACCCCAGTAGGGTACACACATGAAAGGAAATAAAGGTTTGTTAAAATCTACCACAATGACAAAGCAAACCTTTCTTGAGCTGAAGAGCACACAGGCAGTATATTACTTTGTGTTTTTGGTATTTTGGTGGGGAATTGCGCAACAAAGTTTGGAAACACGACTGCAATATTTCACCGACTATGGGCTTTAGAGGCTTTAACTAAACGCACTCATGTTGACGACTGAGCCCGGGGGGTCATCACAGACTTTAAATCTCAGCTTGAGACTGCGTCAGAGGTAGGAAAAGCATTACAGTCGTCAACAGAGAATGTTTGGGTCTTTTTACAGCGGTAATTTAGCTATGTGGATCCATCCCATCGTTGAGTTGCACTGGAAGCTTACCGGCATAGATGGGAGATCTTCTCAAGTGCAGTGGAAGCGGGAACCTTTAAAATAAAACACACACCATTTGATGGCTGTATTAGAAAAGTCTTTTTTTATCGTCAGCTTGTCGTTGGCTCGCATAAATCCATCCTAGCGCTCATCCCCGTTCTTTGAGGTCTGGACGGCTTGACCTTTGAGTGTGGCTGATGATAGTGAACGGAGCGGCGCGGCGGCTTATTGAAAGCAGCTGGCAGAAGGGGGGAACTTGCAACCCGAGAGTGTCAGTTTGCTGCTTTATTTAATATGGACACTGTCTGGGAGCTGCAAGCATATTTACTGACCCCGGGCCTCAGGATCTATGCGTGGAGCCGTAACTTTCTTTCATTTGCCGCTTACAACTGTCCCGTTAAAGAAAGCCTTTGAAGTCGAGAGATTGGGGCAGTCCAGTTTGGCTTAATGGGAAATCTAATGCGGGGTTGGACCAGGCTGTTCTGGTCGCACGGATGATCCGGTAATGCTGCTTTGCTTTTCTGCGGTGATCCAAATGGATTCTATAGGAGTTCCAGGAGCGATGCTTCAGAACTACTCGGCAGAACCGGCCCCAGGCATATGAGAGTGAAGTGGCTGATTACCACTTAGGGATCCCACATCACCAAGGTGATGGCTTGATGCTACACACAGAACTGTTGCCATAGCAACTGACTGACAACGGCTCCCCTTGTGTATCAGGATTCAACACCAAAAAACATGCAAAAAGGTCCCACACAAAGCACAGAACATTCAGTCTGTTGCAGGATCATTCTTTCAAGCTCAAAGTTTATTTTGCGATTATTAATAAATGATCGCCTGAACACAGTGGTGAATGATTGGCTAATTTAAACCCCTGCTCTACTGATGATCCGTCACAGTTGGTGTATGAGTCGCCCTTTCTTTCTTTAACTGAACCAAAACACACCAAATTCTGCAGCACATCTACATGTTAAATGGTCAAAGTCAAGCTAGCATATCTGACCTACTTCCCTCTCCCTCACTAATTTTTAAATTCAAACTTTTTCTCGACCTTGAAATCCAGTTGTCACAGTGTTCACGGTCAGCAGCAAAGAACTGCGTCCCTTTTTCTTTTTTAGGTCGCACGTACATTTAAGATTTAACATTATGTTGACAACTTCACAGCTAAAACTGCTGCTTGTCATCGTGACGTCACATTAGAATGTGACATTTAAGAAATACATTAAAAAAATAAAACTTATTTTTTAATGTGATTTTTAAGAAAAGTTTTCTTTTGAAAGTAACACTGGATAAAAACTATTTCTTGTTTTTATAGTTGGTATACACATAACAGATTAATCTCTTTCTGCTGATACATCAAACTTGTCAACTTGCTCACTGTAAATTTAATGTTTATCAGTTGTTACTTTTAAATAATTAAAACAATATGGCACACATTAATACCACTAATTTCTGCAAATCATAATAGGTATGTTTACACACATAAGATGGCGTATGAATGAAAAAGCATCAGGTGTCGACATATAGGGGCCCCATATTAAAATCTGCTTACGGCCCCACAAAGGCTTAGTCTGGCCCTGCCGCTCAGTAATACTGCAGATGTCTGTCAGGGCTTGGAACTTGTCTTTATCTTAGACTTGGGAGGCATGTTGCTCACCCATGGTTTCCCATAATGAGGCGCCAAAATGGGGATTTCTTGAACTGATGTCACGGTCCCATGTGGTTCTGAGGCAAACGCGGAAAAAAAAGAAAAAAATGTTAGTCATGCTACTGATCCAGCTGACTCTTCATTTCTCATAAAAGCACATTAAGAGCACCGGATGACCCTTGGCTTATTGCTTAAGATGCACTGTGATCTAAAGCATATGGCCTCTTGATGTCAGAAGACAAGACTCGGTCTCAACTCCTCTCGTTTTCTGATTTCATCTCAAACGATGCCGATTTATAGATGAATTTCTGTCATTTATCTTCTTCTTTTTTTTTGCTGCTCTCACAACTGCCAGGCAGCAGAAGAAAAACACCAAGAGGAAAACCACAAAAATCCAATAATAAATCATCCTCACTCTTTTCCCAACAGTTCACCCCCCGCAGCCCCTCAGTCTGCCGATGTGATTTATTCTGACCAACTTGCTTTTTGCCTTCTTTCCTAGGAAGTGTGTAGAGAGCTCTGGTGCCTTAGCAAAAGCAACCGCTGTGTAACTAACAGTATCCCGGCTGCAGAGGGGACTCTGTGTCAGACTGGCAGCATTGAGAAAGGGGTAAGTAAGCACATTTTTTTTTTTTTTTTTACATATAAAGATTATAGGAAACAACCCAAAAGAATCCCTCTCCCAACTATTCCACAGTTTCTTTTCACAACAAAAAGAAACTAGTTTCTTTTCCAGACTCATGAGATCACCCAATCTTCAAACGACCAGTTAGAAGATTGAACCTCATCTTAAACCAGGGATGTCCAAAATCATCTGGCCCTCCAGATGATTTTGTTTTGCCCCTTGGCTCACAATTTAAGAATTAATTTGAGATTTTTACATCCAAATAAAATCTTCTTAAACATTTATTTAAGTACTTGTTTTTTAAAAAAAATAAAATTAGCTTACTTTTGTTTCATTAAGCTAATATCTATTTAATATGTTACTGAAGAGATAAATGTAGTCTAGACTCATAAAAGAACTGAAAACAGTCATTTAGCTTCGCACCACTTGGAAGCTGTAGACAGCTAGCTAACGGTTAACCAGTCGAGGAATTAGTTTGTGTTGCACTGTGTCACAGCATCCTTAAAGCCATAGCACCCAAAGCTAGTGAAGCACCTCACCTGTGAAGGCGCTGCATCAAGAACAACAGAAGGAAACGACATGAAAACCTCTGAAGAAGATTTCTTTCTTCACAAAATGTAAACAAAAATGGAGTGGCTTTAGTTTTTTCCAGTTGTAGGATTTCTCTTTTGTCTTTAGCAAAAGACTGCAACCCATTTCTCCTGCTAACGGTTCACTGACACATTTGTTTGGGTTGTATTTTACCCAGAATGCCTTGTGCTATAGTCAGCTTCCTGCTTTTGGAGTAGGAAGCTGCTCCTGTGCGAAGCATTCACATATTCATTTGAACCGCACCAGAGTCCACTTCAACCGAACTGAGACTGAGGTTTATAGGCCGACCCGAGTTTCATTACGTATTCATGTTGGCTAAGTTTTAAAACCATCTAATACTTTGACACTTCATCATTATGCACGTCTTTCTTGAATCTATTAAATAAAATAGCTTTTTTGGTAGTAAGTTCAAGGGAAATATATACTTTTGCAAGGCATCATAGACATACATGCCTTACCTTTTAAGGCCTGTAGACTTTCTTACTAGTTTCCTTTAAACCTTTTGGTGATCATTTGTTTGGTGACATTCACCAATCTCAACTTCCACAAGGGTTCTTTTCCATAAATATGCAGTCCTCCAGTTGCTACTGCCATTCACACACACACACACACACACACACACACACACACGCACACACACACACACACACACACACACACACACACACACACACACACACACACACACACACACACACACACACACACACTCGTGCAATCCCGATGAGCTGTAGGTCATCAGGCCTCTGATTATGCCAGTCAGTCAGGTTAGGGGGAGACAGTTTTAACGCGGATTATGGCGGCCATTGTCGCCGGACGGTCCGAGCTCCAAAAGGGAAGAATAGGAGAGCGTCACGAGCTGTCGCCTGTGATTACCATTAGCTGGTTGGAGCCTTTGAGGACCAGAGCTCACGTACGGGTGTCCAGGACTACACAGGGAGGCCCCAGGTTGAAAAAAAAAAGGGGGCTGGGGGGGAAAAATATGACTGTCAGCCGTTTCTCTTCCAGCGTATGAAGAGGAGAGAAGCAGAGAGTTTGGAGGGAGTGGAGGGGATAAGAGAGAGTCAGTCAAGCTTTTGAGTTTTTACTGTCTTCAAACGAACCCATGGATATTAATTATACTCTAAAGTTTTGAGTACCGATCCCTTCATCCTCTCTTCCTCCGCTAATGCTGATCTTGTTTAGACAGGGCCTCGGCACATGAATGGAGCGAGTCAGACAAATAGAACGGCGGCCCTAGCGAAGCCCTCACCTTGACCGTTTCAGTTTCACTTTCAGCGAGACAATAACCCACTGACCCAGTTGGAGAGACAAAAGCCACTTTCTGATCCCCTCCTCCACCTCTAACGCTAACTGGCTGAGCCCCTGAAAAACAACTCGCCGCTCTCTTTGTTCCTCTCCTGCCTCGGGAACCATCACACATCCACGGAAATTGTCAAGCCATGAGCTAGAGTGTTTCAAATAGTCAGATAATAGCTGAAACTTTTTCTTTTTTTATGATGTTTTAAACAGCTCTTTTCTTTTTTGTTGCGCAACTATAGGGGTTGTGATGGAAGGTTTTCATTGATATGATGTTAACCACTGTCACAAAGTGAAGTTCCTTGCTAAAAAACGTCAACCCTATTAATTGCTTTATTTTTTTTTTCCGTATAAAGGATCTACTATATTCATGTTTCTGTTACACCAGTAAATCTGACTCACAAGCGACATCTGCAAAAAAACCCGACAAAGTCTGTTCTTTTGGACAACAAAGGGTAAAAGTTTGGTTTAAAAAAAATCTGATTGGACGCTGGAACAGACTATTGCTCAAGTTGTGCTAAAACTTATCCTATCAGCGACGCAAAACAGCAACTCAAAGCCAATCAGCGTTCCCACTGCTAACATCAGCATTTGTAAAGAGAGATTTTTCCAAAAAAGTTCCATGATTGATTCCTGTAACACTTGAAAGCTGAATGGATATAATAACACTTTGCACCAAACTGAGGGTTTAATAATCTCCATAACAGATTAAAAAGTAGATTAAAATATAATTATTGTTGAACTTTTATGTCTATTTATTCAATAAGTCAGCGGCAAGAAAGGTTTGTGTTACTTGTTTTGTTGATCTAGTTTTTGATGAAGATGGGACTCATTAATTACAGACACAACAATAAATTTTTATCAAATTCCACTACTACTTAATATCAGATTTAACTCTATACTAACCAAAGCTTCCTATTTTGCTCTCTGCTTGTTTTCGCCCATCCATGACCAGTGGTGTTACCAGGGAGAATGTGTCACGTTCGGCTCCCAGCCCGAGAGTGCGGACGGCGGCTGGGGGCCGTGGTCCTTGTGGGGAGAGTGCAGCCGGACCTGCGGAGGCGGCGTTTCCTCCTCCATGAGGCACTGTGACAGCCCAGCGTAAGTAGGCAAAAGTAAGCCACAGCAAGCCGAACACACACATCCAGGTCCTGCCTACAAGTGTGTGTTTGTGTCTATTCCGTTTGTTGCATGTGCGCTACATCCACGTGGGAGCAGAGCGACGGGAACTGGGCTGTGTTGTTGTAAAATACGCTCTGAAATGTTTTTTGGGTGGATTTATTCCTCATTCACAGACTGAAAAAAACATTTAATTTGTGTTTTATTTGCATTTGCTTTCATAAAGCTTGAGGCAGTGGCATATGTGAAACAAATATTTTGGATCCTGAAAAGTGATTATTAAAAGACTTTGGAAAATGATCTTACTAAATCTGACATGTTTCCTTTTGAAAAACAACAAAAATTTAGATGAAATCGTTTTACACTATTCCTAATTCACTTTGCGGTGAACAGAAGAAAGCAGAAATTTTGAAGAGTGATGGATGATTGTCTTTTTCAGCCTTACACACTGAGTTCCCACAATTAGTTCACCGAGTTCAAACAATGAAGCTCTTAGTCAGCAAACTGATAGATTATCCTATCAACACTCCAGAGAAATACATTTCTAACAATGTTTCCAAATCATGAAATGTTTTTCAGCCATATTATCCAGCCTTCTGTGGGCAGGAAGAACCTCCAGCAGCAGTCAGTTATGCAGTGAATCTGAAGTGGCCTCTGACTGAAGGCTGTTGCCATATGACATCCTCATGACTGTCATCACATGCTGACAGCTCAATATCCAGGCAGCAGAGATGATATTTGTCAGCTGTTGGCTAGCACTGCTTATCTGTCTCATTTGCTTTTGTCGCTCCTCTTGTAACTTCTGTCTGGTTGTTTGGTTCAAAATTTGAGCAGAGAGATGTTGGAGTCAGGGAAATGATCCATGCTTGTTCAGATAGATGGAAGAGGTGTTTTGAATTTCCTCCGTCTCTCATTGGTCCTGCCTTCCATCCATGAAGCCTCCTTTTCAAATCCTCTGTGATTCGGTGTCGTGGTTCAGGTAGCATTTGCGATGCTAATCAGCTAATCGCCCTGATTTCTTTACTTTTTGGTGATGGGCCAATCATATCTACTTATCTTATTGGCAAAGGACTAAAAATCAACCACTGTCCTCTTTTCTCTGCAGTGAGAAGTCAGACTGTCCACCAGGTCACATCTGCATGTTTACAGTTAGCAATAGTCATCCCACTGTTAACTCGACAACTTTCTTGCTTTATTTAGCAACATTTCAGACAAAAAAAAAAAATCAGTATAAGCCAAATTGGGAATCAGCAGGTTAGGCTCTTTAAAGATCAGTCTGAAAACTGCAATTGGAGCACACCTAACCGTAACGCTTTATGACTAACTATCCGAAAGTTTAAAAAATAGCCCAAGAATCCTTCCAGTCGTACGGCATCTAAAACTAGACGAAATTATTGTTCAATGTGGAATGTCTTAACCTCGAAAAATTCTGAACTAAAATCTACAAGAACAAGCCAGAGCTACTGTACAAAATGATCTTCTAGTTCAAAATCTAACAGTTTTAAAACGAGTCAAACCAGAAGTGGATAATTCCTCAAACCGTTGGGTTGGTAAAATGTAAATGTTTTATTTTTTTATTTTAAAGCTACAAGCGCATCTCCGGCCTGCATGTAGACATCTGGGGGTTTTTACTCTCCTTTCACTGTCGCATGCTGTTGTTTTGGAAGCAGAGGTGTTACATCAGACACGCCACGGGAAGACAAAAAGGAAGAGACGGTGAATGAGATGAGGGGTGGGGAGAGAAACAGGGTGGGAAAGGGGAGGCACCAGCGTAATGTGGACCACCTGTGTACGGTAATCAGTGCAGCTCAGGCATCGGTGCAAAGTGGAGGGGAGGGATGAATAAACACAGCCAGAGGAGCCTCGAACACATTCATTACAGGAGCCTCTTTTGCACTGAAGTGGAAATAATCATGGAGGAAAAAGAGAGGCTAATGAAGGAGAAAGGAGGGATAAAAGAAGAAAAATAAATCCCTCAAAGACGGAGTGGAGGTAGAAAAAAATAAGATTTCTGAGAATGGTTCTGGAGTTACAGAGCGCTCGTCTCGTCCAAATCTAAATGTCACGTCACACTTAAGGGGTCTCGGCGGAGCTTGGGTTTCATGACTGAAACGCAGACTCAGCAAGGCAGCGCATTCACACACAAACACGCTACTGTGTCCCCGCAGAGACTTTGTCACCAAAACTTGTCCCCTTGCGGAGTCCAGACGCTCGCTCTTGTGTCGCATCCTAAAAATAAATAATCGTTGTAATTTGAGATGCTAAATTAACTATTTCTTTTTTTCCCCCATTCATTCAAATCTCCTCTTCCTTTCAGCCCGTCTGGAGGAGGCAAGTACTGCCTTGGAGAGAGAAAACGGTACAGATCCTGTAACACCGACGTGAGTCCATTTTTATGACTTTGCCTGAGGGGAGGGCATTTATCATATTTAGCATTATTTATGGACACTTCTTATCACAATAAGAATTTGGATTTATCATTGTTATGATCAATTTCAGTTATTGATGTTATAAAAAAAAGCAGATAAGGTGACATTGTGATCAGTAATGTTATTTTAGACACTTTTTACTCCACGACAGCATCAATTAATACCAATAAATATGATTAAATGCACAGACTGTGTACAGTTTAGTGATATAAATCACATGTTTTAAAGTAAGTGGTGTCCTGAAGAAGCCTGTTTCTGATAGGCTTGCGCTTCAAGAACAACCTTTGTGTTTGTTGTGCTGTGAATTCTGTGCCATGCAGCCAAAAGCTTGCTTTTTTTTTAAACTAAAAAATAAGTAATAAATTAAACTATAATCTTAATCGTTATCACAACAGTGTCACAAAATTTCACAATAAAATGTTATCATGGCATAGTAGCCACTTAACCGATGCGAGTTAAGTGGCTACTTAGGGTCTCCACACCACCAGGGGGCCCTCAAGAGCACCAAGTTAGGATGATATATATATATATATATATATATATATATATATATATATATATATATATATATATAATATATATATATATATATATATATATATATATGTGTGTGTGTGTGTGTGTGTGTGTATATATATGTGTATGTATATATATATATATGTGTGTGTGTGTATATGTATATATGTGTATGTATATATATATTTAAAATAACAGTGACTAATACAAAGTAATTGCTATTACGATAGCAAAAAATTATTTCTATAATATTTTGTATTGTTCTTAGACAATAAGTTCATCTTTTTCTGCTGTTGGTGGAAGATTGTTCCACTGTTGTCGAAATATAATTAAACTTCCTAACTGTAAATTCAATGTTTATCAGCTGATATGCTTTCAAATAGTGAAAATATTGTGGTGCACTTCAATACCACTCTGTATTTCAAAATCCAAATTATTGCATTTTTTTCTTTTTCTTTTGCGACTCTGTAAGGTTTGCTTTGTGCAAATATTTAAGATGGCTGCAAACTGAGACCTCAGTTCAACTATTTCTGATGTTTGGTTGATGTTTCTTTTTTTTTTTTCCTCTTGGTGAAAATTGAAATAATTTAAGCCCTACTAGACATTTAACCACAAATTTTATAAATAACAGCAGCGAGCAAGGGGCGAGTGCTTTCTTTGGAAAACAAACAGGTGGCCCCGACCGCTACTTCATACCGCCGACCGATCTCCGTCCAGGGAATTCTGCGAGCGCGTGTGTGATGCTCGGTGAAAAATACAAACGCTTCCCCGCGCAGACTGCGGTTTGTGTTGTTTCTGTTTCTAAATCAGATCAATTATTTATCGTAGAACCGATTCCCAATGAAAAGTAAGCTTCAGGGAAACGTGCCTGCGGACCACAGTTCCCGCTGTGTCAACAATGAATCGCTGGAAGATGCTCAGATTTTTTTATTTTATTTTGAAATTGTCCTTTGTTGTCGTCTCCGCGCGAGATCCTGGCGTTTTTATTGGCCCGTTGCTGCGAACTGGAGGTAGTGGAGACGGAGTTATCATGATCGGCCTCTGCGTCGGTAAACTCACACACATATCAAAAGGCGTTTATGTAAACTTTGGTTCAGGAGAGTTGGGGGGGGAGATAAAATCACTGTTTTTATGCTTTTCATGCATTGCAGAATTTGAAAGTTCCAAAATAAATATGAATAAAATACATTTTGGACAGAAATGGTGCGCTTTTGGTTAAATAAATCTTTTAGCTTATTAACCTTTCTTCGGACTGAAAGTAATGTTATCTCCAGTGTTTACTGGGTGAGAGGCTGGATATAACATGGATCTTTACTTAACATATCTGGGATTTGAATCGCATGAAAATAAAAAAGGAGTGAATGATGTTTAAGTGTTTGATTATTAAAATCCTAACTATTAATTTTTTATTTTTATTTTTCAGGCTTGCCCAGCTGGGTCTCAGGATTTCAGGGAGAAGCAGTGCGCTGATTTTGATAACATGCCTTTCCGTGGGAAGTATTACAACTGGAAGCCTTACACTGGGGGTGAGTTCACGACTGCAGGATGTTTTTCCACAAGATCCTCATGAAAGAAGCAACAATTACAGGCTAAAGCCAACCTTTAAAGGGGTGTTATTATGTAAAATTGACTTTTTTGAGCTTTACATCATATTTTAAAAACACACCTGGAGTGTTGCTTTGACTCTTTCATTCATGTTTGAGAAATCCTTTAGACTCCGTGGCAACCATTCAGCTGTGAAAAACACCTGGGTGGACCTAGCTCCGCCTTCGAGGACGAAGCCCGTTGTCTGAGCTGCAGCTTCCAAGCTTGCGCCTCACAGAGGGACCGTCCCTTAAAGTCTCCCCAGGCAGCTCCTTCAGACTAGCCAGCAGCAATTAGCAAACACCTGGTGGAACTGAGTATCTTTATAGCTCATTATAGGAGCTACTTCTCAGTGAAACGCTGGTAAAATTGTTGTTTAAGGGTTCATAGAGCAGCCATGTTGTGATCATTTCCTGAAGGAGGAGTTTCGGAAAGAGCAAGAGTTTTTTTTAAAGAGACAGAAACCCAATTTCAAGGCTTTAAATTACAAAATCAAAAAACTTTTAAGTCATATTTGATATATTCAGCATTTTTATAACAACATAGTTACTTGATTGTGTTATAAAATGGCACTGTGTGCCTGGAAAATACATAATATGGTCCCTTTAAGATCCATAAAATGAACCTCAGTGGTCAGATTTTACATTTGGAAGAGAAACTGATGAAGGAATGGAGACAGTGGGAAGAAACCTGCTCCATAAATATCCTACTCTCCTTTTCCATACTCGCTCAAATACTTCAATCGGACCCCAGACCCATCCAGACTGCATAGGAAGCCTGTTTTTCTAAGTGTCCGTCGTCCTCTCCGTGTCACCGCTGACAGCTTGCAGGCCCGTGTGGAGCCGTGTTCCCTGTTCACTCCAACAAAGAGTCGCTTCTGTTTGATGTCTGCAGAGTTCCTGACATTCCTCTGAATCCTTTCAGCCACTGCTGCTGGACCAAACTTGGAGTCCTAGACTCCTCACTCGATGCATTTCGGGTCAACAGTCAACCAGAAGATGAGACATAGTTGTCTGACTCGGAACGAGCAGAGATTTTGGGAACCGGTCGATCTTTGAAATTCTTGCAATGCAAGTGTGATCTCATTTGTCAAAAGAGCTGTTCAGTTCAACCGTTGACCTCTTGACCTACATTGCTTCATGTTTATGTAAAAAAAAAGAAAGAAAAAGAAACTGATAGCGTTGGCAGGTTGTTGCGTTTCTTTTGGATTTCACTATTTCTTTTTTTGGTGAGTGGATTTTAGTTTGTATTTCTCCGCGTTTACGTTTTGTCAACACCGGCTGCAGCTCAGCATGCGGCTCGGGTTCTGCGAGGGTTCGGGTCACGCCGACCTGTCTCAGTGCGCAGGCTCTGCTGGAGGTAACGACGTGTTCGCTGTGTGTTCCAGGTGGCGTGAAGCCCTGCGCACTAAACTGCCTGGCGGAGGGCTATAACTTTTACACGGAGCGCTCCCCTGCTGTCGTCGACGGCACCCGATGTCAGGCTGACTCTCTGGACATCTGCATCAACGGGGAGTGTAAGGTAAGGCATCACTCATCTGGAATGCTGAGCACATGCAAGGATAATTTACCCCAACATCTGAAGGAAAAACTTCAATGGTGGTGGTTTTTATACAGAAACACATTAATGTTTAGATTTGTGCATAAATTATGTTTTATATAATTTTTTATGGACTCTAGCTTGGTAATTTTTGAGTACTTTAGCTTGCAACTCAAACAGCCTTCAAGAAGAAATAGTTGAGATTATTTTAGCAATAAAACATGAATTTCAAAAGTATTCGCACCATAAACTGAAGGGGGGGATAAACGAAAAAGCTTTTTAAATCCAGAGATTGAAATCATTGCCAGGGGCGACACTAGGGTTTAAAGACAAGGGGGGCTTTGCCCCCTGGAGTCACACAGTATGTTAGCAAACGTCGCGAGAAAGTACAACAATAAAAACAAAGAAGTGGCTTTTTTACTTTTAAAATAGTGTTCAGGATAATAGAACATCCTCTACTACAAAATATGACTGCAAGCAGTTAATAAAGTGATTTCCTAGCAAACATTACTAACAATGCAACTATTATATAATTATATGTTGATATAATGGTGTCACTTTACAATAAGGCTTATAGATGACTAATAAATAGTTTGTGTATATATATATCTATATATGTATATATATAGATATATATACATATGTATGTATATATGTATGTATGTTTTCACTCAATCTATAAACTATTAACTTATAAATTATTAATAACTGTTATGCTTTACGTAAGGATGAGAAGGAAACTATATGGTAACAAACTACATTTACTAATGCATATTAGACTTGCATGGCATAACAACTCTAGATATAATATCTATGTGAAGAGCTTTGGCTCATTAAAACAGTGGATTTTGTCTGATGTCTCCAGAGTTCCTGACATTCCTCAAAATCCTTTCAGCCACTCCTGCTGGACCAAATTTTGAGTACTGGACTCCTCACTTGATACATCTCAGGTCAAAGGTCGATGAGAAGATGAGACGACCAGTAAATTTTGTCTCCTTAATCAATGCATAACTCACAGTTGTCAGTGATTTATAAAATATTTAGAGGTGAATTAATAACATATCTACAAACTATTTTCAATCATCTACAAGGGGAGACTTATTGTAAAGTAGTGCCAATATAATTAACAAAAGATTTTGATTTTTCTGCAGCGTTCTTTGCAAAGTGGCTCGGCTCATTCAGATTGTATGGAGAACATCTGTAAACAGCTGTTTTTGGAGGCTTGCGGAAAAAACAAAAAAATGATTTCTGACTTTAATCTGAGAATTGTGACTTTTGATCCTCGCCGTGCTGCTCTTCACTCAGGTCAGCCCGAACAAGAGGCAGAGAGCGAGTCGCAAACAGAACAGTAATGACCTGGCGCGGCGGCGCTCGCAAGGAAACCCATTATTTAGGTCTGTTCGCACAGCTCCAGACTTCATGTAGCAGCCTCCCTCTTAAATAATTCTGGAGAAAGTCAACATTTTACAGTTATGGTCATTTGCCCAATTATACTTAATTCCCTAGAAAAGAGGAGAAAACCCTCCCTTCGCTTTGTAGGAGTAAGCTCAAAGGAAAGCGGAGACGCTCGCCCTGGAAGCCCGCATTCATCACACGGCCGTAGCGCGAGCTCGCTCCGATAGCGCGTAATCTTAAGTACACTCTTGTGATTGTAAACCCTGGCCGTTTAATTTTGTCAAATAAAAAGCTCCGCCGTCGCTCTATCTCGGCTTTTCCCTCCTCTTCCTCCTCCTCCAGCTCGTCGCTGGGTCGTCTTTAACGGCTGGATACCGATTCCGTAAACACGATTCGTGAAGCAGAAAGAGAGAGAAGAGAAAAAAAACCTTATTCTCCAGTGAGGAACAATCAGGCCTTTGAGTCTCTGATTGCGATCGAGTGACGCTCTTATCAGGGCCCTGCAGCCTCACTCTGGATTGTTTCATGGTAAATAAAACAGCAAAAAAAAAACAAAAAAAAAATTCCAGTTTTTATTGAATAACGACTTTCTTTATATTTGAAAAGGCCGATTTAATAACAAGGCAAAATACGGTTTTATTGAAAGAAGTTGGCAGCTTGTGCTAGCTTTGTTTTCATGAGCATAAATCATGTTGTGGGGCTTGTGTTTGTCCATGCGTGTGTGTGTGTGTGTGTGTGTGTGTGTGTGTGTGTGTGTGTGTGTGTGTGTGTGTGTGTGTGTGTGTGTGTGTGGGTGTGTGTGTGTGTGTGTGTGTGTGTGTGTGTGTGTGTGTGTGTGCAGGACAAGGTTTTTCTGTGTAATCTTCCAGATGCAGCTGAAATAACTTTTTGGTTCCTCACTTAAAGTATTTGCTTTGACTTCCACCTGACCGTACAATTTGATTCCAGCTTGGCACAGAAAACGCAGCGGCTCTACCCACAACTTTAATCTGATTCTCATTAAAAAAAAGAGAGTGGAACCAACACACACACACGCCCACACACACCACATTGTGTGTTGTTAGATGGCCAGAAGATCGACCAGCACACTTTTGTTTACAGTTTGAATCCTGCGACCCACTTTTATCTCTGATGTTCTGATCCTTAAACTTTATTTCCAACTCAAAATTGCTTAAATTTTGATAATTAAAAAAATATATATATTTGTATTTTATGTGCCAAAAAGGAGTAGCACATAATGATTTTACTTTTTTCTTCACTTTCACAACAAAAAATAAAATCTGAAAAGCTTGACATACATTTGCATTTAGTTCCCTTTGAGTAACATCTTAGTTGAGGTGTAAAACAGAGTCTGTCTGCTCACAACATCTCCACTGTGAAACGTGGTGGTGGAAGCATCATGCAATGGGATTTTGCTTCCAGCAGAGTTGATAGAGACCACAACAGATTCAAGGCTGAGGCAGAACTTCACCTTTGGTGCACCGATTGGATTTTGCTTTCCGACTGCCAATTACGATTTTGCACTATACTGATGTTTCTGTCTGCAATGTTGCTAAACACAGGAAGAAAGTTGCTGAATTTGCAACAGGAGTGACTATTGTTAACTGCGAACGTCCAGACATGACCTGGCTAACAGTTAGACTTTTGCCCAGGGTTAGATCTTACAAAGTAAAGAAAATCAGGGCCGATTTATCAGTGCTCCTCCGTCTTCCACTAAAACAAAGGTGTAACAGGGTGGTGTTGATCGGAGCGGTTTGTAAGAACGGCCTAGTCAACGTCTTGACCTAAATACTGTTGAAAGTCTCTGGCAAGGCTGAATTATTGATGCCCTCCCTCACAATCTGATTGATTTTTGTGTATTGTGCTAAAAAAAATATAGAAAAGGAACTGGAAATGGTTGAAAACTGAGGTGTCAAATGACAAATCAGGGTGCTGGATGTCAATAAGCTCCTAAGGTCAGGTGACAAAATGAACCATAAAGCAATCTTGTAAAACTAAACTCTTCGACTTCGAACTCAGCTGAATTATCATATCGTTCGTGTTATCAGAATATTAGAGGATTAACGTTCTAGCAACAACACACACCCGCTGCATTTTATTATTATACTACAGCTCATGTATGAAATGTCTGAATCTGGAGTTGAAACAGTGGAGGAAGTGGCTTTCCATGAGGCTGTGGGAATACTGGCTAAATAAAAGGTGGAGGGCATTGTTATACTCTGGTGACTTCCTTCATAAATAAACAAAAGACAAATCCTTCCCTCTGAAATCCCCCACACTGGATGAGCCCGTCCTGTTTCAGCTCTCGGAGGGAAGTGTGTTCATTTGTTTTCTGTTACACTGATGCCAGCTCTCCATGTGCAGCAGCTGTTAGCTTAGCATAGCGAAAACCCTGGAAAAAGACAGAAATCGCTGGGACGGTACTGCCGGAAGGACACAGCAAGCCTGCAAACAGCACAAAACGCTGCACAAGCCTATCCCGACATGGCTGCTCTCGATTAAAAGTGTCGCAAAAAGTAAGAACCTAAGCTAGAAGCAAAATTGTCTCACTCTGGTCCAGAAAGAAAAGCATTCGAAACATGTATAAAGGAGGATAATGTCACTCCACTGAAGCGATAAGTCAGCATGAGAACCTTGAGTAAAAAGAAAAAAAAAAGAAACCTCCCCCCCCCAGAAATCACCATATTATACAGTACAACTGTATAATGTGCATGCAACAATTTAAACATGCAAATATTACAAAAACAAGTTACTTTTATCTTAAACCAAATAAATTTTGCGTTCATTCTTCTTTTAAAATAACATCTAAGATGTATTTTTTGTTTTTTCCTGACTTTGCCTCTCTTCCTCTGTTGCCTCCAAAGCATGTGGGCTGCGACAACATCCTGGACTCAGCCGCAAGAGAAGACCGCTGCCGTGTGTGTGGAGGGGACGGTAGCACCTGTGAGGCCACCGAGGGGCTCTTCAACGACTCTCTGCCTAGAGGAGGTAAACCATGTCTGACCTCCTGCCCCAACGTTTAGGATGCTAGCTTTGTTTTCATGAGCATAAATCATGTTGTGGGGCTTGTGTTTGTCCATGTGTGTGTGTGTGTGTGTGTGTGTGTGTGTGTGTGTGTGTGTGTGTGTGTGTGTGTGTGTGTGTGTGTGTGTGTGGTGTGTTCATCCACTGATGAACTGCAGTAGTGAGATAGCACTTTGCTTGCGAGACCATAATGTGACTCAGCCCTCTTTTGGTAAACCGGTCTTGGTTGGAACTGGGAAGGTAAACGTTTCTCTTTATCATCATCACCATAGCTGAAATCAGCCGCTTGATGTTTAGTGCAGTCTGGGTTTGTCTATAGAGAGCAGGAGTACAAGAAAACATATTTCTCCTTCTATGGTACGGCTTGTGAACCATCTAAAATATGACGTGCATGATGGACAGTAAAAAAAGAAAAGGGGAAAAGATATGGAGCCGTTTTGTCCTGCAGGGTTGCTTTGTCCTTTTTGGGTTGTTGGTTTGGAATTTAATCTATATGTCCTCCCACTTAGATTCAGACGTAACCTTACGTTTCGTCTGTGCTGGAGAAATATGTCACTACAGGAGGTTGGTTAAGGAGGAGGAATCACGGTCCCTTCAAATTATCTTTTTTTTTTGGATTCCAGGCTACATGGAGGTGGTTGAGATCCCAAAAGGATCTGTTCACATCGAGATCAGAGAAGTCGCTGTGTCAAAGAACTACATAGGTGAGTTATAGACCCCAGTACTCTCCTGTTTGCAACCTCACTGAGAACAAGTTGGTGGTATGAGATTCCAAAATATGTTGAAATCAGCAGGGACTTTCTATGGGGTTAATTTTCTGTCAAAATATTCCAAACATTATACAAACTCCCATCATGGACAAAATGATCTCTACACGCATACAAACCAAAATTTCTGCCAAAAGTCAGAGACACCTTCGATGAAATTAGGTATTTCTACCCCTTCAAATTTATACAGGAGTAACAAGAAAACAGGATAATGAATTTTGTGTCGTGAAGATCTGGACCACTGCAGAAATTTAATATTCTTAGCTATATTCAAACGTTTTACCTCTTCCAAAATTAAATGTAAGAAGTCAGACACGAACATGCACAACTTCAAGCATTTTAAGAAGATTCCCTTACAGTCTAGTTTTTTGGCTGACATGTAGTGGAGTTAATTTATCACCTCGCGATGATTTAGCAGTTTGCTACGCCAGGCTGTTTCATATTTAGGTCCACGTCATCCACATTTCCTCACGTCTGTTTTTAAAAGAGAAAAAAGCAAATTGGAGAATCCCATCATCTAATCTCCTCTGACTTAACGCAAAGCCGTAAAACACAATCTCTCATAAGTGGAAAAAAAAAACCCTCCCTGAATTCTATTAGCAACCACCTTGGCATAAGACTCATCCAGACTAAATCAAAAAAAACCCAAAACAAATAAATAGTATTCACATCGCTGGCTGCATCAGAAGCAAAACAATCAGACAACCGGATTCAATTAAGTCGGCCCCGCGTCTTATCATTAGCCACAGAAAGACGTGTGGCAGCGTGTTGGATTTATAGCGGACGGCGTTGATGGACGACTTAAGTCACACTCTGAAGCGGAGAGCCGCGTCGGATTTATAGGGCCGTGGTGACAGCTGCCTGCTCCGCCGGGAACACCAAGGATATGATGTTCATATATCACAGTTTAAAGACTTGCTTTTTTGGGGGGGGTCTATTATTTTCCCGTCCGAGCGGTTTGCAACTTTGTTATGAATTTCATCTGTGACCTCAGTTGATAATGATAATATTGTTCTTATGTAGCGTTGCCTGACTTTCTGCTTCTCTGGTTAGAGAAGTTTGGATTTTTTCCACCCAGTGTTTTATTAGGTCTGCATGAGGAAGCATAAATACAGAGACGGGTGGCGGCTGAAGGGTGATGGCGGTGAGGGAGGGGAATATTTGCAGACTGCAATGGTCAAAAAAAAAAATCACAATGCTCGCGTTCAGTGCCAGATGTGCTGAAATGGATTTATAGAAAAATAAGGAGGCTGTGATATGTTAAGGAGCGTTGTTTGTCAAGTAAAAGTTGTGGAGGACGATACAGAGTGTCAGAATATTAAGTAACTGCATAGTTTGTTTTTCCTGATTGGATGCACAGAAAACATAACTTTGAAAGCGATGCTCTTGTGTGAATTCAGTGAACAAGTTTGAATTGATTGTGGATTTTTTTCTAGGCCTCAGCCCACATAAATTTTTGATTAAATGGGCAGTATTGTGTAAAGGCAACTTTTTTGAGTTTTATATTATGTTATGATTATCAAAGACATGCAGGGTATCACTTTATTTGAAGGGGCGTGCAGGAGACTGTCATGACACCTGTCATGTAATGAAAGAGTCTTCATGAATGTTTACAACTGTTGTCATAGAATACAAAGTTGCACTAAAATTAGCATAAAATGTCCATTAAAAGTGTTATTTACCAAATAACGCTTCATGACAACGGTCATAAACATTCATGAAGACTCCTTTATGTTTATGACAGTGTCATGTCAGTCTCATGCACACCCCTTCAAATACAGTGTTACCAAGCTGCATTTTCCAAGTATTTTAGCTTTTGCTTCACAGAGCAGCCCCGCCTCCTGCAATTGCCCCACTCAACTCCTTCAGACTAGCCAGCAGCAATTAGCAAACACCTATTGGAATTGCGCATCAGCACATTATAGAAGCTACTTCTCAGTGCAACGCTGGTTAAAAAAAAAAAAAACGGTAAAGGGTTAGTAGAGGAGCCATGTTGTGATGACTTCCTGAAGGCGGAGTTTCACAGAAAGGAGGAATTTCTTAAAGTGACAGAGACCCAATTTCAAGGCGTTAAAATACAAAGTGAAATGCAACTCCACACTGGTGAAGCTTATTTACTTTGGTTGGTTTCCAGTGACTCATTGAGGACGACCTTCCCTCCATGCAGGAAGGTCATCCAGGAAAAGAGCAAATAGTATCTCTGCAGACCCCACACATCCTGGACACACTGTTTACCTTTATGCTAAAGCATCTATTTAGAAAATTGAGATGTTTTGAATTTTTTTTGTCTTGGTAAAAAAAGTTATAAATATTTATTAAAAATAGTTGCTAACCTTCTCCGTAGTGAGTAGGACATCGTTTCTAAAACTGCTGGTCATGTTTTTGCATGTTTCCTCTGGTATTTGGTGACGAGCTCCAAGTCTTTAAAGTCATAAATTCTCTTTGCAAATGCTTATTCTGTTTTTTTTTCTTTTTGTTGTAATATCTCAGCTCTAAAATCCAAAGAAGACGATTACTACATCAACGGAGCTTGGACCATCGACTGGCCCAGGAAGTTTGACATCGCCGGGACGGCCTTCCACTACAGGAGACCCACCGATGAACCCGAGTCTCTGGAGGCGCTGGGACCCACCGCCGAAAACCTCTCTGTTATGGTAGGAAAGCTGCTTTTTGGTGTCAAACTCAGAGCTGTAAAACCATAAAAAGTGATAAAAATGTAACTTGTATTTCACAACAGGAGAAAGAGAACGAGGAATTGGCTAATTATAGTTTGAAGTTGTGCTCATAACACGTTTCTTTCCCCTCCTCATAAAATCTTTGGTAGTTCCAATAAAATCACTGCTTTAGCACACTTGACCTCCAATAAATGTGATCATAAACTATTTAACACCCAGTGGTGTTGCTGTGGTGTTGCTGTTTATGCATCATTTCCTTCGATCTTTCTCTTTAGGTTTGTTGATGAATTGCTGTGTTTTCTTGCCATTCGAGTGGCGATGAGAGAACAGTGCGGCGATGAACTGTAATGCCCTCATGTCTGTCGCACTGTTAGCAGGATGAACAGCGCTTTGCTAATGTCTTCATGCCCCTTAAGCTTTTCCACTACTGGCCTACATCACCCAGAATGCTGTGCATTGAACATGAATCTATTCATGTCGATCGCGTGTCTATTGCCTTATCAATTCATCGATTTAGTGCCCAGTTTTGTCTGCCCCATTTACTCTGACATCCCAAAAATAAAATCTTTCAAAAGCCAACTAATTAGTAAGGGAAATTTGATCCAGTTGTTCTGTGAAGACCTCAGACATTTGTTAAAGGATATTGGTGAACAAAAAGACATCCAATCTGGTACTGTATCTCTGATAAGATTTGAAAATTGATGTCTAGTCTGACTGAGCGTCAGCATCTGAAGGGACTGGAAGCTAGCTCAACAAACCATAGATGCAGAGAAGCTCTTTATTGGTAAAAAACATCAAAATCCAAGTATCATTGGTCACATCTACATTTGACATTAAATGCATGCTGTATCATTTCATGGCAAACAGTGATAGCCACACAGTGAAGGCTATCAGTGTTTACAATGTGGTAGAGTAAGCCAGAGGTGCCCAAAGTGGGTCCTGGAGGGCCGACATCCTGCATGTTTTAGTTCTCTCCCTGGACATTTCTACTTCCAATAAATGTCTGCTACGAGTCTGAGAAGCTACGTGAACCTCTTTGTTCCCTCCTGTTGTTGCAGGTTCTCCTTCAAGAAGAGAACCTAGGAATACGCTACAGGTTCAATGTTCCCATCCAGCGGACAGGAAGCGGTGACAACGAGGTGGGCTTCTCCTGGCACCACCCCCCCTGGTCCGAGTGCTCAGCTACCTGCGCTGGCGGTAAGCCTGGAATTACTGTTCTTATTCCTGTTGCCAAAGGAACATTTTTTTTATTTTTTATGTGAAGCATTTTAGCTGCAAGAGAATGTTGGGGCCAAATGTCAGACAATTAGTAAAATGTTCAATGTTGTAGTTTTCGCACTTTTTACATTTTAATTGACATGTCAAACATCTTGGAACGGTGGAAAAAATGAATGGATATCATGTGTTTGTCACCTTCATGCTTTTGAAATGAGACTCTGTCACTAATTTGTGTCCATGGATCATGAAAAGTGCTAATTGGAATTATGAAATTGAAGTTGCTTAATGGAAACATGTCAAAATTGTACCGAAATTAGTTTCTTCCACAAAACTGAAAAGGAAACAGTCCTTGCATCACGCGATCAATAACCGCATGTTTCTACTGGTGGAAAGATGACGAAAAGGACAGGAAGTGGTAGGAGAATAATGACGTTGCATTCTTTTTAAAGACTTACCTGAACAAACTTACTCACATGTGATTGTAATTACAATTATTTCCTGATTGCATTTCTTTTTGCAATCGTAAAATTGTGTTTCTTCAACATCAGCAGAACATCGACTAAGTTTTGTGCACATTTGCAAAGGAAACCCATGTGGAGGTTGTTACCTAGCAGCCATTTTCTGGAATCAACCTGGATCTTCATATTTACGCACAAAACGTCTGTTTGCCTAAACTTTGACTGTTTTAGATCAGTTAGAATTATTAAAATGATTTAGCATTTTCTTATACCCAGAACAAAGGTAAAAATGTTTTTCTTCTCTTTTGAAAGTGAGAAGTTTGCCTACATTTTCTTAATTTCTGGTGTTGCCTTTCGGCCCATTCGTCTTGACAGAACTAAAGAAGCAGAGTCAGTGTCATAGGCTGTCTTGCTCACACACATTTTCAGCTCAGCAAAGTTGTAACCACTCAAAAAATTTACTTTGTTGTCCTGCCCCTCTGAGATGTGAGAATGCTGCCTAGCTGATGTCTAAAGATGTTGTTTCAATATTTCCACATATTGTTCATTCCTCGCAGCGTTCTGTTGTGTAAAGTGCAACAATTCCTTATTCAGCCAAACACACACAACACCATGCTGCCGCCCCGTTCTTCACAATTGGTGTTTTAAGGCTCGACACGTCTCTGGGGCGTTAAAGTTTGTCCAAAAGAAAAATAATTGAATCTGAACCTAAACATTTGCAACTGAAAAGTTATTTTGAACCTGAGGAAAAAAAAAAATAAATAATTTCGTAACTACTTTTCAGATTCAAGATGATTTTGTGGTGGGCTGCGATTTGTGATTCCACACCTGAGGCTGAAACAGAGCCAAAGGTTTGAAACTGGAAAATAAAAAAATCCAAAGCTGAAAAATAAACTTTATATGAACATTTTTAATTTCAAATCTTAATTTTTAAGTTTTTCCCCTTTTTTTTCAGTTCCATCATTATCTTTGAATCTTAAAATATTTCTGTTTTGTTTAAATTTTTTAAATCAAACTTTCTGACCCCTTTTTTTCCTAAAATGTAATCCCTCCGCCTGTCCTGGATCATCTCACCCAACACAAAAATACTCAAGAAAAACAGCCATGCAGAAGACACAAACGCACTAAAGGACAAAAACGTTAATTACATCCTTCTCGACTCTTGACTAGTCTCTAGTTCAAACTGTGCCAAACTCATTTTTATTTTAGGCCATGTCGAGATTAGGAATGTCCTTAAAGGGCCAGTTCTCCTTATAAATAAATAATATTGAACTTCTTTTGCCATTGATGTAATTTGGTAGTGTACCAAATTACTGCTTGGATTTGATTGTTGAAATTATTGAAACACACAACCGTTATCTTTTATGTGGGCCTCAACAGGGATCTCAAAACAGCTTCTTGTTGCATATAGTGTTTAGTGTACTAGCAAAATACTGGATCATATTTTTGATATGATCCAGACTAATGAAAATTCATTCTGTGGATGAGCTTTTGGTTTACCCGTGCTGTGCAGAGATGTGACCGTTCTACCCGTCTTACAAAATCAGACATTCGGTCTGAAACCACAGGGAAATGCTGCCCGTGGCCTCAAGAATAGCAAACCCAAACCTTTTAGCTCAAAAGATATGGGTCTCATGTTACAATAAATAGCGCTTCTATGCAGTTGTCAAACGTGGCCTGGACTGGGTTTGTAATATTTTGTAAAAGCATGACTGAGTAAGCTTGCGGGTTATTCTGGGGAAGGATTTCCAAGTCGACAGCAGAGCTATTTTTTTTTTTTTTCTGTGGGGAAGCACGTTTGGCTTTCCTGTTTCCTAAACTCCACTTTGTATTGTAAATCACAACTTTGAAACTTGAGCCAGATGTATGCGTCTTCTGACCATACGGGGATTTAAATCAGCAAAATGGGGTTTAATCATTCTCCCTTTTGATAGGACGAGTTCAAGGAATCACTAAGTGGCATTTAGTATGTCACTGAACTAATAATGTGTCCAAAACAAACACTTTTTGACACATTACAACTGAAACTGTTTAACCACAAGGCCTGGGCTATTCATCTTAACTGCGTTTCACTCAGAACCCAGATGGATAGATTTCCTATTCTTCACACACACACACGCATACAACCATATCTCATTACATTTGCCAGACAAGTCTAACGTCGGATATGTCCCTTGAGGGTCCAAACAGACCCAGCACAGGTTAGTGTGCCACTTACACACATATTCTTGCACACGCATTCACACAGCGGACAGTGTGACACCGATACGGTAGCCCTGGCTTTCTCTGGCAGGAGCCAAAGTAAAGAGCTCCCTGCTCTGTAAAAACCATCTGCCAACATATCCCGCAAAGAATCGGGAATTTACATGTCTGGATCTACTGCGGAACGCAAACAATACCCAAACACGGCGCCTGGCTTGTATCTGAAGGGCCGACTTGCCTTATTGATCTTTGTTTTGTTGGGTTTCTTTTTTTCTTTCTCCCAATTGCAGGCTCCCAGAAGCAGGAGGTGGTGTGTAAGAGGCTTGACGACAACTCGGTGGTGCAGAACAGCTACTGTGAGCCAGACAGCAAACCGCCAGAGAACCTGAGAGAGTGCAACCCTGAGCCGTGTCCTCCAGAGTTCGTAACGTTTCAGCTTGTAATATCAGCTGGTTGGGTTTGGGTCACATACACAAGGTGCCAATGACTACCATTGGTTTTAACTGTCAAGTTGTCAACATGACGTGCTAAATTTTAAATGTATGGGTGATGTATAAAAGTAAATGGGATTCAATGTTTTGCTACTAGATAATATTGTCCAGGATTCCACATTTCATAGGTCAGTAAAAAACTTTAATCAAACACAAAGAGCGAGGGAGAAGGAAGTCGTTCAGTTATGCTAACTTGACTTTGATAACTTGACATGTAGATGTGCTGTTGAATTCAGTGGGTTTTGGTTCAGTTGGAAAAAAATAAAGCCGACTCTCACACCAACTCCGACAGATCATCAGTAGAGTAGTGGTTGATTAAATTAGCTAATCAGCCACTGCTGTGTTCCGACAGTCATTTATTAATAATCGCAAAATAAACATCAAGCCTGAAAACATAAAACTGTAACAGACTGAATGTTCTGGTCTTAGTGTGGGAAATGTCTGTGCTTATTGGTGTTGAGACTCTGTACTCCAGTGGAGCTGTTGTCAGTCAACAAAGTCATTGTCAAAACTTATGGATATTCATATTATTATACAGGACTGTTGTAATTTCTTACTGTTTACTATTTTATCAGTAGGAAATGTTCAGTGAAGTCTGATCAGCTCGTTTCGTCGTCCACGTTTCTCTAATCCAAAACCTGGTCACAGGTTGAGAGCCAACATTTGGTTAAATCTACCCAACCTCTGTCACAACAATAATGACACATGAAACCTGCTATTTAGTCTTTTTACCTTTTTTTTTTTTGTTTATTTTATTATATTGATGCAATTATAAACTTCTTTCATTAAAAAAAAAGTTCTTACATTAATTTGCATTTTTTTAACATGTAAAAAAAAAAAGTTACATACACTCAACACGCAGGGTCGTGTACATTTTGGATGTAACCTGTGCTGCGTTGTAAAAAATTTCCGTCTCCGTTTCTTACAAAAGCAATTTCTGACGAGAGCTCCGCTCTCTCCTGTCTGCCCCAGAGCACAGGAAGAACGTCAAAATGATGTTACTGTTGTAGACAAAACAACGTGCAGATGTTCACGACTGAAGCCACACTAAACTGCTTTGAACAAATAAAAAATATGAGCAACGATGAAGCATCAAAGGCATGAGGAATTATCCCATGTTCTGCCTGCTACATTTTGTTTTCATCAATTGACACCCCTAATAAAAACTTTTTTTTTTCACAATTAATTAATCACAGTTAATTCACAGCTACCCTGCAATTAATCAGACAAAAATGTGTAATCGTTTGACAGCCCTGGTCAGTTTGCGAGTGAATTTTGTCTCTGTTGTAGTGTTTTATTTGAGAATGTCAATGAGTTCACTAGACCCCAGTTGCCTTCGCATTTACCAGATCTCAACCGAACAGAGCGCCTCCAGGATGCGGCTAAGTGGAAGATTTGCATCAGGAATGCGCGGCCAACAAATCTCTTGCAACTATGTGATGTCATCATGTTGATATGGACCAAAATTGTCTGAGAAATGTTTCTGACACCTTGTCCAATCTGTAATACAAAGAAGGAAGGCAGCTCTGAAGGCTAGAGGCTTGGACGATGTAACTACTGAAGTGGAGGATGAGTGCAGACGTTCATTATCCGCAGTTGTGTTCGCCGGAGTCGGACGTGCCGCGTCGCATCTATTTTGATTAAAGCGGCGGCGTTGCATTTCTGTGCTGAGTTATGGCGCACACATGACATTTGTTTCTGCTAAGGAAGGCAAACAACCCCTCACCGAGTCAGGAAAGGCCTGCTAAAGACCATAAACATCACTGTTTTAGAATCGCCAGGTTTTATGGGCTCTGCTAATGAAAGCTGACACAGATGTTTGACCAAGTTGTTAATTCTGTATACATTCCAGCACATGATGTAATATCTCATTGGCTGAAAATGTTTGGAGGGCTGTTGTTTTATGATAATTTTTTTAGTGTGTAGACAGACTTGAACAGGAATGTCATATTTTCTCCAGGCCAAAAGCAGCTTTCTGGTCTGCGATATGACGCACCGGACACTAAAATACGCTCATCTTTTGCTGGCTGCCAAGTAGCCACGATCGGCTTACTGACATCATTCATGTCGATGTGGTTACGTACAGCCAACAAGGTCCTAATTAGTGTTGAACATTTTTTTCTTGGTAAGTTTTATAGTAAGTTTTTACTTTCAGGAGTTAGCTAGTTGTTGAGATTCTAGGCGTATGTGGCTTATACTTGATAAAACTTGCTACACTTGCCAACCTTATTATGTCCCTTTTCTAAAAAAAAAAACAAAAAAAAAAAGCACAATTTAAACAGATAAAGTTACACACTTTTTAAATGACTGATGTTACCCTGATAAATTAATCTTAAACTTTTGAGAACAGGTGCAAGGCAAGTCGGGTTTACCTGGCCACAAAGTCAGGGCACAATAAAGATAAATGAAAATGACACAAAATGTCTTCTTCATGCATCATACTTCCATTTCTTTCTGACCGGACAAGAGGTCATCCTGTATCAGGAGAGAAAGGTTCTCCTCTGCCGTTCTCTCCCCATACAGAGACAAGACCATAAACATGGTTTTCTTTTTCTTTTATTAGCTGGCATCTTTCTCTTTTTTTTTTTACTGATATTTTTCCCGATGTCTATGTGGATGACATACAATTAAAAGTTAGTCACTGGCTCTGTTGAAAACTCTTGTTTTAAATGACAACAAAAAAGAGACGCTGATCAAAGCTGAGGAAGTTTTACATCTTAAAATCAAGCAGGCGGATGTTTCCTTTAGCTCATCGGGTCACTCTGTTGTTTCAAATTTTATCTGTTTGATTCTACTATGTTTTATGACTTGGTGAATACAGCACTAAGTGGCCTAAGTTAGATTTTTTTTTGGACTAGAGTTGAAGTAACTTCTGGAGCTACTAGCAGGTAGCTTGTTCCACGAATTATAGTTTTCACAGAAAAAGCCGATTGCCCAAAAAGTAAAAACTTTTGATAGGTATTATATAAGTTTTTGTTGCTGTTGTTGTAATTTTCCTGTCCCAGTAACCTTCTTTCTTTTCTCGGTCAGGTGGTTCATCGGCGACTGGTCAGAGTGCGGAAAGACGTGTGATGGTGGGACCAGGACCAGGACCGTCTTGTGTATCAGGAAGATTGGCCCCACTGAGGAGGAGACGCTGGAAGACGCCTCCTGCCTGACTCATCGACCCATTGAAAGAGAGTCCTGCAACAACCAGTCCTGCCCGCCGAAGTGGGTAACTCTGGAATGGTCAGAGGTAAGACGACATTTTCTAGTTTGTTGAAGTTAACTGCGCCTTTGGGACCTTGGGATTTTTATATGACGTTTTATTCTTGCGCCTCAGTGCACGCCAAAGTGTGGCCCCGGCTTCAAGCACCGCATCGCATTGTGCAAGAGCAGCGACCTGACCAAAACCTTCCCGCCCACCACCTGCCCGAGCCACAACAAGCCTCCGGTCCGAATGCGCTGCAGTTCTGGACGCTGCCCTCCTCCTCGCTGGATCCCCGGGGACTGGGGACAGGTACGACTGGAGCGAGGTTGCTAGATTGACCCAATAGGGCGTCTTTTGGAGAAAAAAAAACAACTGGTTTTGGGCTGGTTGTAAAAACTTTGGCTGCTTTTCACAACATCTTTTTAGAAAGTGTTCAGAGGAAAATTCTTTCAAAATAGTCGACATCCTGCGACAGAAAAACACAAAGCTTTTACTGAAATTGTGTGTTACAATATATAAAGGTTTGTCGTGTGTGAGAAAAAGCATAAATATGTAACTTAGGGTCAAACCTCTAAAACATAGCATGCTGTTTCATATGTTCGAGCAACATGGTAGTTTTTGTATAAATTACACCTGAAGTTTGCAGAGTGAGCTGCTGTGACACGTATGTGTGTGCGTGCGTATGCGCTCAGCGGTCTAAGCGTTCCAGCAGGCCTGTGTGTGATTTTTGGCAGTAATTTCCTCCTGGCTGTTTGAAGTTTATCTCTGCCTTGGAGCAGGACTCTCTGTCACTTCCAGGAACCTGGTTTGGACGGAGCGACACAGAGGAGTAGCATTCTTCAGCTCACCCTGACATGACTGAGTGCGTCCTGAAAAAAATAAAATAAAATGCTGAACACTTTACAGCACAGCTGATTCACACTGGTGAGAAGAGGCCAAAAAGTTGTGCGTCACACATAGCTGTATGTGCAAAAAAAAAAAAAAGTATGGCACAATATTTTTGCAGGATTTATCTGTAATTTAAAGTGAAAGTGGTATTTTTAAACGACGTGTTCGCCTTGTCATGATGTCATGGGTTTGTTGCATCAGAGGCAGCAGCTTTTATCCTTGCGTGGGTAGAAAAGAGAGGATGAAAGTCTGAGGGCAAAAGGTCAGGAGTTCAAATCCCATATACGTCGCACCACTGACGCACGCCGTCTGTCAGGGCCGGCCATAATAAAGACGCTCTAATTGGGAAGGGATGACATGCGAGGTCGCTGATCTGGCACAGGGAGATGAAATCTTTGAAGGTGACAGGAAGAAGGATGTTGGCTCACGCTGCACCACCGCAGCCAAGACTGCTTTGCAAAACTTTTCTGCTTCAGTTTTTGTGCTCACAAATTGTTCATTTTTATTTTCATTCTGCTGGGTTTTTTTTTAATTGAGGAAAAAAATTGTCTTTATTTTTGCTGAATAAAACAAAGTACAGGTAAAATACACATCCATCCATATATTCAGCATTATTTTTATTAAAGTAAGTTTGGCAAAACACCCAAATCATATAAAAACATTCGATGACATCACACCCTGATGTTAAGAGGATGATTAGGGCAACAGCAAGAAGAAAAAAAAAAAACATAATAATAAATCACTTTTTTTTCCCTCAGAATTCTTTAAATCTGAGATTTTTTTCCATTTACATTTTTTAAAATGATTTCTGACTTTAATTTTGAGGAAAAAAACATCAGGTTTTTAGTTTCAAATCAGATTTCTGAAGAAAAAGTCTGAATTTCATCCAATTAACATTTTTAATATTGATTCTGACTTTGATCTCAGAATGTTGACATTTTTCGAGGACGCCTTAATATCCAAAGAGAAAAAAAATAACTTTTTTTCAATCATGCCATCTAAATAAAGTGCAAATGCGTAGAGTCAGAAAACAACAGCGGTGATACTTTTCGGCCACAGGTGTGTTGTTCAACCTCGGCTGCTTCATTGTAGGAAAATGTTGTTTACTACAGTAAAGTCAAAGGTGACCTGGCACCTCCTGTCTTTGTGTTTTATGAGCCTTTGTTTGTTTCTCTGTTTCTTTTGAGAACTTAAATGGGCCAAACATCAGTTTTTTATTACAACTGGCACATTGACAAAGGTTAGTCCAAAAAACAAAAAAAAAGAAAGAAAACACTTTGGGTCACATCCCACCAAAACATTCATTAGTAACCTCCAGAAGAACTGCGTCAGAGTCAGCTTGACCCGCATGCCGTCAGAGTTTGCTCGTTTTAATAAAACATTTCATTCTTCTGGGAATCCGTCCCGATTAATAATATTTATTAGATACTTGTGTGTTGCTTTTTTCAATACAAGAGATTCTTTCCAGGGTGGAAAGATCTTACAACATGTAACTTTGAAACAAAGGTTACAAAAAAACCATAGAGACGTGATTGTCCATTAGCAAGAGGAATCTCTCTTCACATGTGGACACTTTTGTTTTGCTGGATGGATGTTTAACAGTTCTTGTTGGACTGGGAACCAAGTTTGAACCGTTTCTGCAACCTGCCATCCTTTAGCTCAGTGGTCCCCAACCTTTTTATTACCGCGGACCAGTCAAGACTTGGCAGTTTTGCTGTGGCCCTGGGGAGGAACCGTCAAACAATGTTTCTCCATGTTGGTGTTCTGGCTAAAGCATTTTTTCTTTTTTTGCCCTGATTTTCCCTTTGTGACAATCTTACAATGTCCTGCAGTGTGTGGTGTGGTAACACATCACACACTGTCTTGACCTGATTGTCGCAGCCTGTGGGGTTTTACCTGACCGGGAGCAGAACGCGACCTGTTGAATGTGACAGGTAGCCAATCAGAAAGCGCGGTGATGTAAGAACGGAGGGGAATCCCAAACATGGCGCAACTGAGAGTCCTGTGAACATCGGCGGTGATATGTAGAAATGTTTATTACTATGTGTAAAGGTCATTTTTATATTTGTTTATTATATGTGGTTAGGTTTATTCAGTTAAAAATGTTCACTACGAAAAAATAAAACTCGTCTCCAGATCATAGTGCAGCAAATAGAGCGCCTGCTCCCACCGTCATTCATCAAACGTCTTTTCTTTTTGTTACGTCTTTCATCGCTTAAATTGAGACCACAAACTATCACTACTGCTTCTACATAGTCATTTTCAACTTGTAAAGGGGATTTTAATCAAATACTATCTGAGGTTTATGTGTATATTTAGACCTGAATGTAATAGTTTTACCTTGTGTGGCTTGGAAAGAATTCAAACGTATGCGCCCAGTTTTCACTTTCAAAATAATAGAAATTCTTTGATTGACTGATTGGTCAGTCATACAAATGAAAAGTTAAATTAAATAATTCTTACTTGAAACACCTATGTTGAGAGCAGTGGTGAACAAAGTACTCAACTCTAGCACTTGAGTAAAAGTATTGATGCTCATGGTCAAATCTCACTCCACTATAAGTAAGAGTTGATCAGTCAAAGGTTTACTCAAGTTCAAGTACTGTAGTACTTACTTTTGGAAAATGCACGTAAGCAAATGTACTCTGTTACAGTTCACCACTGGATGATGGCCTGTAACCCTACGCATTGTGTCAAAAGTCCTGGAACTTTTTACCATCATCGTTGATGATACTCTGCGGTGACTCTGTTTCAGTGTTCAGCTCAGTGCGGCATGGGTCAGCAGATGAGGACGGTGACCTGCCTGTCCTACACCGGACAGATGTCCAATGAGTGTCCAGATCCCCTCCGGCCCGCCACCATGCAGCAGTGTGAGAGCAAGTGCGATGCCATCCCAAACTCCAACAGCGACGGTAAGGCCGTCAGACGAGAAAGTCCGGCAACGGGCGCACAGAAGAAGAATAAAAGCTTTCGGTCACCAAACGGCTCTCTGCCCAAACACCGAGCAGAAAGGGTTATAAACCATCTCTGTCTTCATCTTCACAGTTCTGCTGTGACCCAAACACTCCTGGATGACACACACCTCTACACTTTGCCAGCTACATTAATCTTTCCAGTGATGTTGGCTCGTGGTCAAAGCGAAACAGCTTGAGCCTCCATATACACTTACACATGATGGATGGCTATTCGGATGCGTACAGAGGGGGCTTTCGATTAGGCCGAATGGAAAACGTGAGCAGCTTTTACAGGCTGGCTAATGGGATTAGCTGTAGGCTAATTGTTCCTTTACGGAGAGCAGTGAGGCAACGTCTCGTTTGATTTGGCTCTGAGGAGGCAGGGGCCAAAGCCTAATAAGGGAAGACACTCTGATCATGATAAGGCATTTAGAGCACTGTCTGTCTGGCATCCAGTAGGAGTTTGAAGTGTGTGTGTGTGTGTGTAGGCGTGTGTGTGTGTATGTGTGTAACCCAGAAATGGCAGTCAGCCCAGTTAGTGAGCGAGGCCAGGATCTGTCTCAGTCCTAGTTTCTGTATCCAAGTGTAGCTGCAGAGTTTTGTTCTGTTGAGGCCTTTGCTCCACATAAACTAGCTGGAATTTAAGTGTTGGACCTGGTTATTTCACTAATCTATGATCAATAGAAGAACATTCTCGAAGTACACCTGCAACTATCAGGCTAAAAAATATAGATAAAACATGTATCAAATATATATATTTTGGTCTGTTTCACAGGTTAATTATATTGATTTAATTGTTCCTGCAGCTTTTGTGGAATAACACTTTATGGTCGTTAGTGACCTTAGAGTCAAATTTCAACATAAGTTAAAAAGTAGAGATGCACTAATGAGAAATTTATAGCAAATCTCTGTCTTCATAAGATTTTGAGCAGCTGATGCTGAAATTAGCCCATCTTGAGTTACAGTTTTAGCTAGTAATGGTTACAAAAGAAGATTACCTTTCCTGATCAGTGATTGTGTATGTTTGGAGCAGATGTGATGTTCCTGCATGTAAGAGAGCATAACTGTTTGAAATGAAACACAAAAGAGCTTTACTACCACGTAGCACAGTTAGCATGGTTAGCCAAATGGATGTCTCGTTGTAAATTTCCAATTGCAGAGTTGGGCAATTCTGCTGATTGGACAAAAACATTCCCAAGGGCGGTGTAGATGAATAACAAACATCTTCTCTTCTTGCCTAAAAAAATGATGGGCACAAATAAACCCAAAGAGCAAATATAACAAATTATCACGTGTTGAAGTTTAGCTAGGCTTCCTGTCGTAGCCTAAAGATGCTTTGTTCTTCATCTGACTTCATTCAAAAAACCTTCCCGAAACAAAAGTAGCTTTGTCTGAGTCCTCTTCTTGCCGAACCAATTTCCAGAGCAAAGAGTATTGTTAGCGTGATATTGCAGGTGTGCTGCATTTGCTTGGTAAAAAGGTCATGTTTTTGAGTTTCTAATCGGCTGGTCAAACTGCATCTCATGTAGCCTCGGTCACCAGTCTGTTTCCTTGCTAACCTCTGGATAAGACAGAAAACAACAAAGTGGCAGCCTAAATCCAACATGTGGAGTAATGTTTTAATAACCAGCTGATGTGGAAACCGAAGATTTTCCAAGTATTTATTGGCCAGTTTTGCAGTAAAGGGTTACTTCATATCCTTTGAAGAGAAGTTCCATGAAGTCATTATCAATAATAACTTCACTAGCCGTTATTATTGACTCTTTTGAGGTAGTTGGACGTCATCCCGGTGGTTTAAGCTCGCAAGCTACTCAGACCTGTTTTGAGATGACTGTAGCATTTTAATTTAACTGAAAATGAAAATGTTCAGTTCAGAGGGATACAACTCTGTGTTAACAGCACCATTTTACAGAACACTGTTACCGTGTTTGGTTCTCTTGTGTACGTCCGAAGCGCTAGCTAGTTAGCTTGAACAAGCTTCTGAGGATGTACTTGCAACTCCAACAAGCTCATAGTGACACAGTTTAAGCTTGAACAACTTTCTATGTAGCGATATTTCACATCCTTGTCTGAATCATGTCAGCTGTATCTGAAAATCAAAAACACACGAATGAAGAACACATGCTGGTCAACTATTTAAAAGGCTTACATGCTGATGAAAGCTGTTCCCACTCAATAACCAAACATTGTTCCTTTTTTTTTTTTTCTCCACAGAATGCAAAGATGTAAACAAAGTTGCTTACTGCCCGCTGGTGCTGAAGTTCAAGTTTTGCAGCCGAGGCTATTTCAGACAGATGTGCTGCAAGACCTGCCAGGGGCACTGACGCTGGCGCAAAAGCAACGAGTAGTGATAAAGAACGACATGGTTGCAAAGGCAAAGAAGATGGAGGGATAGAGCGCTGAAAAAAAGTAGGAGGGCTGATAAAACTGCTCAGTTCTCGAATGTTGGAAGAAGAGACCAGAGCTGCCGCCCGACCAAAAACAAGAAAAGGCCTTCCATGTTTGTCGGAGCCCTTCGTTCTGCCCTCCTTCCTGGTGGAAACCACACCACTGCTCAGCCCATAACGCTGAAAGAAACTCTTCCTTTTCATTTTTGCTTTTTGTGTTTTTCGCTTCTGTGAAGTGGAATTTAGAAGATCAACCGTTGGATGATATTATTTTTATTATAATAATAATCGATGATATCATCGTGAGCCTTCCTGCGTGTTTTGTTGTGGTGTAAATCCAAAGGGCTGGACACATCGCTCCTCACACCATGTACCACGAGACGAACACCAGAAAGAGGGGAGCCGCTCCGTTGGATTCCTGCCTTTGAGAAGGTGCTGGGTTGACGTTTGGCTTTGGTGCACTTTTTCCATGTAAATGCTCCAATTTACAGTTCAGACATAGTCGAGAACCCGTGTGTACTGTATATTTATTGTACAACTCCAAACAGAGCGTCCTCGGACATCTCTGTCAAACAGTAGCCTACTGCCACGGAAGGGAATGTAATGTGATTGAGTTTATAATCAATAACGTTGTGTGCTGGAATGGAATTATACTGTAATCCATGTTAGAATTGTGTATACTGTACGGATTTGTGTATTATAAATGATATTAATCTAAAACCAGAAGCTAACACATGGTTATAGAAGCATCCGTTACTTCTCGCAGAATTTCACATTAACCCCAGATAGACTGTCTGATGTTGCCTGGACCACATGAAACGTTGCCAACAAGAAGCCTTTTCTCAACTTCTATTCAATCAGAGCACAGCTCACGAGTGAAGGATTCATTTTGAGGAAGCGTTTGAAGCACCTTGTTCATTTGAGTAACGGTATGGATATTGTTCTCTTACGCTAGAAAGTGGCACAGTCTCTCAGTAAAAGCTGGGAAGAAATTGGGCAATACTGTGACCAATTGAGTCATTAAAAAAAAGAAGAAGAGAGAAAAAGGCAGATCTAGATAAGGTTTCGCTTTGAAAATTAAATGCCAGCATTGTTGCATCTTTCAGTTGTGGACATCAACACCTATTGATCTCACTGAACAAAGAGGATGTCAGATGTATCACCGATGCTCAATTGAATGTGGCATCGTCAAGAGTTCCTACTGTTACGTTTGTTTTGGTCGGTATGGGACCATACGGTTCTGGGAACTACTCAAGGGCCATTGAAATTGTGATTTGGAACGTTCTTAGTGGTTTTGAAAGAGTAGGAATAGGAGCATAAGAAGTTGAGTGAATGGCAGTGGTCCTCACATTTTGCAAATTCTTCCCAACATCACTGAACACCATAAGGACTTTGGAGGTTATTGGAACTGGGGAGGTCCCTGTTGAGGAGCATTGGTTCAACTTTTTCTGAGTTTACTTTTTTTTGCACTTCAAAAAAAGTAATCTTTGTAAACTCAATTCATTCCTGAATCCTTAACGTATTAGGACCATTCAGTGGGTAGTGAATCCCCTTTGACCAGTCACTATGCACCTCAATCACAGAAGGTTCCCATTCTGCTTGAAAGTTCCCTAAACTTGGTACCGAAAGATTCAGATAAGATGCAGCCACTCCAGATAATTTGCTGTGCAAATGCAGAAATAACAAGAAACCTTTCAAAAGTCTGAAAAGCAGGTGAAGTCCTTGGTAAATTGGATAATTGTTGGTACAATAAAAAAGTTGATTAGATTTCCATTTCAGTCTTCAGCATCCAGTCACTTACCAGGGCTTGTCTTTTGGTGTTGTGGAATCTGAGCCTCCTGGTGTCTTGATGCTGCATTCATGATCTTTAGGCAATATAACAAATAGACAAAGATCAGAACCCATTGCAGCTGCTTTACACCACTCCAAATTACGTCCCAGTTTCCACAGTGAGATTTGGAGGTGTGATTGGCTCAGCCTAATTTTAATCTCTTTTAAGACTGAATATTAAAGTTAAAAAGATCTCATACTGATGAGCCATTTTTCAATAAGGTTCTGTTGAAATATAAAAAAAAGTAACCATAAGATAAAAGGCTAGAATATTCACACTGGTGATTTTTGCTCAAACATCATTGTGTCGGCCCCTCTTAGCTTAGCTGCTAGGATTAGCCTCCCAATACAGTGAGATGTAACAGAACTTGGCTTAAAAAAATGTTGAACTATTGCTTTAAGTGGATCCCTCTTTTCCTCATCATTTCTATTTTATTCTGTTTTTTCTGGTGTTTTTTATTTTTTTTATTTCATTTTATTTTTTAGCTTTTTCCTCCTCCTAGCCTTCCCGGGCTTCTGGTGCTATCAACAGGTGCTTCCATTCAAAGCCCTCTCCGGTGTGCTTAAAAGTTCAAGTTTGAGCCAAATAAGACAAGTTGATATACTTGTTGATATCTCTGCTGGTAAATGCTGGTCGTGTTTTGATTTGATCTGATTTTTTTTTTCTGTTTTCTTTTTACTTGTTTATACCTCACACTGGGAACTTTAGCTGTTCAAATAGGGTAACGCTGTTCGTCCAATTGATCAAAACGGACGCTTGCCCAGATGTAACAGAAAGGGAAACACCTCTGTGGCGGTACGGGGGGGACAGGGGGGTCAAATCTGAGCGCCCACACAGGAAGAGCATGAATACGTCTCTGAGGCTGTTGACGACGATATTCTGATTTTGCTGCTGCTACTTCTTTTGTTGTTGTTTTTTAAATATATATTTTTTGGTAGCCACCTTCCATGTGACCGATTTCAAATATTTTTTGTTTTGTTTTTTTTTTTATTAGCCGCAGAAGCATTTTTCTGCAGGGACTGACCCAGCTGTGGGGACAAGCAGCCATCACAGACCGGAGAGTTGAACTCAGTCCAGCTGGTACTCATTGCTGTGAACCTGGATGTCTGAATGTCACGTTGCTCGTGTCTGTACCTGAAATCGCGAGGGAAATGGTCAGCGTCATGTGATTAAATTGCATTTATTTTATATTCAGTATTAATTGTTGGTAAACTGTTACTGCTTCTTTTTTTTTCTTCTTCTTCTTTTCGGATGTTAATAATGTGCTAATTTATTGCTGTGTCTCACATGTACATTTATTTCACTGCATGCAAACTGAAATTAAGCATAGTGAAAAAAGTGCAGTGATGCAGCTCTTCACCATGTTTTTTAAGGGTAGAAACAATAAAGAGCTTTTACAGAGGGGCATTTGTTAGTAGATTTTCATTATTTGCGGTGCCTTGCAAAAGTATTTACACCCCTTGATTTGTTTCACATTTTGCCACATTACAGCCACAAGCTTCATATACGAGTTTTATGCAATAACTTATTACAAAATAGTGTGTAATTAGCTGCGTTTACACTAAAAATGTGCGCAAAAGTTACTTAATATTTGGCTCGTCAAAGAAATTGCTTCCAGATAAATAATAAATGTAGTTGGACCCTCATATGAATGTTTGTCCGAGAGATAAGTCGTTAAGACGGTAAATCGCCAGGCCTAGTCAAAGTGTTTTGCTGCAGCTTATAGATTTTCTTCAAGAAGCGCCACTTCAACAACATGAAATGTAGTGTTAAGCTTAGTCCACGTGAAACATTGTGATACTATAAATGAAACTATCTGTCAATGGAACAAGTACTTTTTCATCAATATTAAGGAATTATTGACTTATAGGGGCTGTAATGTGTTTTCCATCCACACAGTGCTATTTTAGTTACATTTATTTTAACAGCTTGAAATTGTTTCTGAAACTCCTTCAGAAAGTTATCACAACATTGCTCCTCTATTAACCCTTTAACATTTTTACCAGTATTTCCACTGAGAAGTAGCTCCTATAAGGTGTTTGCTAATTGCTGCTGGCTAGTCTGAAGGAGCTCAGTGGGCGAGGGCTGCTCTGTGAGGTGGACGCTTGGAAACTTGCTCAGAGGAGGAGCTTCATTCTTGAAGGCGGAGCTAGATCTACCCAGGTGTTTTGCACAGCTGAATAGTTGTCATGGAAATTAAAGGATTTCTCAAACATGCATGGAAAAAATCAAAGCAAGACTCCAAGTATGTTTTTGATTGGGGAATAATATAATATGATGTATAGCTTAAAAAAAGTTGACTTGACACATTTAGTTTTGTTGAGTGCTGTGAACTAAATATTGACCTGAAGGGGAGGAATGATGCTAGCCCGTAGGCTAATCTACATGCTGAACATGTCCATGAAGTACTTTATCATGTACTTTATCTCTTGTCATTTTCATTTCACTGGTAACAGAAGTTTTCAGTCCAAAAATCCAACTGAAATCGACAACTTGATTTATGAAAGTGTGAGACATCGAAGGGGAGATGAATACTTTTCACAGGCCTTGTACCATCAGGCACGTTCAAACATTTGCAGATCAGATAAGAACAGTTGGTTTTAGAGGGTGATAAACTCTTGTTCATTCATTCAGCTCTTGGAAAGCACCCACAGCGAGAGAACAACTGCTGGCATGATGTCAACAAACGTGTTACCAAAGCTGAAGAGATCCGTTTACACGCCGACTCGGGGTATGGCGTTCAAACAGGGGGAATCACCCATAATTCTTACCTTTCTTAATCCAATATTTCGGTCTCATCAACTTCTAAGGCTCCACAGAACAAAGGTGGACCACCGGGAGAAGCGTCAGATGCCTTCCCTGAACCGTCTCAGCCATTGTTCCTGCTTCGCCCGAGACTGAAAGGGCTCCGTCTTCGGAAGCTGTAGGGTTTCCACTCTCCTTGGTAATTAAGTCCAAATAAACAGCCACTAAGCCCAGTCGGCTGGGAAATGCCGCCGTCTCCGTCTAATCCGCGGTGTCCGATTACAGACAGAGAATGGTGGCCTGTTTTGGCTTAGCAGAACCGCTTGAGAATAGGGCCAGCTTCTGTGGGGTTCTGGGATTACATTAGCTCTAACCTGCAGAGCTCAGGGAAACGCAAAGAGACAGAGAGACATCTTGGGCTGGTCAGAAGTCATCATACACTCATTTATGACATGAATATGACATTATTTCAGAGATTTAATGATTTACTTGAACGTTGCCCTACCGCTGAACTCATAAAACACAAACTTTAAAGGGGCAGGATTATGAAAAACAGACCTTTTAGAGATTTAAATTATGTTACAATGTTATTTCCTCATCCAAAACACACCTGGAATGTTGCCTTCATTTGTTCATACATGTTTGAGAAATCTTCTAATCTCCCATGGCAACCGTTCAGCTGACCCAAAACGCCTGGTTGGACCAAGCTCCGCCTTTGAAAACACAGCTCCTCCTCAGAGCCGAAGTTTCCAAGCGTCTGAGCTGGTGCCTCATTCAGCCCCTTCAGACTAGCGAACCGCAATTAGCAAACGTGTTGGAACTGCACATATGCTCATAGGAGCCACTTCTCGGTGAAATGCAGGTAGAAACGTTAATGGAAGAGCCACGTTGTGACTTCCTGAAGGCGGAGTTTCGGAAAGAGCAGGTGTATTTAAAGAGACAGAGGCCCAATTTCAAAGCGTTGCATTACAAAGTCAAATTTCTTTGAATTTATATTTGACAAAGCAGTTTTATAGCAACAGAAGATAACACAGCTTCTTGATGGTACTGTAAAATGGCACCATGTGCCTTGAAAATACATAATACTGCCGCTTTAAATAATCGGGTCCAAGTCAAAGGGAGTGACCCTTGAAATAGTTTGGAAATGGACTTACAACTCCTTCTGAGAGTAATGGATCACAGTTTCTTTTCAGAGTAATTGCTGATGTCTTCCTTCTTGGCATTGTGTAAACACACACACATCTGGACTCTTCAGACCAGCAAACCGCCAGAACCTGAGCTGGTCACACAGCTGCTAATGATCAACTGCATTTGATTAGCAACCCCTGGTACACTTAGCCTCCCCGAACCCCCTCAGAATCAGCGAGAGTTGAAGTAGTTTTCCAAAACAATTTGTCTTTTCCCCCCCCATTCGTCTCCTCGACTGGCACAAAGTGTGTCTCCAATTGGACAAATGTCCCAGTGACTGCTGGTGGAGACATGGTGTTCACAGCCTGTTTATGATAAGAGGTGTGGAGAGGACGGGGAGCAGATTTCTCCTCTCCTCTGCGATTCTGCACTTCAAATGGAAACCAAGGAGATTAAGAGAAGCCACTGCGTTTTGCTTATCGGCCATGAAATACCTCAGCAGCTGAGCCGCAGAGCGAAGCCGCAGAGCGAAGCCGCGCAGATACGGAGATAGCAGCAGGTCTGAAGTCCTTCAGAGAGAGTTTGTGTCCTTTTGAAGCGCTTTAGGCTCCCATCCAAACCGTGAACACTAGCTGATTTTTTTTTATTACAAATGTGCACAAATCTTTGTATTCTGATCATGTAAAAAAAAAAAGAAATGAAACTCACCCATGAATCAGCCTGTTTGCAACCGAATTAATGACTTGTCTCGTGAACGCAAAAATGTTTTCACATGTAAATTTTCATTTCGTTTCTCAACGCAGTGGAAATGCTGTCATTCCGAAACTGGTCATTTTTTTTTTCCCACATCACCAGAACACAGACAAAGATTTGGACATCTGAATCTATACGGAGCCACTCAGCAGTTTAACATGATCCGTTGGTAGTTTGACGATAAGCATGACCTCGGGTGACGCGGAGAAGGACACGGTCCACGCGCTGAGTGACTGGAGCGGTACAAACACTCTCCCATCCGAACCTGGCGCTGCAGAACAAACAGACCAAGATGGTGTGGCTGGAGATGGAGCATTCACAGACCCAAGGTGGGGGATGAAGAGGAAGGGTTTGGGGGGGTTTGGGAGGTATGACAGGCAGGAATGTTGGCCTGGGATGGGAAGGTCACGGCTCCAGCACCTGCTATCAACAGACCTCTGTCGTGTTAATCCTCACTGCTCTTTCCCACAGCTGAGAGCTCAGAATGAGCTGTTTGCAATCAAGAAAAAAAGAAAGAAAGAAAGAAAACAGCTTCAACACTGAATGAACCAGGAGGATGTGCGAAGAGAAGCTTCACACACACACACACGCACACACACACACACACACACACACACACACACACACACCACAGACACACACACACACACACACACACACACACACACACACACAGCCGGAATAATCTGGGAAACATCACCCAATCTGAAAACGGAACTTTTTTTTTCTTTCTTTCCAACATGCGATCTTGAACATCCACCCAAAGAAAAGAAAATTTACAAAATTAAATGGCCCAGTCAAAGTCCAAACCTAAAACCAATTGAGAATCTGTAGCAACCCCTAAACATTTGTCTGGTTACACAGTTCCTCTGTATTCTCATCTCCCTAAACTGATCCATCTTAGTTTTCTCCCTTTGACTTTGATTCCTTCAGTAGAATTCCTACCAATCAGCAAACAGAAGAAGTTGTGAACGACGACGTTGGTTTTCTGTGGATTTTTTTTTCTCAGAATTGTCGTCTGCCTGTAGTTTTATCAATAGCAGCGGAGAAAGTGAATCAAGCCGTTCAGTCCGGGGTTGGCCTAAACACTGAAATGACACCAGCAGCCATCTTGTTCGTCTCGGCGCTTCTCTCTATTCAACACAATACGGCTTTTTACAGCACAGACAATTTTCTGGTTAGCTTCATGACACCGAAATAGAAATGACATACCTCACAGACAAATGTTAGCGATTCGGTAACGTTTGTCTTTGTTTAACTCTGTTAAAACTTTGAACAGAGTCCACGCCTCCAGGAAGCAATCCTTCTCAACAGCGGAGAGTCCAGACCCTGTTTTTACCAGGCTGCTCAGAAACATCTGTTCACAGATGGTCTGTATTCAATCTGGGTGAGCTTGAACTGTACGACTTTGTGTTCCTTCAATACTTGCATGCGCGCGCGTGTGAGGTGTGTGCTACAAGTTTATTGAAGGTTTAAATCTTCTGGATTTGCATGGATCATAATTTGGCTGGAGGGAAAGTCACCTTCAAGGAGTTTTCCCTTCTTGGTCCGCTGTCCCCGTCCAGCCCTTCCTGTCAGCTCAGGGAGAGGACAGGTAAGTGGATTACGTGCATGAAGAATCAATAGCCAATCACTTAGGCCACTGGAATAAAGTCGAGGGCATTTCTCTTTGTTGTGAAGAGGTGTGTGTGTGTGTACGTGTGTGTGTGTGTGTGTGTACGTGTGTGCTGCCTCGCTTGGGTAAATGGTCCTTTATAACAGTAAGAACATTATGAAGTG